CACGTCTTTTTGCACGTTTCACGGCAATGCGTTGCGGGGTCAAATATGTAGATATTGACACATACAGGGATCAATAAATATACCCCTCTAGAGCTGTTGTAGACTCCCCAACCTATTCAATCATTTCTCTCCTCTCCTCTCAACCCAATATACACCATCATGGCTTCCGAAAAGAAACAACTCATCATCAATGCCTTTGCTATGCAATCGCCGAGTCACCTAAACCCAGGTTTATTCCGCCACCCCACAGACCAAGGCGCAGACTACAAGAGCATCAAGCACTGGATTGCCCTAGCCAAGAAGCTTGAAGATGCCAAATTCCACGCCATCTTCTTCGCAGACGTCCTAGGAGGCTACGATGTATACAGAGGTCCCTCAAACCTCTCCCCTACAATCCCCGCCGCTGCCCAATTCCCAATCAACGACCCCCTCTACAGCATCCCCGCCATGGCAGCAGCCACAGAATCAATTGGCTTCGGCGTAACAGCCTCAACAACATACGACTCCCCCTACGCCCTGGCAAGACGCTTCTCAACAGTAGACCATCTCAGCAATGGCCGTATCGGCTGGAACATCGTCACCTCCTACCTCGATTCGGCGGCTCGCAACTTCGGCCTCGACACACAGGTCGAGCACGATGAGCGCTATCGTATCGCCGACGAGTACCTCGACGTCACCTATAAACTGTGGGAGGCGTCTTGGAGAGATGATGCAGTGACCTGGAAGCAGGGCTCAGAGAGCAAGACCGCGCCATATGCGGATCCAACTGCTGTTCGTGAAATCAATCATAAGGGGAAGTACTTCCAGGTTCCTGGTCCCCATCTCTGTGAGCCGAGTCCTCAGCGCACGCCGTTTATCTTGCAGGCTGGTACCTCGACAGCGGGTAAGGCTTTCGCGGCGAAGCATGCAGAGGCTGTGTTCTTGCATGCGCAAAAGCCTGAGCTTGTTCGTCCTTCTGTTGATAGTATCCGCCAGCAGGCTGCGGAGATTGGTCGCAATCCTCAGGATATCAAGGTTGTGGCGGGTGCGCTGGTGATCGTGGCTGAGACGGACGAGGAAGCGAATGCCAAGTTCGAGGAGCTGAAGACATACGGTGATCGGGAGGGTGCGCTTGCTCTTTTCGGTGGCTGGACTGGATACGACCTGTCGACCTACTCGGATGATCAGGACTTCCGTTTTGTGGAGCTTCCTGCTGTTCGCAGTATGGTGAACCACTGGGCTAGTACGGTGCCTGGCACCGAAGGCAAGAAGTGGGATAAGAAGACTATTGCTGAGTATTTGGTGCTTGGTGGTAATGGTGTTAAAATTATTGGGAGTGTGAAAACGGTGGCTGATGAGTTAGAGCGATGGGTGACTGTTGGTGATGTTGACGGGTTTAACCTCAGCTATGCTAGTCTCCCTGATACCTTTGATGATATTATTGATTTGCTGCTGCCGGAGTTGCAGCGCCGTGGCCTGTTCTGGTCGGACTATGCTGTCAAGGGTGGAACTTTCCGGGAGAACATGTATGGGAAGCAGGGTCAGTCGAGACTCCCTGATGCACACCCTGGCGCGAAATACTTCTGGAAAGAGGGTCAGGAGGTGCCTCCGTACTCACTTGAGGAGTCGAATTAGTATGTAACATATAGCATATTTGCAAACAAAATTGAAAACGTTTCATTCCCCCTCTCATTCTCGAATATATTAGATTTACTCCAAGTCAAATCAGTCGCTGAGAGATTGCAGCTGGAAGTGTTTAGAGTTGAGGATGGAAGCATAAACAGTCAAAAGGAATAAGAATAGTATTGCCCGCTAATTTATATGTATAGCCTTGGGGATATTGGAATGATCCAGTCTAACAAACTCCCAAATCAAACATCCCACCATCCCTCCATGTGAGACTTCAAGTCAATTTCCTCTGGCAATCTCAAATGAGGCGTCAGTTCCGCATCAGGAGTCAACTCTTTCGAGGTCCACCCATTACCAAAGTAAGCAAACCGATTTCCGCTTTGGTTGACATAGGTATACTCCCAATCCTCCCAGCGCGGATCTCGGCGGATGTAATTTGAATGCGACGCACTGCCTGGGAAGAGACCATGAATACGAGACCCCGGCTTGCCACCGTTATACCACGAGCTGCAATTTGCCGACCAGACAGTGCGTGGGTAGAACTGGTCGCAGTACTCGACAAAGTCGTCGGTCGCTTGCTTGGCTGGGACAATGGACTTGATTCCCTGCGTGCGGATTTTGCGCAGCACTTTTGCGATGTATGTCACTTGGTTCTCGACATTGTTGGGCACCGTCCCGCTGTGTCCCGATGAGTATGGTCCACCGAGCCAAAGGAGGTTTGGGAATCCAGGTGTTGCGAAGCCAAGGTATGAGTACGGGAATCCGAATTTGCCGTCTTGTTTCCAGGCTTGCTTAAGGTCGACTCCGTCGGCGATGATCGAGAACGGGGGTGCGTGGTCGATATTGGCACCTGTTGCACAGATCGTGATGTCCACTTCTCGCTCTACCCCGTCCTCGGTCACAATGCCTTTCTCGGTGAATCGCTTGATGCGTGTCTGGATGTAGTCGACGTTTTCCTTGGCCAAGGCTTCTAGGTATCCTGGTCCTGGTGTTGGGCGTCGGCACGCTGGGGGGAAGTCTGGCACGATCTTGTCTGCTAATTCTGGTTTTCCTGCGATACGCTGCAGCATCAAGGCCGTCCATGTCTCGCGCAGTTCGTTGTTTTCGGGCGTGTCTTTGAAGATTGCCGCAAAGCGCTGGAAATATCCCTTTTCGACACCCCTTCGGTATTCTAGATACGCCTTGGGATCTTTCCACGTCTCTAGCTGTGACTCGGAGAACAAATTTGGCTCCAGTCGACGGACTCCCACATTTCCGCTGCTGAATGAATCTGCGATCCAAGTTGGATTCCGAGCGTAATGATCAACGTGACTAGCGAATGGTTGAATGGATGGCAGGACTTGCAAGCCGGAAGCGCCATTTCCGATAAGAGCGATTCGCTTGCCTTTGAGATCGGTGCTTGGATCCCAGTTAGAGGAATGAAACAGTTTTCCCTTATAATTATTGATTCCTTCATAGTCGGGTAGCTTCCAGGCATTGAAATGACCGATGGCGTTGATTAACACGTCTAGCTCTTCCTCGTAGATCTGTTGCATCGATGTGAGCATAAAACTTCAAGGATCAGCAATCATTTCTTACCTTTGAGCCATCCACATGCTCAACAGTGACCTTCCATTTCCCTTCCTCGGGCTGCCATTCGGCCTTTTGGACTCTTTGTCCAGCGCGAAGGTACTGGTACACATTGTGCTTCCGTGCAACACCCTGCCAGTATTGTTTAATCTCCTCTCCCTGGGCGAATTCTTCCGTCCATTGGGTATTTGGTGAGATGCTGGATTGATATACATGTGCAGGGATATCGCATCGAACGCCAGGATATGTATTCTCGAACCTGTTTGATCTAAGTTAGCAACTTCCTCACGCTATTGAATACAAGACCAGAATGGAGAATGTACCATGTGCCTCCCTAAAGAATGTGGGTTAGCTCTGAAATAACCCATCTATTGAAAATAACTTACTACATCGGCATTCTTATCATAGATTCGAAGATCAAGTCCCGGTAGCTTCGCAGGAAGCAACACGCCCGCGGTAATCCCTGCAAGACCCGCGCCGATGATACCGACTTTGATGGGTCGCACCACATCAACCGGGTGTTCCTCCAGCTCAAATCGAATATTCTCAATCTTCTCTGATAACCCGTTGATATCACTATCCACCGTTACAGTGGTTGGTCCATTAAAGTCGGAAGGACCCTTGATCGATTCCGAGGCAGGTCCGATATTAGATAGTGAGGGAAGAGCGACCTCGGGGGATTGCACAAGAGTCATGGCGAAGACTTTTTTTCTCTGTTTCTCTCTTGGAAATTTTTTAAACAATCACAGCCTGAAAATGCAACTGCTGTCGCACTGAGTTGGATATACCAGCATTCTTGTAGACGACCCCGCCTGCACGTCATGCGCAACGTTTCACACGCCACTTGATGCGAATTGAAATCCTTCGCATGATAAGTAGCTTCATTTGAAATATTGGTGTTTGATATGCATCCATATTGTGATGTTCTCGATTGATTTGATGTGGCTAACATCATCATGGTCCGCGATGGCGTGCCGAGGTTATCGTGAACACCATACTATCCACTCCCCACGCCATTGCGGAGTGCATTGGAGTACTCCGTACATGTTGGGGTATTTCTGGGATGTCGCCATTTGGTATCTCGGCCGAGCTCTTTGGAGATATCCCTTTTACACAAGGTATTTAAGATCTTCGAAGTTCTGGAAGTTCAACTCATATTCATTTTGCAATTATATTTGCATACTTATTGATCTAACAATACAGAGCTGAGACTATGATTATTATATGATTAAACATGCTGAGATTGAAGCTCGAGGACGTAGGCTGCTGAATGTGACATTGTTCACTAATATGAAGATCTTTGAGAGGTTCTATATGAAATTGGGGTTAGGGAGAGTATACATTTCAGATATTCGAGGAAAATCAATGCTCTCACAGAGAATTTTCAATATACGATATTTCAACTCTCCAAACCCTCGAGATCTACCAAGATTTGTTAGTAAAAATGCCCGAACAAAGGCGGTTCCACTCACAATATCCCTAAACAACCTGACAGCTAGCGCTTGCACTGTATCTATATATTTTTTCTACTAGGAGCAACTAGTAACCCCCTACTAGGAATTACTAGTGAAAATCTACTATGTTGTAGCTACTAGCAAGCAAAATTCACCTGACAACCTGACCACCCGGCCCCCTGTTCATGTCCCACATCTGCAGGTTTAGCGTATGACTCAAATGATAAGCCAGGCACCAGACTATGATTTCTTCAACTACCACTATACAAAAAAAGTCATCTCATGATATCATCCATTTATTGAAGCCCAATTAGACATTTCGAACAATACCTACCCAGCGCTCAACATTCATTTTTCTTCGCATCCACCATGTCCGTTATCCCAAAAACAAGTGGAACCCCACCTAAAACATGGACACGAGATACCAACCCCGAATTCTTCATCTCAAGCGATCCAAAGTTACTCTCTGTCAAGGCTGTCAATGCCGCATTTGATAGAGACTTTGTTTACTGGGTTAAGGAGCCCTTCCCAGAGGATGTGATGTGGCAGATGCTCCACGGTGCCTTGAGTTTTGGAGTGTACCGGTGGACCCTGCCTGCACAGACGGTCAATGATTCTACCATCCCATGTTCGGAGAACACTGAGCAGATTGGACTTGCTCGCGTAGTCACAGATGGTTGTTCATTTGCTTATCTGTCGGATATCTACGTTCTTCCCGAGTACCAAGGCAGCGGACTTGGCAACTGGCTTATGTCTTGTGTTGTTGAGACCCTTTCGAACATGCCGTATCTACGTCGGATTATGTTGCTCACTGATGATGAGCGCATGCAGGCTTTCTACACGAAGTTGTTTGGCATGAAAGTTGTTGGGCGTGAAGAACGAAAGGACATGGGGAGAGATTTAGTGTTTATGTGTGCGAGACCGCATGCACAGCCATAATCAGATCGAACTGGTTAATCTGGATGTATTGCTTGGTACTCGGTATTTAAGCAAGGGAGCGAGCCTTGCGCCTCTGGTAGCTCGTGGTCACCTTTTCATTCTCTACCATGGAAGTTGCAAAGGAGTTGGCAGGTTCGTTCCAAGAACAGGTTCTGCGGTGCCGATATCTCTGTCATGAATATATTAGCTTGGTTTCTGATCATAGGCAATCAAATATCTAACCTTGGTCCTGCTGGCGCCCAATATTCTCCGGTTTTGCTGATATCAAATCCTTCAATGAAAGACGCAAGCGTTTTCGCTGCTTCATCCGGTGTCACGGCTGTTTTCCGAGAGATATCGGGTTAGATCTAGTAAGGTCACGAGGTCCTTTCATAAGGCCTGTAAAAGAGTAGTGCACTAATCACTCACCTCCACCTGCATCCCAGTACTTATCGAATCCAACGCCCTTCGTCATCTCCGTCCGCATAAATCCAGGATGTACCAGACCAACTGCAATCCCCATCGGCTTCAAGTCCAAACTTAAAAGCTTCCCGACCATATTCAAAGCAGCCTTACTGGCATGGTGGCCATAGTTACCCCCGCCTTCCTTCTCGTGGCGCAACGTGATGCTGCCGCTCTCACTGCTGATAAGGATCACTTTACTTCCCTGGTCCAACAATCCTGCTTTGACGAGATGGTGTACCACAAATACGGGGCCAATTGCAGAGGTCGTGTACATTTGAACCTGCTTGTTCCAGTCTGGAGACTCGAATGTCTCAAAGCCAAAGTATCCGGCGCTGACGATGGCTGTTGAGATCTTTGTAGTTGGAAGCTGCGAAACAAGCTTTTGGCCCACATCTGGTTGGGAGATATCAATCCCCGTCAGCCAAGTGACTCCTGGGCTTGGCTCTGGGTTGGAGGATCGGGAGGTTGCAAACACATGGGTCGCTGTCTCTGCGGAGTACAGTGTCCGCAGAGAGGCACCCAATCCTCGAGTGGCACCTAAAATTAGGATGTTTTTGGTCATTTTGTTGTAAGTTGAAGTACGTAATATAGTACTTGGAGGTATGGGTTTGTAGAAAGGTCATCTATATCGCCCGGAGGCGGGTTCCACCTGGGCAGGTGACGGGGGTCTTATGTAATGCCAAGCCAAGGTACCTCAGGTGCCCGGGTTGGGTTCGGGTTGCGGGTTGGAATCTCTTACCCGCAGACTAGAAATGCAGTACCAGCTAAATATGTTCAAACGGTCGTCAGAAATTCCGTGATGTGGTTCGGGTTTGCGGTTTTTAGCGCACTCTACTCTCACTATAAGCCAAACCATTGCTTCATGTCTTATACAGGTCACATTTTCTACTTGTTTGCATTGTTTACAGTGCTAAGTCTTATCAAAATCCCATGGGACCGGCACTGATAAGAATTCCACAAGGCTTCCAAAATCAGGACCACCCTGAGTCAAGGTCTGATTCACGCTCCACCAGGGTCAATGTTATGATAACTTCGATAGCATAAAATTCTCTATCAACCTAAAACTAAGACTACCTAGTGATCTGGATGTTAATAGCTGGCCAGATTCTGCCAGTAATCTCCGCCTTCGGCTGATAGAATGACACCTGCTCTTACATAGCTACACCAATTCAATAATACATTGGTCCAATAATCTATCTACTCCCGTAGAATCAAACAAGCACTAACCAATATCTATGATATATTAAAACAGAAATTCGACGTGGTCCAAAATCTGGGAGTGGGCGATGGTCGAAAATGCAGGAGAAGGGGATGGTCCGAAATACAGACTTCTTCTGCATTTTCGACCAAACCGAACCTCTGTACTCCGTATTGCGGGCTATCCATATTCTACCCGTACTATATGTACTAACTACTGGGCCATTGGGATGACGTAGTTACTCCTGGACGGCTCCCCGAAGCCGGCCCTAGAGGGCTGCCCAGGCCTATAAAAACTTCCAAGGGTTCTAACTAGTTATAGCCAATTGATTCTGTATAATGTAGGTTATAGGCTAGGTTTTATATTGCCTATATTATGTTCTTATCAATTGCTTACATTTTAGGTGGAAGCATTTCTCTACAATTGGACGTGACATTCGGGAACTTTATCTAGTTTGATCTATTGGTCATACTCGATACGAGAGCCAAGCTTGCGATGTCTCACTGGAGGTATCGGCATTTCATTTGCTTGGATGTTACGACGCTACGATGCTAGTCGATCTCTCAACCCAAGTGGACCATCGAGAGGCTTAGTCATATGCTATTTAAGGACCGCGGGATCTACGGCCCCCTTCAATTAACCTGTTTAATTTCGATGAGCTCATGCAAAGTGCGCCTCTCGTTGGGAGCCAGTCAATTCATGTGTTCTAGGGCTCAAGAATGACTGGCTTTGCCAAATTCGCCCTCTCCGTTCAAAAAGTCCGGGCTGCGATTCATAACAGGAGAAAGGCGGGCGCCAAGGACCAGCGCGGATCGTCTTTAAGGTGAGATCTTTTGCGACAATTCGCGAAAATTCACTGGCTCACTTCCGTATCAGAAACGACTATGCAGATATTCCACCGTCCTCCCCATGGGACCTCCCCGTCGAGATTCAAATCCGCATCTTTGCATATTCCGGCATCACCGACTTCCATCCGCTGAGACTCGTCTGCAAGGCTTTTTACCAACTGCTCACCAGGAATGAGCATGAGATTGTCCGGCAGTATCTCCGCTTACGTCGCCACGGTACCCTTCCATCCCCAATCGACGAGGACCGCATCTATACTCGAAACCCAGGCGATGATGTCGTGCTGTTGTCAGACCTATTCCCGCCGTCCAAAAGCGCCAGGGGCGGCCATCTCTATACTTTCAAATACTTGCATGGGCTGAGACGAAGGCAAATGCTTTGCTCGAGGCTTTGCTACTACCTAGCAGATCGGATTCTCGATCGCTTCGTCCAGACCGAACCGGCCGTTATAAGGGCCTCATTTCCCGCAAAGCGAAACGAGCGCAACGCCCTTGTCAAGCGTGGCGTAACTAGCATATGGTTCCACCTTGCACCGCTCATGTAAGAACAGTGGGGAACTGCTTCCTTTTAGCAAGTCACTGACCTTTTCTCTACCAGGTACTATACACTCTATTTCCTCGAATCATATGCGTCAGTTCGACGCGAGCACACGCACACCCTCGTACAAAAATACGAGGCTGGTCAGCTGCCTGTACCCTTCCCCCTCGAGATACGCCAAAGGATGTACCGCGAGCTACAAACCCGGATTCTCCAAAGCCCTCCCTTCACCAACACGGCGGCATTGGTTGCGACACACCATTGCATGCATCTGCTTGTTTCATCTATACGCTACTCTATGTCCCCAGACGGACAAACTGAGATTGATGATTCGTGGATTAGCTCATTACTCACATTGGCACCGTTTGTGCGGATAGTCGAGTTTTTCTCCGCTGAGATCGGGGACGGTGGGAGCCAGCGAACACAACGCAAGGAATTTATGTACAACTTCTATAACGACATGACGAAGTATGAAAAGGATCACATGAACTCGGTTGTTTTTGCGCGCGCGTCTGCGCAGAACTTGCATAGTTCGGTGCAAGATATCTGGTTTGCTGCTGCTGAGGCTGAGTTGAGAGCCCGGAGAGCGATACCCCATGACGTAGAGCACGTCTGGATCTGGAATGGGATTCCAATTGTTTTTGGGTGTCCGGATTGCCATCCCACAAGAGGATGGCAGGCATGATACACTGGGTTTTAAGTGTTGGAGGCGCCTGGGGTCTAGTTTCTTTCTTATACTGGAGTTGAATAGCTGAACATTCCAACTAAATGCATTTAGATTTGCATTCTAATCTATTTTGTTCTTCTCAAATTAAAAGAAAGTCCTAACTAGTATGTAGTTGTTGTAGTCGAAGTGATTTGGACAGTTGATAGTGTTTGCTTAGTTTGCAACACGCACGCGTCGCTATGTACATCACCGAGTATCAATCTTCTCGACAATAATGTGCTTCAATTGTAGCATAAGAATTAGCCGAGGTCATTGCAGGCCCACACATTGAATTCCATGGAGCACGCAGACTCACGACAGTTGTTCAACACTTCTTGGACCATTCACCGTCTATCCCCTCTGCATCATGGAAAGGACTGTGAAACACTCCTAGACAACCAAGTTGCCTTGAAAACATATGCAACGCGTCTACGCGACCATCTCACAGGCGATATCATCGCTGGTACTCATACAAGCATCAGTGCAGCAGATGACGATGCGCTCTCAAAGACAGGCGCTCTAAAAGATTGTCTATGGCGTTCAATCTCCCCTCAATCATTGCGCGACGAAGCGCCAAGCAGCTCCCAGAATACAAAATTTCCTGGAATCCTTGTAACGCTAGAATACGAAAATATAGTCTACAAAGCAGCTTTGCTCGCAGACACAGAATCATCCCCAAATCAGCGCACGGGGTCCACATCTCTCCCTCTTCTTCTAACCAGATTTCCAACTGCGCTCCGGCAAACATTCCTCACCTTCCTATCTACCAATTTTGACACTTACTGCTCGCCTCTCCGGCTGCCGTCGAGCTTTCTTTGTGCTGGTCTAGAGACATATGTTGATACCCTGCGCACTCAACAGCCAGGTACAAGTGACACAGTCGAAAATGTTATCAAAGAGTTACAGCTCACACTCTCCTTTTCACCATCGATCGCACCAGCGCTGAGATCTCTCAATGTTAGCGTCACACGTGCTTCACTAACGGACTTCCTGCGCGATCACCCTCGACAGTCGGGGCCGAAGTCGCGCAGTCTTCAGCATAAACTGCGGAGCCCTTTCATCGCCAATCTTACTTCATACCTGGAGACGCATCTTGCCATGAAGCTGGATTTGGATGGGTCATCTTCAAACGAGCCTGCTAGGCAGCATGTGAGACTGTCGAAGATTGCCTGTGCTGCTTTTGTTTTGGGTAGTGAAGGACGCGTGAAGCTGGTTGTGGCTGATGATGGGGACGAGGGCTCCCGAGTTCGAGGCGACCAGAATGAACTTGCTTTGGAGGCTGGGGAATCGCTTCTACGGTCCGTGATACGAAAGGCTATTATCGGGGATCATTCGGCTACGTGAACTTCTGGATATTTTTCTGTGCCAGTGTGAAACTGGAACACGTTACAGTATCTTTGGAGCTCGCAACAAGCAGTCGGTCTGCGGTGTGAACCCATCAGCATGGTCCATCTTCACCTAAAAGTCCATGGCTTCGCTATCGAGGCCACCAGTAAGTTGGCCGCTGATGAGCTTCGAGCCAATACACACGGGTGCGCAAGCCGAGTAATCAAATACAGCGCCTAGCGTCGTGCTTTGGCCTGATGCTCCATCACTGTGGTAGTGCGGATGCTGCAGTCCCGGCTTTCATTGCCAAGATGGCACGCCCAGGAGAGCCGATCAGTGGTGTGTAGCAAAGCGGGAGGGTTTAATCCGGTTTCATTAAACCAAAGCTCATTGTCTGGGAAAAAATAATCGATCATGTTCTCTATCTCCTTGATAAGTGGTGCACTGTGACAGAACATCAGGTAGTACACCATTTTTGATTATTTTAGATAACCGAAATGCAATATGTATAAAACATCCAACCCGTATCCAAACACACGTCACCAATTTTAACATGATATATACACTATATCTCCTGTGTCTGATTCTCTGATTCCGCCAACCGCAGCGCTTCATCAACACTGGGCACGAAATGACTCAATCCCCCACACTCCTCAACAATACCACTTCGCTCAAACATGCGGAACACATTGCTATTCGGCAAACGACAGAAGAAAACTCTGACGCGTTGCTCTGCGTACGCGTGCACGATCTCCGAGAGAACCTGGGTACCAGACCCATCGATACTTGTAACGCCATGAACGTCAAAAATAATATTCTTATTATGCTCCGGCGCGCGCATGCGCGGCAGGGAAGGGTGAGCATGACTGGAGCCGTAAAGTTCCAGACGTCGCAGGCGATTCTTTAGGTCGCCTGTATTGGCAAACGTGAGGGGTTCGGGGATCTTGACGATCAGGGCGCCTTCGACTAGCTCCACGTTTTCTGGGTGGAGTTCAGCGTTGTCGAAACGCGCAGCTGTGCCTAGGACCTTGCCCAGAATCTGGATTCGGGGGTGCGTTGCGTGTCGGATGAGGATTATCACTGACAGGCCCATTCCCATGGCCATGCCTAGTTCCAGGGAGTAGAAGATTGTTGTTGTGAAAATGAGGAGCATGAGGACGATCTCTGACCATCCGCGCAGGCGAACGAAAAAGAGTAGGTCATGCGGGCATTCTTCCACTAGGGTGAAGGCCACAACGGAGATCATAGAGCACAGGACTGCTTTCTATTAGGTAATTAGCATCGTCAGCATTTGGAAAAAGCACACAGGTTTGGGAGGGACGAACCGGAAGGTAGTAGAGATAAGGCAAAAGCACCATGACACATGTGAATGTAATGATGCTTAGGAAAACACTAGTCATAGGTGACCGTGCTCCTGTCTGTGAACTAAGTTTGCTTCGTCCGTATCCGCCAAATGCAGGCAGGGCAGAGAAGCAGCCTCCGACGACATTGGCAACGCCTAATGCAACCATCTCACGATTAGCACTCATATACATTCCTTTGATTCCATTGGAATTGCCTTCGCCCAGCCCCTTTGCCGCAACAGATGACTCAAAGAAGCCAAGTAGCGCGATAATAAACGATTTGCTCAATGCTGTGCGCACATGTTTCATATGCGCAAGCTGGAAGGGCCAGTTGAAAGCGAATAGTCCTCCAGATCCGACCTCCGTAGGTCCAAGAATTTCGAGCCCTTTGGCTTCCCAGTCGAGGTGCCAAGCCAAAACCGCCGACAGTGCAACAACAAGGAAGCGGTCTGGGAAATAAATCACTTGAGGGATACGAGGCACAAGCATCTTTTTCAAAGTTCTTTAGAGAATCAGTATGATGTATATGAATCCATGGATGCGGTACGAACCTGAACACCATGATGACAGAAAAGCTGACAATCGAAACAATAGCAGTTAGTCCATGGCAATCTCGAGCATGTCGAATGATGAAAATAAGTTTTTCAACACTGGTACCATGGCTAACGCCGGATTCTTTGGCATGCTCGGCCAGACCCAATTCCGGGATAAGCTGGTCTACAAAGATCACAAAGCCGATAGCAGTGATGAATCCTCGCAAGAATGGTCGACTGAGTACGTTGTCCAAAAACCCTAGGCGGGTTAGTCCGGCAATCAGTATCATGCCACCGGACATTGCAGTAGCCACTCCTACAATAAGAGCGGTTTCTGTAAGGTCGTCCTCGCCTGAGTTTCCTTGCATGACACTTGCTTTGACAATAGCACCTGTTAGGAGGGAACCCGCAGCCTCTGGTCCAACTACCAAAAGAGGGCAGCTTCCTAGGATGGCATAGATCAAGGGATGGATGACGAAAGAGTAGAGACCACTGATGGGTGGTGCATGGGCAAGATTAGAGGCCAAAGAGAGGGCCATCGGGATGTAGATAGACGCCACAGTCAACGCAGCCATGAGATCTCCGCGCAGAAATGACCAATGATATTGGCCAATCCAATTTAAAAACGGAATGTAATAGGATATATATCTGCCATTGATTCGTCAGCGACCAGTGTTGAAGCAGGCCATGAGTGTGCTCGCGGTGTATGAATAATGAACAAGATACGACCTACTGTTTGTTCGTGTCGGTTATTGGGAAAGTAAAAGACGATTTCATCTGTGACGGAGCCTCTGAGTCTGGGACCGACTCTGGGTGGTCTACTCCACCTCTAGGGCGATCGGCCGCGCCGTCTGTCACCTCATGTCCGTTATGCCCAAATGTATCGCCCGGTCCTCCAATGTATGATTGTGCTCCCGCATCTTCTACCTGCGGCGAAAATGTGCCATGGCTGCAGCGCCTTTCACCGCACGCAGGACCAGCCTGAAGGTATGATTCCAGAAGCCGAGTTCTCACATCTGGTTCGCTCGTAACCCCAGTGCCGGTCCGGCTGGCCTGTGCGGTATAATTTTCATGGCTCGCATTTGTCGAGATCCCAAGGCCAGTTTGAGGCGATGAACGGAAAGCGTCGACAATGCGGTCTCGTAGAGTCCGACGTCCGAGTCCGTCAGGCTCCCCGGGAAGTAATGAACTTGTTTCAGACATGATCTTTTGGAAAGAGACGTTTGGAGGAGTATTAGTTCAAAGATTCAGATATTAAGTAGCCCGCCATCAATAGTAACTGGTCATAAAATTAGGTAAAAGATTGAAAGCAATTGGAACGACAAGTCCAGCCCAAATTGTTTTTTGTTGGCCAGGCAAGGGTCACGCTAGGGGACCGATAAGCGGGGAAAGCAAGCGTTATCGTTAATTCAACGCAGGTCCTCGGAGAATGGCTATGCAATGAGAGAAAGCATAAATAGCATAATCTCAGGAAGTTTTCTGATTCGTAGAATGGTCGGATGCCATCTAAGTACTGAGGATTATATATGTTGTACAAGAAAATATGCCCAGGTGTTCCCCGGGCTGTTGTTGCCGTTGACGTAATTTATTGATAGATGTGTCAGCCAAGATAAACGGGGCCTAAAGGGCTGAGGTCGAAGGCGGTGTAAAACTGATATCACGTGCCTTTTGGTCCCGTGACTGATCAGGTCAATGTGGGTTTTGAATGTCCGCCACAAAGAGATAGATTGTGCCTTATTCACGTCGCCTATCCCCTCTGCGCTCCTGTTTCTCCGGACCATACGATCACTCATATCTTATTGGTCACCGCCTTGATCGTCTCGATTGTACTATCAAATCCGTCTCTTTTGCACCTAAAATTTCCCCGAGGAAAAAAAACAGAACCCCGCCAACATGTCTTTAACAAACTGTCGGTTCTATGAGGACAAGTACCCGGAGGTGGACAGCTTTGTCATGGTGAATGTCAAGCAGGTATGGATTAAATGGCTTATTAAATGAGAGATCAAAGCGACAGGGACTGATTTTTGTGTGAAATGAGCTAGATCGCCGAGATGGGCGCATACGTGAAGCTGCTTGAATATGACAACATCGATGGCATGATTCTTCTCTCAGAACTCTCTCGCAGACGTATCCGCAGTATCCAGAAGCTCATCCGCATTGGGCGCAACGAGGTCGTTATTGTGCTTCGTGTCGACAAGGAGAAAGGTAAGGATACATGATTTGCCCTGGAAGAATTCGAGAACTAACTTGTCAACTTGAAGGTTACATCGATCTGTCGAAGCGACGTGTCTCCCCCGAAGATGTCATCAAGTGCGAGGAGCGTTACAACAAGAGCAAGGCTGTGCACTCTATCATGCGCCACGTCGCAGAGGCCACTCAGACCCCGCTGGAGACCCTATACGAGACCATCGGGTGGCCTTTGAACCAGAAATATGGCCACGCGCACGATGCCTTCAAGATCTCTATTACGTAGGTTCTTATCTCTTTTTTATCTCATGATATGATCGAATTTCTCTGACCGTTGTTCTTTTCAGCAACCCCAATGTCTGGGATGAGATCACCTTCCCTAGCGATGCCGTCAAGAGTGAGCTGCAGCAATACATCAGCAGCAAGCTGACCCCTCACCCTACCAAGGTCCGTGCCGATATCGAGGTTACCTGCTTCGGTTATGATGGAATCGATGCCGTCAAGGATGCCCTCCGTACCGCCGAGGCCGACAACACCCCCGAGAACCAGATCAAGGTCAGACTGGTTGCTCCTCCTCTCTACGTCCTGGCCAGTCAATGTCTCGACAAGACCCTCGGTGTCAAGTTGCTTGAGGAGGCCATTGTGAAAATCGAAGAGCGTATCAAGTCACACGGCGGTAGCTGCACCGTCAAGATGGCGCCCAAGGCTGTCACTGAGCACGATGATGCGATCCTGCAGGAGCTTATGGAGAAGCGTGAGCGTGAGAACACCCAGGTTAGCGGAGATGAGGACTCGGAAAGTGATGAGGGTGTTCCCGAATAAGCAACGGGTTACAATTCCGAAGGGGCATACAGCGGTCATCAGCGCTGGCATCCAAAGTTGGAATCACCGCTAGAGGAGAGTTGGGCAAAAATGGATAGGAAAAAGCTTGCACATATCGGAGAAGGGCTCGATGGGTCAGTGTGCTGATGGGCAGGATTGCAGTCAGAACTCGCTCTTTAGCCAAGGCAGTCGCCTGAACTTCGGGTCTGGGGATGATATATCTACGCCTGTGTATGCACTTCATGCCAATTGCGGTCGAAATCCTCGTGCCCACCGTCTGTCGGAGACGCTGAGTCCGCACAAGGTGCAAGTTCTGATGCACATAATGTTTGCGATGCAACCGAGACGTTCAATGCCAGTCATGCTTTAAAATGCAAATTCGTACCCTTGTAGAGACTGCATATGTACCTATATGTAGATTCATAAATTCATTAATTCATTTCTATAATTTAGATCGAATGCCCATATTTCCAATATTCAATGTACTTTGTACATTCAATAATGGCGGGGAGCTGAAGCTTATCTACCGCCGATCATCATTGGGTGCCCCCTCAAGCCAAAAAAAACTATCGGCGAACTCAAACTCTCCTTTTATTTTCACTCTTGTTTTTCTCCATCTTTCGCATATTCTACTGCGATATGGGACATTGGAGAAATCTCTTTCGCTCCGATCGTGGCAGGACCCGGCACCGCGTTCAGGTAGAACGTCGTCGGCGTACGTCATTTACAAACACGGGCTGTGGAACACTGCTAACAAGTCGTAGTGCTACCTGCCTATGCTGCCGAAGAGTCTGATGCCTCTGATGCTTCAAAGGAAATTGCCAAGGTTGCTCTTCGGCTGAAGTATCAAATCGAGCAGGTTGTCTCCTGCGAAGTAGAGGATAGTGTCTTGACCAACCCAAACAGCCGCATCATCACGGATGATGTGGTTGCATCTGCTAGACAGGCTGGTGGAGAAGATTACAAAGCATGCGTTGTCTATTGTCTTCTAATTTGTCTACGATGGTTCAAGATTCAATCCTCCGTCGAGCTTTGGGATTCCGATCTCCATGAGGTTCGGGCTGTGGCGTGCGAGGTCATCGCCAAGCGCATGTAATGCTCCTATGAAATTCCAGATTCTCTGCTATTTACTGATTAACTTGGGCAGTATCGAATCCGAGAAGGACCAAGATTACGTGCTGAAACACATTTTACTCAAGCGATACTCTATCTTTAGTGAAGGAGTAGAGACTGAACCTGCCAATGTTGTTGAACGAGCGGTAGATCTTCATGCCTTGAGGATCATTAGCTCTGCTCCTTACCAGAGATGTATCCAGTACCTGTGGAAGGGTTGGATCTGCCAGGAAGAAGGCAACCCAACTAACTTTGTCGAGTACACCGAGAAGTCCAACACCGGGTACTGGGTGCATTTTCACCCTGATCGGATGCGGACTCCTCTGTATCAGAATGTCTGTCAAATTTTGTTTTCCTTGGTTTACCTCGCGATTTATACGCAAGTCATCAACAGCGTGAACCCAACCGGTGACCTTGATGTGGCCGAAGCCATTCTTTACGTTATGACTCTTGCGTTCATGTGTGACGAGGGGGTCAAGTTTTGGAAAGTTGGGTGGAATTACCTCGAATTCTGGAATGCCTTCAATTCAACCCTTTACGCGATCCAGGCAGCGTCACTTATCTTGCGCTTTCTTGCCTTGGCACACTCGTCATCCACTCACGATAAACAAAGGCAGCTATACAACGAGCTCAGCTACAATTTCCTGGCTTTTGCGGGCCCTATGTTCTGGATGCGCATGATGTTGTATCTTGATTCGTTCCGCTTCTTCGGTGCAATGTTTGTAGTTCTTCGAGTCATGATGAAGGAGAGCTTGATATTCTTTGCCCTTCTATTTGTGGTTATGGCTGGTTTCTTCCAGGCCTTCGTCGGCATGGCCCAAGTCGACCCTGATGTCCCTCTCCATCGAAACATTCTCCAGGGAATGGTAAATAGTATTATGCAGAGCCCCGAGTTTGATACTTTCCAGGATTTTGCATTTCCCTTTGGCATCATCCTCTACTATGTTTTCAATTTCATTGTTATGACTGGTAAGTTTCCGTTCGACTTGTTTCGGGATGATGTTAACAATTCTCAGTTTTGTTGAATATCCTCATCGCCTTGTACAACAGCGCATATACAGATATCTCTGGCAATGCTACAGAGGAGTACATGGCCATCTTCGCGCAGAAAACCATGCAGTTCGTTCGCGCCCCAGATGAAAATGTCTTCATCCCGCGTAAGTATTGATTCAATTCCGATAGCACATGCGTCACTAATTTGCTCCGGTTACTAGCATTCAACCTCATCGAGATTCTGTTTCTGGTGGCCCCATTCGAATGGTGGCTTTCGCGGGAGACCTATGCCAAGCTCAATGACTTTGTAATGGCCGTGATCTACTCGCCGTTGCTCACCATTGCAGCCTGGGTTGAGATCCGTCAAGCGCACCGAATTCGATGGAATCGCCGCCATGGCGAAGAAGATGATGATACTGCTCAAGAATGGGAGCATGTGGCTAAGGAGGTCAATTTTGATCTTGATGACACTTGGAAGCAACAGATAGCAGAGTCCACGCCGGATATCAAGGTTGATAGTTGTACTTATGAACTCAGAGAGCTGAAGGAGCAGGTTAGGTTGTTGACAGAGATGGTGAGGGAATTGACTCAGGAGAAAGTGGACAAGAAGGTGGATGGAGCAAGTTAGGGAAGCCGAAGCCATTATATATATCAGCATGTTCAAACAGCACTACCACCAGAACATTACATAGGTAGTAATGTTGAAACTTGAAACTTGAAACTTGATTGGTTATTGTGCCTTCGTATAACCTTCTGGGTTTAAAAGTATAGATGAATGTTTATGCAAACTTCATTTTCCACAACCCCCCAAAAAAACTCCATAATAATACAATTAACTAATAACCAAAAAACAAAAGGAGCAAAAAAAGAAATCTCAGGTTTTGTTTTTAGGAATAGCCGAACGCGGGGGTCGAACCCGCAGCCTTAAGATTAAGAGTCTTACGCTCTACCGATTGAGCTAGCCCGGCCGGGCTGTTGGAGGAGGCTGCACTTTAGTGCTACATAAGCCAAAAGCGGTCCAGGGGTTCACCCCGGGGCCTAGGTAGAGACAGGCTGACATAATGCTAGCGCGTCGAGCGGCGAATCCTCTGGAACCAAAATTGTAAGGTGGAAGGTGGCTTCATCTACGAATCTGAGCATTTCCTACATTGGATCCTATCATTGCTTCCCTGTTTCGTATGAGTCTTTAAATTTCTGGTTGTTTGACTCTGACCGCGGTCACTAAATTGCCATCATGTGCGTTCCCAGAACCTCCCCCCGATTCTTTGCTCCAACTAACAGTATACAGGGCAAAACTCGTGGATGACCCTCAGATCCATACTGCCTCGTTGCATAACCCACTCCCTTGGCAATTGCATACATATGTCTGGCCTTTCCTGATCATCTGGCCTGTGTTCTTCGCCTTTTACCTCTCCCCCGATCGTTATGATACCTACATTCAGGGACAGGAATGGACCTTCGTGTTCGCGGGGTCTATCGTCACCTTCCAATCGCTCTTCTGGCTGATGACCAAGTGGAACATTGATATCAACACCCTATTCACTACCACTCGATCCAAGTCCATCGACACTGCCCGGCTTATCAAGGTGGTTCCCATCACTAATGCTGGCTCTGCCGAGATCTGCACATTGATTAGAGAGAACAACGGCCCGAAGAAGACTCTTTCATTCCTCTTCCAGAAGCGCCGCTTCCTCTTTTACCCGGAAACTCGCACATTCGCACCCCTATCCTACGCCCTTGACGCCGAACCAAAGCCGGCGCTCAAGACTTTCCAACTGACCGAGGGCTTCACGTCGAAGGCCGAGATCGACCGTATCCAAAACCACTATGGCGATAACACCTTCGATATCCCTGTTCCTGGTTTCCTTGAGCTCTTCCAGGAGCACGCTGTTGCGCCGTTCTTCGTCTTCCAGATTTTCTGTGTCGGATTGTGGATGTTGGATGAATACTGGTACTACTCGCTTTTCACACTCTTCATGCTTGTTATGTTTGAGAGCACTGTTGTGTGGCAGCGCCAAAGGACCCTGAACGAGTTCCGTGGAATGAGCATCAAGCCTTACGATGTTTGGGTATACCGTGAACGGAAATGGCAGGAGATCACTAGTGATAAGCTTCTTCCCGGCGACCTCATGTCAGTGAACCGCACCAAGGAGGACAGTGGCGTTGCCTGTGATATTCTTTTGATTGAAGGTAGTGTCATTGTGAACGAGGCTATGCTTTCTGGCGAGAGCACACCTCTTCTGAAAGACTCCGTCCAGCTCCGTCCCGGCGATGACTTGATTGAACCGGATGGATTTGATAAGCTCTCGTTTGTGCATGGCGGTACCAAGGTCCTCCAGGTTACTCACCCTAATCTGACTGGCGACTCGGGCTTGAAGAACTTGGCCAGCAACGTTATCATGCCCCCAGACAATGGTGCTTTGGGTGTGGTTGTTAAGACTGGTTTCGAAACCAGCCAGGGTAGCCTTGTTCGGACCATGATTTACTCGACTGAACGTGTCTCTGCCAACAATGTTGAAGCTCTGTTCTTCATTCTCTTCCTACTGATTTTCGCAATTGCCGCTTCGTGGTACGTGTGGCAAGAGGGTGTGATCCAGGACCGCAAACGCTCCAAGCTTCTGCTCGACTGTGTCCTCATCATCACCAGTGTTGTTCCTCCCGAACTACCCATGGAACTGAACTTGGCCGTCAACACTAGTCTTGCTGCTTTGAGCAAATTTGCCATTTTCTGCACTGAGCCTTTCCGTATCCCCTTCGCTGGTCGTGTTGACATCGCTTGCTTCGACAAGACCGGTACCCTGACTGGAGAGGACCTTGTCGTTGATGGTATTGCTGGACTCACCCTAGGTGAACCTGACTCGAAGGTCGAAGCCGATGGTGCTCACCCCGAATTGGCCAATTCCTCTGCTGCTGGACTTAACACCACTCTCGTTCTCGCCAGTGCTCACGCCCTGGTGAAGCTGGATGAGGGTGAGGTCGTCGGTGATCCTATGGAAAAGGCTACATTGGAATGGCTCGGCTGGACTTTGGGCAAGAGCGACACTCTGTCTTCCAAGGGCAACGCTCCCGTTGTCGATGGTCGCAATGTCGAGTCTGTTCAAATCAAGAGAAGGTTCCAGTTCTCCTCGGCCCTGAAACGCCAGAGTACTATCGCCACCGTCACCACAAATGACCGCAAGTCTTCGAAGAAGATCAAGTCTACCTTTGTGGGTGTCAAGGGTGCCCCCGAGACCATCAATACTATGCTGGTCAACACACCTCCCAACTACGAAGAAACCTACAAGCACTTCACCCGCAATGGTGCTCGCGTGCTTGCTCTTGCCTACAAGTACCTTTCATCTGAATCCGAACTTTCCCAGAGTCGCGTGAACAACTATGTCCGCGATGAGGTTGAGTCTGAGCTGATTTTTGCCGGTTTCCTTGTCCTGCAGTGCCCCCTGAAGGATGATGCCATCAAGTCTGTCCGTATGCTGAATGAGAGCAGCCACCGTGTTGTTATGATCACTGGTGATAACCCGTTGACCGCTGTCCATGTCGCACGCAAGGTCGAGATTGTTGACCGTGAGGTTCTCATCCTTGATGCCCCTGAACATGACAACTCTGGAACCAAGATCGTCTGGCGTACCATCGACGATAAGCTCAATATCGAAGTCGACCCCACTAAGCCCCTCGACCCGGAGATTCTGAAGACTAAGGACATCTGTATTACTGGATATGCTCTGGCAAAGTTCAAGGATCAGAAGGCTCTCCCTGATCTGCTCCGTCACACCTGGGTTTATGCTCGTGTGTCCCCCAAACAAAAGGAAGAGATTCTTCTTGGTCTCAAGGATGCCGGATACACCACTCTGATGTGCGGCGATGGTACCAACGATGTTGGCGCTCTTAAGCAGGCCCACATTGGTGTCGCGCTCCTGAACGGCTCGCAAGAAGATCTCACCAAGATCGCTGAACACTACCGGAACACCAAGATGAAGGAGCTGTACGAGAAGCAGGTCGGCATGATGCAGAGATTCAACCAGCCCACGCCTCCAGTCCCTGTTCAGATCGCTCACCTGTATCCTCCCGGTCCTTCCAACCCACACTACCAGAAAGCCATGGAGCGGGAGTCGCAACGCAAGGGTGCTGCGATCACCGCTGCTGGTGGAACCCCCGAAGCTATCCCAACCATCACATCTCCTGGCGCTCAGGCCTTGCAGCAATCGGATTTGACACCCCAGCAGCTGAAAAAGCAGCAGGCCCAGGCTGCTGCAGCTGGCCTTGCAGACAAGCTCACAGCTTCTATGATGGAACAGGAATTGGATGACGGCGAGCCTCCTACTATCAAGTTGGGTGATGCATCAGTCGCTGCTCCCTTCACCAGCAAGTTGGCCAACGTTATTGCTATTCCGAATATTATTCGCCAGGGTCGTTGCACCTTGGTTGCGACCATCCAGATGTACAAGATCCTTGCTTTGAACTGCTTGATCAGTGCCTACAGTCTGAGTGTCATCTACCTGGATGGCATTAAGTTCGGTGATGGACAGGTCACCATCAGCGGTATGATGATGAGTGTCTGCTTCCTTTCTATTTCCCGTGCCAAGGTATGTCGCACTCATTCATGTTGATAACGTGCTTTACTAACGTTTTAATGTGTTAAGTCTGTCGAGGGTCTGTCTAAGGAGCGCCCGCAGCCCAATATTTTCAACGTCTACATCATTGGATCTGTTCTTGGACAGTTTGCCATCCACATCGCGACATTGATCTACCTCTCGAACTATGTCTATAAGCACGAGCCGTACGTTATGGGAACCTCGTTCTAATTTTTCACACTTCATGACTAACAAAATCGACAGGAGAAATTCCGATATTGATCTCGAGGGCGAGTTTGAGCCTTCCCTCTTGAACAGTGCCATCTACCTCCTCCAGCTGATCCAGCAAATCTCCACCTTCTCCATCAACTACCAAGGTCGTCCCTTCCGCGAGTCAATCCGCGAGAACAAGGGCATGTACTGGGGTCTTATCGCTGCAACGGGTGTTGCATTCTCCTGCGCCACCGAATTCGTTCCCGAGCTGAATGAGAAGCTGCGCCTCGTCCCCTTCACCAATGATTTCAAGATGACTCTGACCGTGCTGATGATCTTGGACTACGGTGGCTGCTGGTTGATTGAGAATGTTCTTAAGCACCTGTTCAGTGACTTCCGTCCTAAGGATATTGCTATTCGTCGTCCTGATCAGCTTAAGCGCGAGGCGGATCGTAAATTGCAAGAGCAAGTCGAAGCCGAAGCCGAGAAGGAGCGGCTAAGAAAGGTTTAGTCTGGTGGATTGAAGGTCTGTATCTGTATACATAGAGAGGAGGTTGTTGGATTTTAGAAATGTTCATGTGGTGCATGACATTTAATACATGTTTTTTTTGACTTTTTTTCGAACAATCTAGTACAAATGTTTTTTTTATTCTTATCTTTGATTTGAAGTTACTACTCCTGCTAGCAATTACAATAGTAGACCTGTTCTCTATGATTGTGTAGCATTTCCTACAGTGGTTACAAATGAAAGCAATTTAATAAGGTAGATTCTCACAGACCAACGACACGGTGCCACCCCGTACATATTTATATCTACGGACTTTATTGGACAGTATGACAGGGGGCTAGGGGGCGGTGAATAGATAATTTGAATACCAATAAGTGCCCGTTTCTCTTCAGCCCCCATGACTCCGTCACCCCATCTCAACCATCTCAATTCTCTATTATGGCTGAGAAATTATCTGAGGGCTGCAGTGCGTGTGGATGAACGCCCGAGCAGCAAAACCAATGCTCTTATTCGAGCCATGTTAAACTCTTTTGGTGCAAGCAGGCGGGGAGTGTGGTCGATTGGGACCGATGTGATTATGAAAGAACGCCCCGACGAAGGCCCCAAGTCCGAAGTGAATACAATGAATCAACTTGCAAACTATCCTGATATCCCAACTCCAAAGGTTCTGCGTGACTGGGTCGATGGTAACCAGTGATACTTTGTACTTCAAGAACGGATACTAGGATAAACGCTTGAGCAGGCTTGGCCTTCATTATCGGGATCCCAGAAAACGGCTATCGCGGACCAAGTGATTGAAGTTCGCAATCAGCTACGATCTATACAAAGTGTTGACCAGAGTCCTTGCTACCCAGGGTTACTTTTCTCTGACCGCGAGCCTCATGGACCCTTTCACTCTGACCTAGAACTCTGGGACGGTTTAAGCAGCACCCTCCCCGCATTCCCTCAACGAGCCTTATAAAATCTGAAAAAAAGACCCCCTAGGTGTGAGCCCTATGTCCTCACCCATTGTGGAAGACGATGGGTATTAGCCAATGACGAAAACGAAGCTGGGAAACGAGAAGCTCAGCCAGGGTCGACAAACATGCCAGGCAACTGACCATGAATAATACACCACCAATTGCAACTGGAGCGGGAGGAGGATACAGGGAGGAGGAGAGGGAGAGAGAGAGGGAGAGAGAGGGAGAGAGAGAGAGGGAGAGGGAGAGGGAGAGAGAAAGGTAGAAGGCGGAGGGTGCACTCCGCCGTATTTATTTGATATTTTTACTATATATAGGTTTGTGGGTTTGCAATATACGGGAATAGGCTGATTCTACACTCTTTATAAATCACCCTCTGTATCTACTTCCGGGAGGGATCCTAACTCGGCGTTTGGCTTCGAGTTCTTGCTTCAGCTGGATGCAGCGCCTGCATAGTCATACGCAACTAGTTAGACTGCAACAGGTCAATTGAACTTTGATTGATTGATTGATTCATCTGTGGCCCGGAATTTAGAACCTGGGAAGATTTTTGTTCTTTTAGGTTTGACATATTGGAGACATCGACAAAAAAGCCGAAAAGGATTCAGATTAGAAAATCGGGAAGTAGAAGGGTGTGTGGCAGATGAAGCGTAGATTAAGGAGAATTGAGACGGAAAGAAAGGTCGATTCTCATGAAAGAAACGTGCTGACCCCGCCTTAATCCTGGGAGATTTTAGCTTGGCTTGCTCGTTCTACAAGGATGTGCCCAATTTCGCAGAGACTTGGTCTAAATATTCTTCCTGAAAAAAAGGGGTTGTATGATATTCCCTGCGATCTCTATAGTTCCTGCTTCTTCTATCTTCATTCATCCTACCCGACGTCGCCGATGAGAAAGTAGCGGGAGTAGTGAAAGTTTCTGTTGGAATGGCATTGAGAGTGATTTTCGGCGGTCTCACTTACATTATCGAGTGTTTCTTCTAATTATATATGGGTGTGATATCATCTGAATAAATAATTTCAATTTACTACGTCAGTGAAGGCGTTTAGAGTAGATTTTTGGGTTATCCGCTGATATGTGCCTTGATGCACTATTGATTTTACAGGCACAACAAACAAGGAAATGAAACTAGGTATTGGAACATGGAGAGCTGAATAGTCGGTGAATTTCTTGGAACTCCACAGGGTTTGTAGATACAGCTGTATACATACGTGGGAGATCTATCCCTTGCATGGTGGCAATAGATCGTTGATACCATCACCACGATTAGAACCGAACGCGCGTCGTCATTTTGTAAAACAAGGCCGCGTTTCAATCATCCTGGAACCCGTTATCGTCGCAATGAAACTTTCCCTTGCTTCCACTGCCGCTTGTGTCTCGCAGCTGCAATGCAAAGCACATCGTGGGAAATTCACTGCAGACCATAGTATCATTTTAGCCTAAGGAATATTAGGAGACTATCAGCGAAGCCCTTTCTCACGAGCTCCATTTGAATTATGCATTGTGCATGTGTAAATGTTAATGCCCAATATACAATTTACGGCTAGGATGGATCACGAAATGAAGGATCTTTCTCCATGGGGTTTACTCAAATAGATAGGCAGTCAGTTATCGCTGGAATGTAATAATATGTAGTGTAGTACATCATATTCACAATGCAGCTTTTCTATTAAGGCTAGGACTGTGCCCTTGTTATGGCCCTGTTAATCACCTTGGCCATCGAGATCACATTGTCAGAAGATATGGGAATCTCATGGCCCTTGTCGTGAACAAAAACAGACCTAACCGCCTCATCACATGCCTGGCTAGCTGCCTCAGCCTTTTCCTTGTCTCGGTCGTGACATCCCCAAATATGAGCCGTCGGTATATCGAGAAGCCCATCAGCTGGATTGAACTTCGATCCAAACAATTGCCCTGCTAACAAGTCGTGGTACTGGAGTAAGCCTGGAGCGGAAAAGAAGATTCCCACTTTGAAGGGCAGCTGCACCGGTTTTTCGTCTTTTTGTTCCCGAAGCTTCTTGAACATCCACGACATAGCAAATGTGGCACCTAGGCTAAATCCCATGACGCCATCATATGGGCCCTCAGCCTGCACGTAATGCTCGAGATCGTTGAATGCCTTTATACAAGACTGTGGTGACGATGGGTTACAGTAGGCGAATGTTTCATCATCGGGAGGCAGTAATTCTCTCAAATCTAGTCTTGTAAGAATTTGCTGATCGCTAGGCTTAAAGACAAGCAAACCTTCATTAAGCGCCGAGGGAAAGGTTCCATCGACAAAGTCATAGCTGTGACTGTCGCCTAGCTCATGTCGAAGCGCATCTTAAACCCGATGTTAGTTCGATCTTTTGTTTATAGTATGAGATAGAGGTACCTGTTTGCCGTTTGAAGATCTATAGATTCGAGTTCAAAATAATCAGAAAATTGACCTTCATATGAACTTAGAAACCAACAGATCGTACCTCCGAATTGGTGCCCCTACCATGGAGACTGTCATGACCGTTAGCTACCTAGGGCGTGAAATATGACAATTTTGGGACATCATACCATAGAAAACGCATTTTGACAGAATTATAGCGCAGGAAAATCTTAACGAGGTGAAAAATGGGTATTTCCTCAAGGCTGCCAACTACACACGCCTTCAACCCCAAATATGTATGCAAGGTCTCAACTAGAAGAACCCGAGGGGTGTATTTGTTTGGGACGCGTGTTTGCTGAATCAAGATCGGGCTGAAGCTAGCTCGAAGGTAGGCTGACGTAGTTTGAATATGTAGCCTTGAAAGGACCATAGGTATATGTTCTTCTATTTTAATCTGTATCGCATCTGCTCCCCAGGTAAAAGCAGCTAAGTTGACCGCAACTTGTATTCTATTGCCATTTGTATGGACAAGATAAGAAGATCCGACTATAGTAATGTGAGCTTTCGAGGTAAGGAATCTTCTAGTTTATCTCTTTTAGGCCACACAGCATGCCTCTGCATACATATGCATATACTATGTACTAATCTGCACCTATACATGTAGACAGCATAGCCTTGGAATTTCTACTGCGTGGGGGTTTCCTATCCTACCAAAAGCTAAGAGTACTCCGCTGAAGATACGTCCCAGCAGTTCCCAAAGTAAGCTAGACTACCGGTACTCGCATCACTTTGATAGATGACGCCATTGATTAATTTTCTATAAATAAATATGCAATTACTACCAAAAGAAAGAAATAGCACCCAATGCTGAGAATTCTAGTATTTATTTTGTGGAATTGAAGCTATATAAGTAATGGGTGCTTCGAAAGTAGCCGGTTTGTTCTTGAGGAAACAGTCATCAGATGACTTTGTCGTCTTCCCTTGTGTGGTCCAGTCATCCCGCTGACGTCTATTTACTTATTTTCATATGAAAAATATGACACCAAATTAATCTGATATAGTCGAGTAACATAGCCTCCTTACTAAGCGGTGGTAAACCAAAAGGCTTAGCGCGGCTATGCTAGAAATCGTTTATTGTTTGATATAGAACATAAACGAAGAAATTATGTACAACATAACTACTCCGTAATTGTCCGCGCACTGCTGCATCTTGGATCTCCGTAAGATTACCCTAGAGGCTCGTGCGCGCAGCTGAGTTAGTGGAGTAGGATAGGGAAAGTGACGTTCGGCATAGCCGTGATAGAGGAGACATCGCAGACTTTGGTAGTCGCATCGTATTGGATAATTTGGATTTTCAGTAAGGCTCGAACTATCATAGCCTTCTAATTCAAATTGCTACCATTTTTACCGAATTTGTTTTTTTAAATAATAGACAAAGAAGTTTTCAATCAAGGCATTAGGGGTCCAAGACGAGGTAAGATGCGGAGCCTCAGCATCGGACCTCGGTCACGGGCCTCATTCAATTTTCTATTCGAGGAATACCCGCTGGACTTCTAAATGGACTATAAAATAGCACTACGGAGTAGTTCCAACATTACAATAAAGGTTGGAAGGAACAACTTATACTAACATTATCACTCCATGAATCATAGGCCTACTACAGTAGCCTTAGTTAGCAGATAGTCTCGTACTCATTTTGTAGATTATTTTGCATCGAATTTTCCGCGCCTCACCGTTCTTACTACAACCTTGAAATTAGTTCTATGTCTGGTTTGCTGCTATATCATCAAGTTTTGAAAAGCGCTTCGGCGCAAGCGGAGGGTGGGGGGAGGGAATGGATTCATTGGTGATTATTTAACAAAAGCAGGGGTTAGGGTAGTGGCCTCAGACCCTCTTCAAGAGCTACTACTGGCTATCTATCTCCCTCTTAGAAGTAAGTACGACTTACCCCTCTGTGGTGCTTTGATCAGACCAGTGGATGCTGGGAACATGGAAATTTTGGCAATTTCCTGGTAAGAATTGATTGTGATATGTTAGAAGACAGTGTCAAGGAAAAGCAAACACCCAGTCAGCTTGACTAAGCTACGGCTGCAGCCCTGGAGTGACATCCAGGGTAAATGTGTCTTCGCGCATATTATCTGGCGTTAATTAGAAACATGTGTGCTTTGGAGACACCTGACAGCCTCCTTGCGCAGCTCCCTGTATGCCCGATTATACATTACGCCATTGTTGCCTTGCCCGGACTAGGGCTAACAACCTGGCTGGCCGCAAAAACCCGACTCGCTTGCTATGGAGCGATATAGAGATATTAGAGTTTCTCGATATTTTTTTAAAAAGATGTCTAGACTTGGTAAAATGAGGCAGAGCAGCCGCGGACAAGGAAGTCACTAACTAGAAGCCTAGAACTCGGAGATCCGTCGGACCTTGAATCTGATTTGACTGTCATGCGTCTGGAAATGTATGGGAGGCTGGCCTTACACAATATCAGTCGTCAACCCTTGAATTTCTGGTACTAATTATGACTTTTTCACCGCGGGTATATCTACGGTTATGCCCGTTGCTACTTAGTTAGAGGCTTCTCTTGGGGGGTTATCTGTCATTATAACGTATCTGGAGTGCAATCCATGAAACTATCCATGTACCACTAGTAAGGGGCTGTACTATTCGGGTAGGAGTTGATAAGTCTGCCGCTTCTTCTATTGACCTCTTTTATTTCCTCCTATTTGAACTATTATTTACAAGTTACTTGCGCGCATGCGATCTTCTCCTGATTAGTTAGTTCTCTTATGACATCATGGGAGCGACAGCTTGAATGATGCTACTATTTTCTTGCCTCCAGACCCAGAGATAATGGATCCCCAGAAAGAAGCCCAAGCTGCCATTCAAGCCTTGCAGTGAAGAAGACTTCAAAACCGCACTGCTCAGAGAAACCGTCGTAAGCCATCAACATCCCTATGTTTCAAGTACTCACCTGCGTAATCTTGGCTTTCCTAATGATATGCATCTCAAGGCAAACGACAGGCAGAACTTCAACAACAACGACTAAAAGAGGTAGAAAACCAAATGAAGGGAAACCAGCAGCAAAAAGACGGCAATGACTGTGCTCCTTCTGATTATGATTATCACAACTGCCAGACGCACAACTTTGATAATGCACAGAATAAACCCGGAAACTGCCAGGTCGAGGGAAATGTACCAGCTCCTGCCTGTGTTGAACAGGAGATATCTCAATCTGAAGCTGTGGATTACGGGCGCTACACTGCCATCCAGCCCGCGGACCTGCCAAAGCAAAACGATATTCCTGACATTGCAAGCTCCACTCCGGGACTGAATAACTTCAATATATTTGATGCCATTATTAATGAAACGCCGACCTTTTCACTGGACCCAGGGCCAGGAATTTGCTCTTCGTGTGCTCACCCCAGAGCATCCAAAGATCTAGAGGCATATCAAGAGCAGGTGCCAGAGAGGACTATGCAACATCGCAGGCAGTTTTATCAACAAAAGTTCACTGTGAGCCCAGCCTCTCTCGCAGCGATAGATTTATCCACTGGAAGAATTACTAGAACCAATTTATCCACCACACGGTCGCCAACGCCGCTACCGGGAACCCCTGAGAGCCTGGAAAGTGTTTATATATCTGAAAACAAGGGGAAAACAGCACTACACATTAGTGTCGAGCGCGGCAATCTGGGAATCGTGCGTTTACTGCTGCTCTACGGGGTTGAAGTCAATAGGAGAGACAAATTGGGCCGAACAGCACTACACTATGCAGCATGTGGTGCACACATCGAAATTGCTACAGAGCTACTTATCGCGGGAGCGGACCCGGAAGCTCGCGATAATGAGGGCAGGAGCCCGCTCCATGCCGCAGCTGATGCCGAGTGTGAGCCAATGATACGGTTGCTAGTACGAGAGGGGGCGGACTTGAATGCAGCTATAGGCATTAGCGGTAGTAGCAGTAGCGAGAGGGATTATATGCCCGGTTAATGGTGAATTGAGCCGATTGATACAGCGTTCATAATTTTCAATTACCAGTATAAAAAACAATCTTATTTTTTTAGCTTCGGCATTAGACTTGATTCGAACTAGATGGATCAACAGTGAAAGCTTGAGCAGGGCAATCTAAAATAGTTGACTGAGTCCAGCTCATGTGGTAGGCAACTCTCAGCCAACCAACACCTACAACACCCGGTTGGCACCATTATCGCGTGCTCGTATTCGTCCACGGCTAATCTAGTACTTATTACTTGCTGCAATGTAACGTTGATCGGAATTAGGTACAGCCCTGGAGTAGTTCGTATCGGATCTAAAAATAATGTAATCGGGATTTCAGTTTAGTTAGACCAATGGAGCCTTGCGATTCCTTCTAAAGATAATTTATGGTGGGAAGGAGCAATGTCGTCTGGCATGCGCTCACAATTATAATAAAAATAACGCACTCACTTCTGATAGTACAATTTGAAAACCATGTGTTCACTACAACGCTTGATGAGGTTGATCCAGTCTGCTTCGTATTTATCAATGGAAAGGACTAGCGATCAAGAAGCGCAGTCAACCAATAATATTTCAAGCTAATCGAGAAATTGAGGAGAGTAGCATAGCTTGAAAAGTCAGGTACCAAGAAAGTCACTAACAGAGTGATTGATCTAGCCGCTAATAGGATTTCTTAATCACCAGGTTCAGACCAGCTACCATTTCCTCATTGAGTCTTGCCTCCTCTTCCTGGTAAATAGCAAATTTGCTTCCACCCATGCCATAAACAAGTTCATGGATCTCAGCAACTAGTGCCTCGGCCTCGGATCGTCGTGAGGGACCCTGGCCCCATAAAGCTTTTGCGATAATCCTACGAGCATTGAGAGCTTGCGGGGAGTGTTTGCCAAGGTGCGGACGAGAAACCATCCACTCATAGACCGACCGTGCTGTTTCCTCCGCTTCCTTGTATTTCCAAATCTTGACAAGGTGCTCCGCTAGTAGATGAATAGGGATAACGTTCGAATCGTCTAGCCTTTTCTCCACTAACATGCGGACGGTTTCCTCGGCCTGTGGGAGGTCCAATTCATTCTCAAGTGTATATATTCCCTGCCATATTCCATTCCACCGCTTATAATCGACTTCATAGAACGATTGAGGTGGCGAAATGGCCGCTTCTTCTTTTGCCAGCTTGTTCCGGAGTAGTTGAAGGAGAAGCTGTAGCTTTTTTTGCTGGTCTGTAGTATCGTCAGGGTTTATTCCCATCGGGTCGACGGCTAGTTGTTCTAGCTCGTGGTCTGAAAAGTTGGCAAGAAAATTACGGGCAGTCGGGTAACTAAAGCTGTCCCAGAAACGATTCACCGGTATAGGTGCCTCCCATGAAAATGACTTGGCCTTCTCGGCGGTGGTGATCTCACCAGTTGAGTACCGGAAAGATGAAACAGCTGCCATCCTTGCGGTGGAACCAAAACGATAGTCGAAATAAGAGTCAATTAGAAAGAAATGACTGGAGATGAATATGAGTAAATATTCAGAATGAGCTTCAGTTTACTTATAGACAGTTCTAAGGGGTACTCAGGTGAGGGGCTTATGGCTTCCTGCCAGACGAAGAAACGCACCTACGCTAGGATCCCAGAATTGGCCAATAGTAATGAGAGAAAAAGGTAAAATTGTGTGCTGACAGGATGCAATGAGAAAAAGTAGAGAGGAAAAAAAAAAACATCCGACAGTGGTGAATAGCGAGGACCATGAGGTGTGAATAATTTGGAAGCCAACCAAGCCATGATCAACGAGGTTGGGTGGTATTATAATGCCATTGGCCCCTCGAGCACCTTTTTGGCCTTCGAGAATACACTAGTGTGTATCTATTTTAGTGATAGCTACATAGCATGTACAGTTCATCCTTCACTTCCAAAGTTCGGCACCTTTCGCCACGTGTTTCTCTTACAATTTCCTCCCCATCGCAAAAATCTTGCTTCATAGACTTTAATAAAGCTTCGGCATTGGCTTAGAAACGATCCCATATTATTGAATATGAACCCCTTGCCGTCAGAGGTCTCGCCAACAAATGATGGCTCGATATTCACCTGCCACGCATATGATTCCATTGCGAACATCGTATATTATCAATTCTGACCCAAAGTAATTGAGATGGTCAAAGGTCATCTATATAAAATACTGAAAACAGTGATCTAGGGATTCCATCTGCGAGATTTACTACGTAGTGATGAGACTCATAATACAGAAGAAAAAAGGTCCTAAAAATCCAATACAGTGAAGCCAATACACTATTGACATGTCATGATGCGCCATTTCTGAACAATTTCACTCAATTGGACAAACACTTGTGATCATTTTGTCTGATGATCTTCTGGAGGCATTTAAGAGTTATCCCTCAAACGAATCATCAAGGCTGCAGGTAATAAATTGTGACTGCAGTCAAAGCCCCCACAGACTCTTGCGGTTCGGAATGGATGATACGAAGACTTTTGGTGGATATATGTTCTTTCCGCTATTTCTTTTTTGAAGCGAAGCTTGTATAATAATCACAAGAAATTGGGAACGAGCGTTAACTAGATGTAAGAGCAATAAGTTGAGGTTTTCAAAAGCACGATTTTCCGCAATTCAAGACTCTCCAGGATCAAAAACCCCAAATCAATAGACCAGACACTATATGCAAAGTGGATTTAGTGGCAGCATACTTGCAAATGTGTAGATGACATGACGACTAGTGTGCTGACGCCAGGCTGACATACGCATTTCGAAAATTTTCTATGTACCCCGATATCTTCGCCCACGACGCAATATCTATGGCAAAGGAATTAATGAAGCTTGAATTTGAGAGTTCAGCTAGAACCTGATCAGCGGTAACTCGTAATTATCTTCTGCCCCGAGAAGTCCCAGATGCAGTTCCACACGTTACAAAACTAGCGACGTTTAAATAATTTTTATTCTTGGTTGAAACGGTATCAAGCCATGGGGATTTCTACCCTTTTTCGGCTTGCTAACAAAAAAAAACGCGCCAAATAAAGATGATTATGTGGCATTGAAAAGACCTGATGGGTATCCATATCGTGAAATGACACATAAATCCAAAGAAATCAGATTCTTGAATTGTAAGATAATAGAGACTTTGAATCGGGCGAGATTGATTAAATTAAATTTCGGAAAAAAAGAAAGCATGAGATTACAACATAAATTCAAGGTTCTGTTCTGTTTACTGGGCGCCGTCACTGGAGAATTGAAAACCCCGTAGCACATCCACCGATTACTACTGTGAGACAAGCTCGTCGTTCTGTTCTTAGGATATTGTAGGTCTTTCTTGGCCGACAAAATTAATGGCGTTTCAGAGCTTACTAAGTAGCTGTAATCTTTTTTGTACATGCATAGATGAATTAAAATCAAGACATATAATGAAGAATACATCAGGAAATTGAAGGTAGTTTAGTATGATTTTTGCGGTGTACAATCCAGATTCTCCCCTTGATTTGGGTTGACAATCTGGGCGATCCTTCGCTGTGGTCGTGAAATTTCCAGGAGAGTACGGAGTAAAGAGAGGAGAGAAGAAGTCTTGATTTTCCACAATACACAGAAGCTAGCTAAATGCTAGGCTGGAGGAGGCTGATAAACTAGGCATCAAGGCATTAAGGCAGATGACCTGTCTCAACAGAAATCCCTAGGGCCACGGCTGAGGCTGATCTGGCTGAAAAAATTATCTATAAATCTCAATACGGAAGAAAACAAGAAACAAGATAGGGAAATAATGGATGGTTCAGCTCTTTTTTTTTATAACAATTACATCCCATGTCTGCTTTGGAGTATAAAATTCAGGAATGAGTGTACTTTGTAGAAAAAAAAGGGAATTGATATGACCACCCCCCCTTTGGCTCACACCACCCCCCTGCCTGAAATTTCAGTACCGCCTTCCCAATTAGGTACCGCCTTTGCATGGATCTGCCTACCGCTCTCCACACCGCCTTCTGGTTTTCTACACCGCCTTCCTGGTAAACTCCTATACAATAGTAGTAGACAGTAGGTACCTGCAATTTGTATATAAACCCTATACAAATTTAAGTCACTTTTTTCACATAAATCAGATCCAACAATCAAATTGATACTTCCATTCTGGTTTGTACCCAATGGAGCTGCTATGTACCAATGAAGAACGTGGCTGTGGTCGAGGACGCGGTCGGGGAAGGGGGAAAACGCGCGCGGGGAGGTGCCTGAGAGAGAGGATAATCGATTCGTATAGTAGATCAATGCACAAATGAATGAACTGTACAATTTTTTCTGATTAAAATAGAGGGTTTTTTACTATGTAAACCAGAATTACTATGGTGGTGGCAGAATATATGGCAGTATAAAATGAAGCAGCAGAAACTACGGCAAAATACTGGTCATACCCGAACTAGAAGGCGGTGACTGAAATTTCAGGCAGGGGGGTGGTCATATCAATTCCCAAAAAAAATGACAGCATAAGAGGACCCGCACTTATAAGTTTTTCCGTCTGTTCCCGGTTACTTCTAACGGCTTTCTACTCCGTAACTTCCCTAAACGGAAATGAGTAGTAGTCCACGGGTTGGAAGGTAGGTGGAGTATAGGTAGGGCCCACAGCCACTCTCCTGCAACCTTGGAACATGGTACGGATTGTGTACTGTACCATGGAAAAAAGCGGCACATCCCGTGCTGTCAAAACGGGTTGTGGGGCCCGGCATTTGACCGTTATGAAGTGTCGACGCCATTACCCGAACCTAGACCCCAGTACTTTTTCACTTGAGTAGTGGCTCCAATATTCACCCTATACTCTGTACGGAGTAAACCGACACATATTGACTAATCCCATGAGATCCTTCGTCTTCATGTCCGCGGATCATTACGAGTCCTAGCATCTTGGATAGGTTAAAACCAAAACCCCTGACCTAAAAGAGCCTTGTCACTAAAAAAAAACTACCTCGAGTTTTGAAAATCAGAATAAATATGGAGTGGTCCACCCGAACTGTCAGGTTATACATGTTCATGTCTGCGGATCTGCGTCATTCTTGTGTGATTCCATTTCATCTACCGCAACGACCGTCAAAATGCCTAGCAACATTGCTACGGGTGACTTTGGCCCAGTACCACCCGGGGTAGATCTGGCAGAGAACCAGACAGGCAATTTGCTGGGAGCAGTTATCACTGTAGCAGTACTTGCGACCACTGCAGTTATATTGCGATTATGTGCACCAATGAAGAAAAAAGAGGCCAGAAAATTAGCTATCGATGACTACCTAATAATTGCCGCTCTTTTATTCTCTTGGGGAACTGCAATATCCTGCTTCATAAGTGAGTCAAAAATGAGTCGTGATATAGTCAAGCGATGGACACAGCACTTACACCAGGCTCCCTAGGCATTCCGCATGGCAATGGTTATCATTTGCAATCCTTGACCAAGGAAGAGTTTATTATTGTTTGGAAGGTAATTAAAATACTGAACAAGGTGTTTTGGATAGATATTGACAAAACATTTAGATACTTTTTGCCTATGTCATGATTTATGCTACAGCCGTCACCTGCACCAAAGCTTCGATCGTCTTCTTTTACCGCCGCATCTTCAACTTTCGCTGGCCACTAGGCATCTGCATGTTTTTGATTCTTGGGTATTGGGTCACTATTATCGTCACGGTTGCAGTGGCCTGCCGACCACTGCCATATTTCTGGCTAGTCTATACAGATCCAACAGCCATTGGTGTATGCATTGATGTGCCCAAATTCTTTTTTGGCAATGGAATTGCTGCTATGTTGATTGATGTGATCATACTGTGTATGCCGATGCCAACAATTTACAAGTTGCAGATGCAAGCCTCGCAGAAGATAGCAGTCGTGGGTATCTTGCTCTTGGGAAGTTTGTATGTTAGCCCCCGTCCTACTATTATATCATTGATACTGGCTAATTAACTTCAGTGTTTGCGTGGCAAGTATTTGCAGAATCATCGCGCTGGAGAAAAACACCCAGGGAACAGATGCTACCTGGACTATGGCACCTGTCTTTATCTGGTCGTCCGTGGAACCTTTTGTTGGGATTATATGCGCATGCCTCCCTACATTTGGGCCTTTCTTTCGTCGGTGGTGGTCTAAAGTTCGGACAGGGCGCTCAGCAAACAGTCGCAGCAATCCAAGCGCTGAAAATCCACCTTCTACAACGACCTGGCTCCGGAAGCCCAGAGCAAAAAAGCCACCCAAGGACTCATTATTCAGTATTAATGACTTTGGCTGTGTAGATGAGGTTCAATTAATGAACGATATAAATGCAACTCGGTCGTCGAGGGACGAGGCTGTGAGTGACCACAATGACATGGAGCGAGGAGATTGTGCTATCACAGTCCAACAAGATGTGGATGTGACATGGGCCAAGTATAAAACAGGAAAAAGAATCTGATCTGGCCTCGGGTCCGTGGGTCTGCCGGAGTTTCTTTTGGGTCTCTCCGGGCTACGTGCCCATCTGGTCTCCACTTATCAAAAAATGGCTCTGAAGAGATGAAGAGTCTCTCAGCTTTGTTGGGAATATGTTGTATTGAGACGAATTGGATTTGCAATTTTTTGTGTACAATATGAAATAAAAATATGCATCATATGTGCCTACTGATTTGGAACTTGAGACAGGTAAATCCCTTGCACGGAAACAAATGAGGAAGCATGGCTATCCAGTAACATATGCGGAGGATACGGAATACTCCGTACATTGAAGCGGATCTTTACAACGTACTCTGTATGCTGTTTTGCTGTGTATTTAACTTGGTACTTAGCTTCGAAATATAGTTTGATAGGCAGCGCTATATGCCGTTGAAACCTGTCACACCAATTAGCAGGGGTAAGAGTTATGGAGAAAGTCAATAGGGGGATTACTAGTTGGCAGAGGGCACTTGGAAGGGGGCTTGGTGGCGGCTTGGTGGGCTTCACTGGGGGTGGGGCTCTTGGGGGTGGGGCTCCTGGGCCCGGATGTATCCCCGCGGTTGCTGGTGGATTTGCTAACAACCAACTACTTCTTCTCAATTGACGCTATAAACCTTTAAGAGGCCCCATACAAAGTAACGGCCCAAGAAAAAAAGCCGTTGTCCCCTAAAAATGAAAAAGGAAAGAAAAAAAAATATAACTTAATCACTCCATATGCCCCCTAGTTTCACTTCATTTCTTCTATTCTATATTAGTTTCTGTAGGGGCTATCCTAGTGTTATAAGGCGAACCCATCGATAATTCACCGCCTCAGGCCCAAACTTATCCAGCATGTCTCAGCTCCTCACTTCTAATGGGTTGCAAAATGGTTCCTCTCTCCCAACATCTGCTACCCGCGTTGCTAATGGCGAGACCCCTTCCAACTGGATGCCTTGCGCCGACCAACCTGCATATGCACAACGGAAACTAAGGATAATCTGCATCGGCGCGGGATACTCGGGCTTGACACTTGCCCACAAGATTGACCATGAGCTGAAGCTCGGCGATTTCGTGGAATTGAAAATCTACGAAAAGAATCCTGAGGTCGGTGGAACATGGTTTGAGAACACCTATCCTGGCGTCGCTTGGTGAGTAGCTTGTTTATATGTCTAATAAATATAACCATCTTATCTGACATATCTAGTGACATCCCTGCCCGTAAGATCCTTCAGTGGCTCTTAGCTCTTTGGCAACCGAAACTGACATCCACTTAGATGCATACACATTTTTATTCGAGCCGAATCCAAACTGGTCCCACTTCTATGCACCCGGTCCCGAGATTGAGGAGTACATCCAACGAACAACAAAGAAATGGAAACTGGACAAAGACATCCAGTTCAACACCCGTGTTACTGAGACCGTGTGGAATGATGAGTTGGGAAAGTGGAAAGTGGAGGTAAATCAAGATGATACAATCATGCATGACGAAGCCGATATTCTGGTCAATGCGTCCGGATTCTTGAAGTGAGAATCAATTATCCTCGACATTGTTTCCTCTCAGCTAACGAGTGATCTGCCGGCTAGCAAAACCAATTGGCCCAACATTGAGGGCCTATCGAGTTTCAAGGGCAAGTTGCTTCACACTTCGGCCTGGTGAGTAAATATCGTTTATAAACTCTTAAACAAAGATTAATAACGATTCATACTTAGGGATAATACCTACGACTGGTCAAACAAACGTGTTGCAGTCATTGGCAATGGCTCCTCCGGGATTCAATGCGTGGCTGCAATGCAGCCGAAGGTCGCCCAACTTGTCAACTTTGTGCGCAATCCAACCTGGGTTTCTGTCAACTTCTGTACGGAGAAGACACGAGATGGGAGCAATTTCTCCTACACAGAAGAGGAAAAAAAACAGTTTGCAGAAGATACCGAGGCTCATTTTAGGTATCGAAGAGAGCTAGAGGCCAGGCAAGTTCAACCTCCAATAACCAAGAGGTCGCTAGAACTAACTCAAATCTAAGTTAAGTGTTAATGGGTTCTTTTATGGAATGTATAAAGGCCACCCAATGCAATTGGGGTTGACACAGGTTTCCCAGCAACAAATGGCGGAGCGAATGAAAGGAATCTCCGACCCGGAAGTTGTGTCAAAAATGCTTTCTCACAAGTTCAGTCCTGGCTGCCGTCGCTTGTCACCAGGAGATGGGTATCTGGAGGCTTTTGCCGAAGACAATGCAACTCTCACTTTCGATCCAATTGAAAGTATCACAGAACTGGGTATCAAAACGGTTACAGGTGATGAGCAACAATTTGACGTGATTGTCTGTGCCACAGGATTTGACACGTCCTTTATTCCATCTTGGAAGATGGTTGGTCGCCATGGAGCCACATTGGAAGAGCGATGGAAAGTTAACCCTGAGGCTTTCTTTGCGGTCCAAGTGGATACAATGCCGAACTATTTTATCTTCAATGGGCCCAATTGCCCTGTTTCCCACGGCTCAGTTCTGACGCAGGTCTCTTGGACATGTGACTACATTCTCCGCTGGGCTAAGAAGATTTCTGGAGAGGATATCAAGTGAGTTATTATGGTCTCTTCGTGAGTCCTGTCGGCGTTTGACTAACATATTCCAGGTCAATTGATGTCAAGAAAGAAGCTGTGGAAGACTACAATGTTTACTGCCAAGAGTTCCTCAAGCGTATGGTCTGGTCGGATACCTGTCAGAGCTGGTACAAGAACGGAAAAAGTTCAGGCCAGGTCACTGGAGTATATCCAGGTTCAGTTTTGCACTTTAAAGACTGTCTTCAAAACATGGGTGGGGAGCACTTCAATATCGAGTACCGCTCTAAGAACCGATTCCACTTTCTAGGCAATGGTGAAAGTGTGCATGATCAGCATGGAGCAGGTGATTTGGCCTGGTACATGGACGATATGAAAGCCTCCATACCGCCACTCTAAGTCAACGGCACATTTTTGTTCCCCATACTTTATACTCCTTACACTCGGTTTACATCTATATTTTGATAGATATAAAAACAATGAAATTAATCCATGGCTTGTACGCCAACCTCAATGATAGGCTAAGGTAATTCCAATGATGGTATAAGACTCAGAGCGTGCTCAGTTTTACTAAAAAGCGGCAAGGGGTGAACACTAAAACGGAAAGGGAAAGCCAAGGGAAAGCCAAGAAGACATTATCTACAACCTACATATATGAACTCGTCACTGGTAATGGGATTGGAAAATGTATCGATATTATGGCATACCAAACGATCTTTATTTCCTTAGATATAACCGGGTCATGCTCTTTTTTTTACTGTTGTGACAAGCCCGACATATCTAACGAGTAATCCATACTATTATTCCCATTATTATTCCCATTCCTAGCGGTACATCTATAGTTAACTAACCATCATGTTTCTACCTCAAACTCTGCGAATAAACGATATCTGAATAGCCATTTAAAAAGCAACACCCAAAAGAGAACATCAGAGTCCTATCTTATATATAATGTCACTTATATTAGCTTGAGCTAGATAAATCCGATCATCAAAGTCCTAAATCGTTAGGCATGTAAGGACAGAGGCGCATACGCGGCCTCTTGCAGGTTTTTAAACTGCCAAGCATCCAATGTTTTGGCCATAGGACCTGCATTGTAGTTCACCGCTGCTACCCACATATGTACGGAGTATGTAGGCAGAGATAGGAATGTGAGACAGTGTAGTGACATCAAGCTATCTTAAACGGGCCATCAGGAGCCATCCCACCTTTTTATTTCCCTCCCTAAAGCAAAGACCAAGCGTCAAACAGTAATAACATAGGGATACGATGTCGAGACCGACAGATAAAACATTGTCGCCATTGGCCATCGTCGGGTTGTCGCTCAAGTTCCCACAGGATGCAGTCTCTCCCGAATCATTTTGGGATATGATCGTGGAGGGAAGGTGCGCATCAACGGAGTTTCCTCCGGATCGACTGAACATCGACTCCCATCATAACCTGGATGCCAACCGGCTCGATAGCTTATCTCTACGCGGGGGTCACTTCATGAAAGAGGATATTGCTTTGTTTGATGCCCCTTTCTTTTCTATTACGGCCGCTGAAGCAGAGGCTATGGACCCTCAGCAGAGACTGATCTTGGAGGCTGCCTTCCGAGCACTGGAAAATGCTGGTATTACTATGGAAGGAATCGCACGATCAAAGACGTGCGTTTTTGCCGGTTCGTCAGGCCATGAGTATTTGATGTTGCAGGCAAAAGACCCCCAATATCTACAGAAGTGGGGTATTACAGGAACGACTGGAAATATGGTGGCCAACCGCATTAGTTGGTTTTTTGACCTCATTGGACCTAGCGCTGCAATCGACACAGCTTGCTCAAGCAGCCTGATGGCTATTGATATGGCATGTCAGTCTATATGGAGTGGTGACTCAACCATGGTAAGTCTATGTTTCAACGAAGCCAATGTCATTACTAATACCTCTAGGGACTGGCAATTGGGAGTAACGTTATACTGGCATTGGAGACGTCACTGATGATGGACAACTTGGGACTCCTTTCTAAAGACAGTCGTTGCTACAGCTTTGATGAACGTGGCAATGGACATGCACGGGGCGAAGGGGTTGGCGTCCTTGTTATTCGTCCATTGGAAGATGCTGTGCGTGATGGGGATACAGTCCGAGCTGTGATAAGGTCTTCCGCCTCCAACCAGGATGGAAGGACGCCGGGGATCACGCTGCCGAGCACCGAGATGCAAGCTGCATTGATACAAGAGGTTTATATTAAAGCAGGACTGGATATGGCAACGACGCGCTATTTTGAAGCACATGGAACAGGTCTGGCTATCAACATATCTGCACGACTACATCCCATCCAGACTAACATAGCCCAGGAACTGCCCTTGGAGATCCGATCGAGACTGCGGCCATTGGCTCCGTGTTTCGGCCACATCATTCTCTCGATAATCCATTGTACATGTGGGTGTAATTGGTCCAGCTCTTGACTCGCGCTAATAAAATATATAGCGGGTCGGTGAAGTCAAATATCGGGCACCTAGAAGGTGCTAGTGGAGTTGCTGGAGTCATCAAGACAGTTCTAGCACTGGAGAAAGGGATCATTCCTCCCAACAGTGTGAATCTGCAGAGCTTGAACCCCAGGATTGATGACGAGTTTTTGAATATCAAGGTATTTCAAGCTAATCCAAGACCTGCGTTCTTATATATCTGACAGACACAGTTCCCACAAAAAGCTTTGCCCTGGCCCTCAGAGGGACTTCGACGAGCATCAGTTAGTTCTTTTGGCTATGGAGGATCTAACGCTCATATTGTGCTGGATGATGCTTATCATTTCATGAAACTGAATGGCCTTAAAGGGAATCACAATACAGTGCTCCCATCCCGGTTGTCTAAATGCAGAGATTGTGATTTGGATACAGAAGAGGAAATCAGTTCAGATGAAACTCGCTCCAGTGGGGTGACAGAAACAATAAACGACATCCCCAAACTTCTCGTCTGGTCAACAGCAGATGAAAAGGGAATTCTTCGACTTAAAGAAGCCTGGAAGTCACGCTTTGCCACAATCTCCCAATCAGATAAAAAGAGCCCGAAATTCTTGAATGATCTCGCTCATACATTAGCGTGCAGACGGACTCATCTACCATGGAGATCGTTTGCTGTCGTTCGCCCGTCAGATGACTTGGGGTCATTGGTTGATCTATTTTCGCCGCCATTCCAGTCTCGCCGGTCATCGAATCTTGCTATGGTGTTTTCTGGGGTAAGTGGGATTCTTTTTTTAAGATGACTGATACTGAGTGTTTTGTAGCAAGGAGCCCAGTGGTATGCGATGGGGCGTCAGCTTCTCGATATTTACCCCGTGTTCCTACAAAGCATCGAGGATGCCGGCGGGTATCTCCGAACTTTGGGATGCGAATGGATGCCCCTTGGTATGGTAAATATATCTATGGATCATGGCTATCTGCTAACATACCTTAGATGAGCTCAAACGCAGCGAATCCACTTCGAATATCAATAAGACCGAATATAGCCAGATTCTGTGCACAATTCTCCAGGTGGCGTTGGTCGATCTCCTGCGCTTTGTGAACCTCACTCCCAAAGCGGTACTGGGTCATTCATCTGGCGAGGTGGCAGCAGCGTAAGCAATCCAACTTCCCGGGGAAACTATTCTTACCTACCCTATTAGATACTGCGCCCGTGCAATCTCCAGACAATCGGCCTGGAAAGTATCCTATTATCGAGGTTATATGAGCAGTAAGCTAGAGGGTTCTAGCAAAATGAGAGGTTCCATGCTCGCAGTTGGCCTATCAGAAAAGGGAATCAAGCCGTACATCGACAAGCTCAAAAAAGACCTTGATGTTGTTAATCTCATCGTTGGTTGCATTAACAGCCCCAAGAGCGTGACGGTGACAGGAGAGGTGACCCAGCTCGACTCCCTCAAATTCATACTTGACAAGAATAATATCCTTTGTCGGAAGCTTAAGGTCAATTTAGCCTATCATTCATCTCAGATGAAAGAAGTCGCGGCTCTTTATCAGGCTGCGCTGGGAGAGTTGGAAGTAGGTTATACGGGACATAATGTCAACCATCCTGAGATGGTCTCCTCTGTGACGGGTGACTGGATCGAGCCAGAAGAGGTCTCCCAGGCTGCGTATTGGGTCAAGAATATGGTTTCTCCAGTGCGATTCTCGGACGGATTGACCACACTTTGCTCGGGATCTTCCTCGAATTCCCACAAGAGATTGGATGGTAGTCATCGCAGGACAAGAGATATTGACCACATACTCGAGGTTGGTCCACATTCAGTCTTACAGGGTCCCTGTAAAGATGCATTGAAAAACATCGAAAACGACACACCAACTGAATACCTTTCGTTATTGGTACGAAAAATGTCAGCGGCCGATACTGTATTTGCTGTTTTCGGAAATCTGCACACTGCCGGCTATCCAATTAATCTTTCCCTGGTGAATGGACTTGATTTTACAGCAAATGACATTCCAAAATCATTGACAGATTTGCCCGAGTACCCTTTCAATCATGATACCTCATACTGGCATGAGAGTAAAATCAGCAAAGACCACCGGCTACATCCATTTGGCCGGAACGATCTACTGGGGGTCTCCGACCCTAACTGCAATCCTTTCGAGATGCGATGGAGGAACTTTATACGGGTTTCTGAGATGCCTTGGACCAAAGATCATCAGGTGAGCGAGCTCCTATGGCAATGGATTTACAGGCTAATGACGAGAAAGGCCAACGGCACGATTCTATACCCTGGTGCTGGCATGTTAGTGATGGCTATTGAAGCGGCTAAGCAGGTGGCGGAGCAAGGAAAAAGGATTACTGGATTTAACATCCAAGAAGCCAAATTTCATGCCGCGATGATAGTCCCCCCTGGAACACACGGAATTGAGACTAGCTTCTCTCTCCAACCTGTGAAGGGCATGGGTTCGAAAAGCTCTAGCTGCTTTGATTTTCGGCTTTGCACGTGTGAGAACGAAGAATGGATTGAGAACTGCACTGGTTCTATCCAAATCGTGTATACATCCGATGGGGAGGAGCCTGAAATGGACAGAATCCACATAGAGGAATTGTGGAGCTCACAATTGGAAGCCTACTCGGATGCCATCAAAGCATGCACATTGCTAATCAACAGTTCGGCTGTATACGACCGTTTTTTGAACTCTGGCTATGACTATGGAGAAGCCTTCCAGCTCATTGAAAAATTGTCACTTAGTCCTGAGCAGCCATGTGTAACTGCTCACATCAAGAGATTATCTTCTTCAATAGGCGAGACGATCCATCCAACAACCCTCGATGCTATTCTGCAGACATCTGTCTGGACTGAGGTGGCTTCTGAAACGCAGGATGTACCAAGAGCTGTTCCAAAATATGTGGAAAATCTGTGGGTTGCGAGTCGTGCTTACGAAAACACATCATCCACCATTCTGAGGGCGTATGCTACTCGCAATGTGGGATCCTCCTTTCTTGATTCGTCTTCTGACATCTTCGTATTTGATGAGGCATTGGGTGAAAATTTGATTTCTATCCAGGGACTTGGAGCAAATCTCGATGGGACCAAACTTGCAGAGGAAAGTGCTCCTGGGTCCCCAGAAGACCTCTGCTACCATGTCCAATGGAAGCCTGACCTCAACCTTCTGAGCAACAGAGAAGCCACGAATCTCTGTATAAAAGAATACCCCAACTCTACAGACTCAAGGGGTTTTTTTACTGACTTGGAGTTCATGTTCATGGCACGTATCACTGAAACATTGAAAATATTGTCTGAACAGCAGCTCAAGCCCTCACAGCCACATTTGCAGAAGTATGTGGACTGGATGATAAATAGACAGCACCTGCTTAATGAAGGCCAGCTTCAATTTGCTTCCGAACCGTTGCACAGTCGGCTAACAGATCTTGACTATCTTCAAGATGTCGAGGATCGATTGCTGAATCTTAACAAAAGAGGCAATTTTTATGTCACAGTTGCTCGAAATCTACTGCAGATCCTGACTGGCAGGATGGATTCGTCGGCCTTGTTTGAAGGGAACATGCTGAAGGAATTCTACTCGGAAGAAGTAAGTCCTCATTCATGTTCATACTTCACTGCTGTCGCTTATGATAGGACTAGGTTCATGAATCCTATGCTCTTAAGCAATTGGGCAAGTATCTTGATCTTCTATCTCATCTCAACCCCAAAATGAAAATTCTAGAAGTCGGTGCAGAAATTGGGTCCATGACAGAGGTTATGCTGCGCACATTGGGAGATACCGAACGCAGTAACCCTCAGTACGCCCAGTGGGACTTCACTGATAAATCAGAATCTTCTTTTGCTTGTGCCCAGGATCAATTTCATCTAGAGGCTGGGCGAATGCAATTCAAACTTCTGGACATAGAGCAGGATCCCGAGAAACAGGGGTTTGAGTGTGCCACATACGACATAGTCGTTGCTTCCATGGTGCGCTCACATTTATTAGAAACATTTCAAATATCTAACTCCAATGCAGGTTGTTTACGCTACTTCGAACATCAAGACAGTTTTGTGCAATGTCCGAAAGCTCCTAAAGCCGTTAGTCGTTGCAACTCCTGATAGGTATATCTACCAATCAATCTGACATAATATCTAGAGGAGGCAAGCTCATGCTATACGAGATGATGTGTCCTGGTGTCCGATCTACTTTCACGCTCGGTCTATTTGAAAGATTTTGGCTTGGTAGGTCCTTCGTCTCCAATAAAAGCCAAAACATAACGCTAAGTTTTACAGATTCAATCGCAGATTCGAGACCAGGACCTTGCTTCGACGAGAGGCAATGGAACGAACTTCTTCTCCAAGCCGGATTCTCTGGCCTGGATTTCCTTTTACCAGACTTCGATGAACCCATATCCCATGAATGTAGCCTGCTAGTCTCAACAGCCGCTGAGGAACCACCCGCTGTTCATTCTACCCCAGAAATTGAAATTGTGTACGATGTCGCTGAGTCGGGCCAGCAGGAACTCGCACAGTTTCTTGTGAAATATTGCCAATCAAACAGGCTCGCCTCTGTCCGTTCTTCCTCTGTTCAAGAAGCGATCGAGAACAAATGTGAAAATCCATTGCTACGGATCTTCCTGCTCGAGCTTTACGTTCCCGTTTTACCGAAAATCCATCTTGAGCTGTTCCAAAAAATTCAGAGTCTCCTTTCCGCAACATCCCAAGTTCTGTGGATCAACCAAGGAGGAGGCATTCTTCCATCCCAGCCCCAATTCCACCTTGTGGATGGACTATTTCGCGTTCTGATGACGGAAGATAGCAAACGCAAACTCCACCTGCTTTCGCTCGAGCCTCGAAGCCGATTGGATACAAAGCAACGAGATCATATCACAAGATTGATTAGGTTTTTCTTGTCGCCAGCAGCTTCAAATGTAGATGTCCAGTACATTGAGCAAGATGGAGTCCTGAACATTCCTCGCCTGATTGCTCCCAAACCATTGAATGAGAGCATATCGCTCATGGCCACCTCACATCATCACTGTACGCAAAGTTTCCACTGCCAGATTCCACTGCGGCTTGATGCTGCATCTCCGGGTCTAATCAATGGATTCGAGTTCATCGAAGATGAAACTGTTTACGACCCACTCCAGCCAGATGAGATCGAGATTGAGATAAAATGCGCAGGGTTGAACTTCCATGATGACCTGATTGTAGCAGGCCAGTTGAAGGCGAGCGATACCGGAGCTGAATGCTCTGGAAATGTTATCAGAGTGGGCAACTCCTGCCAGAGATTCCAAGTCGGTGATTCCGTTGCTGTCCTACACACCGGTTGCTTTGCCACGTCAATTCGCTTGCGAGAAACTGGCCCCATAATCAAGGTCCCTACGGGGATATCCTTTGCAAATGCTGCAGCTGTGCCAGTCAGTTTTGCTACGGCATACATTGCACTGCATAACGTGGCCCGCATCCAGCCTGGCGAGACTGTGTTGGTTCATTCAGCATCCAGAGATATTGGTCAAGCAGCAATCCAGATTGTAAAGAATGCCGGAGGAACAATATTTGCAACAGTTAGTTCTGAGAGCAAGAAGCAACTGCTAATGGATGTATATGGAATCCCTGGATCCCACATTTTCTCAAGCCGAACGATTGTGTTTTCAAAGATGATCAAGCATCGCACAGGCGGGAAGGGTGTCGATATTATTCTCAACTCTCTAACAGGGGAAAGTCTATTTGCATCTTGGAGGTGTATTGCACCCTATGGCCGATTCCTCGAGATGGGTAAAAGGGAAATTCTATCAAATCAGCGGCTTCCCATGCTCCAGTTCCTTGAGAATGTCACATTCAGCGGCATTGACTTAGCTGCGATATCAGTTGAAAGGCCCGAAGTGTGCCTCAATGCCCTCAAATCGGTGTTTGCTTCTATACACGCTGGTGACTTGCATCCACCCCAGCCTATCAATGTGTATGGCGTAGGGGAAATGGAGGAGGCATTCCAAAAGATGCAGGCTGGCCAAAATATTAGTAAAACGATTATTGAAATGCGAGGACACGATCAGGTGAAGGTAAAACCCACTTATTCATTTCTCATTTATTTGTTCTGACAGCTTCAATTTTCTTTAGACTGCATTGAGAACTAGACCCAGTTTCAAGTTGGATCCTAATGCCACGTTCGTGGTGTCTGGAGAGTTTGAAGGTCTGGGAAGAAACATCGCATGCTGGCTGGCAGATCACGGAGCTCGCCATTTGCTCCTTCTGTCAAGATCTGGGGGACAACACGAGAAGCACAAGGAGCTTGTCAAGCATCTTGAATTAAAAGGCGTAATGGTCTTGGCCCCAGCTTGTGCTGTCTCGGATGGAGAATCAGTGAAGAACGCTTTGCGTGAATCCAGATCGCAAATGCCCCGCATCAAAGGATGTATCCAGGCAGCCATGGTGTCGAAAGTAGGTATCGATATCACTTTGTTCGTTTTGAAATGGACTAACCTTTATAGAACGCTCGCTTTGAAGAAATCTCCCACCAATCCTGGAAAGAATCTATTAGCCCCAAGGTCGAAGGATCGTGGAACCTCCACAAATACCTTCCCAAAGGTATGGACTTTTTCATCTTGCTATCGTCTCTCTCGGGTATTCTAGGAACCACTGGACAGGCCAACTACGCCGCTGGCAATACTTTCCATGATGCACTAGCTCGATATCGCGTTGGGCTGAGGGAGAAGGCGACTTCCCTGGACTTGGGGGTGTGTGATTTCGCTGGTGCTGTGGCCAGCGCTAGCAGACCCAAAGAAGTGCTGCCCGGAAGCAGTGGTGTCGAACCAGTAACTGAAGCAAAATTCCATGCCCTGCTAGCCAAGTATTGTGATCCCAGGGTTGGCCTTTCAACACCACTAGATTGCCAGACTGTCGTTGGATTGTCACCAAGCGCTCTATCCGACAAAAGAGAATGGCAAGCCAACCCACTTGTCCGACACCTGATCACAAATAAGAAAGTCAGTGGTAAAGCAGATAGTCGACCACGCAGCGCCAAAGGGGCAGGGTCACTGCTACAAGCAGAGACTTTGGCCGACGCCAATGCGGCTGTCTTGGAGCTTTTCATTGAAAAGCTTTCTAAGACTGTAAGCATCGTGATGGCGGACTTTGATGCGAACACGCCCTTGCACCAATACGGAGTGGACTCACTTGTTGCGGCAGAACTGCGCGATTGGTTTGCCGAAGAGCTTCAAGCTGAGTTGGGAGTTTTTGAAATTCTTGGAGGAGCAACGTTAGCCTCAGTGTCACAGGTGGTTGCGAAGAAGAGCAACCTTGTCCAAGCTTCTTCATAGGCCAATAGTTAATCAATAAGAGCACTCGAGTTGATATTACAATCCCAACACGATTCATATAGTAGTATAATATTGTAAACATATCACTTGTTGGCACCTCTTATAGGACATTTAAAAAGATAGTAAAAAATTCTACCAAAAAAGACACGACGAGGCCGTCTTGTCCAAGATCTTGAAACTGATGTTATAAGTTCTATAGACCTCGGAGAATCCCCGGGCACCAGAGACCCCCCACTATGATCTCATCGATTCTTGTCAAATAACATTCTTTGAAATCTCCAGGGCTTTCTTCTTAGTTTCAATTTAACAATTGAACAACAATATGACCAAGCTTACTCTCCAGTCCAAGCATCGACTACAGTCAGGACATGAGATTCCAATTGTCGGATATGGGGTCAGTTACCCCGCAAATACATGGAGATATATCAATTTCAAGGGTAGAAGCTAACACTGCATGGCTTGAAAATAGGTGTATATGATGTACGTATGAATCAATGCTTCATCCTGAATCCCCTAACAAAACGGCAGTCCCTCATCCGGGACCGAGAAGGCTACCCTTGAAGCCTTGAACGTTGGATTCCGCCATGTACGTCCCCCCAGTAAGATCGCAAGAAGACTCCACTAAGAGATCCCAGGTCGACTCGGCGATCATGTACCGCAATGAGAGGCCCTGCGGAAAGGCAATTCTGAATTCCGGGCTGGATCGATCGCAGGTCTTCTTTACAACCAAGATCCCACCGGGATCAATGGGCTACGAGTCTACCAAGCAAGCTATTCATTCCAGTTTGCAAGAAGCAGAACAGGAATACTTTGACCTGTAAGCACACGATCCCCCGTGTAATTGGAATTTACAACCTAACCGGTGGACCTAACCAACAGTATTCTAATCCATGCACCTTATGGCGGCAAAAAAGCCCGTCTGGGTTCTTGGGATGCACTAGTCGAAGCCCAGAAAGCAGGCAAAGTGAAATCCATCGGTGTATCCAATTACGGTATCCACCACCTCGAAGAACTAGAGGCCTACATCCAGGGTGGCGGTGGTGGCCAGATCGATGTCGGTCAGTATGAGCTGCACCCGTGGCTAGATCATTCGGATATAGTGGAGTGGCTGCAGAAGAGGAATATTGTTGTTGGGGCGTACTCGCCTCTTGCGCATGGGAGTCGGTTGGCGGAGCCTGTGTTGCTGTCTATCGGGAAGAAGTATGGGAAGACGCCGGCGCAGGTGTTGATTCGGTGGAGTTTGCAGATGGTAAGGCACATCGATTTGGTTCAAATTAAAGAATATAGAATCCGGATGCTAATATTCCATTAGGGATTTGTGCCTCTGCCCAAATCTACTACACCAAAGCGCATTCGCGAGAATGCCGATGTCTTTGACTTTGAGTTGGCGACTGAGGATATGAAGTTGCTTGACACAGGAGAGTATTCTCCCACGGACTGGGATCCGACTGTTGATTCGGATTGAAGTAGATGATTGCAGATTAGATGGCTGATGTAGAGAAGAGGAAGAGGAAGAGGAAGGGGAATCTTGAGGAACGTTGGATTTGTCAGGCCCCATAGGAGGGGCTCTCCGCGGGGTGAAATTGCGACTTTCCAACTTTCTCTGTCTCCGATCTTTCATCTTCCTTGACACTTTAGATTTAAATATCCCTATATCTAAGATCTCGTTTATTCTTCCAATTCTTCCATCATGAAATTGATTTTATCCAGTTCGTAAGTAGTATCATTCGATGCGCCTCGATCAAGTCACTCAACCCTCACAGGAATATTATGCAAGCTGGACGGCAATCCGTCATTCGCCAGCCTCTGACGCAGAAATCAAACGTTGAGCTAATCAACTCGCTCCGATCGAACTTTCTTGCGTCGCAACAGATCGAAACATCGCCGGCCAACGGCACCGACACGAATGGTCAAGCCGTATCGCATCCGCCCTCATGGACACTACAGAGCGAAGATGCCCTCTATATCCCCGCGATCGACTTCTCACAGCATGGCTTGTCGGAGGAGCGCGACCAATACGATATCACAGTGAAGCTATTCTATCTACCAGGGATCCCGGTATCAAGGCGGTGCGCACACACCAGGGAGGCAATTGATATGGTATTGAAGGAGTTACACGTCAAGTCTATCGATCTACTGATTGTATCTTTTCCCGGGATCCTGTTCGATGCAGACGACGATAGCGAAGAAGAAGACAATGAGATGAACAGCGGTGAACCGGACGATTTCGACAGCATGGTGCAGACATGGCAGGTGCTGGAGTCGCTGCACGAGCAGGGCGTGATCGACCAGCTAGGCGTCGCTGAGTTCGGCAGCGAACGCTTAGCCCGATTCCTGCCGCATACCAAGGTCAAACCCTCGGTCGATCAGATCAATCTTAAGGATTGCTGTGTCGTTCCTAAACATTTGATTCTCTATGCAAAACAAGAGCAGATTCAACTCCTCACACATAACGATTGCCATGATATTCTTCCTGTGGGCACGACGCGGGAACTGCTGGGTCCCGCGGAGAAAGGTGGTGCGGGTATCTTGGCTTCGTCTTCCGAGGCCAACGACGGCATCCAGGGAGATGTTGAGCCGCAATGGGTGGTTAAGTACACGGCAGTCGTCAAGGATCGCGGAGTAGTTGAGAACAAAGGGTATTTCGCATCGGCTGATGTCGGCGCGTGTGTCAAGGACCGGTCATAAATGCTTCTTTTTTTTCTTCTTGTGTCATCAATAAGGATATCGGTCTTGGCGAGCGTGGGCGTTTGTTTTATGCTTTAAAATCGATCATAGTTGGTATGGGAGGCAGTTGCATCCATCTCTAAAATCAATGAGATTGGCTTAACCAAGCATGCTCCTCTTTCGCCCTCTCATGCGCACATCTTCGAGCCTCTTTAGCGCAGATATAGCCCCCTTATAGCTATCCCTGTAACCCAGAATCAATGCCTCGAACAAAGGCTCTGAGCGCGGATGCGTGCTCCCAATCGCCCGCTCCAACACATACAAATCCACCGCCCGGTCCTCATCCTGATTGCTCTGCGACGCAAGGCCAAAATCAATCAACACGACATCCCCCTCCATAGAGGGCGAGCCAGTTCCATCGACAGCATCACTTGCACCCGCAAACGGTCGCAGCATGAGGTTACTCGTTGTCAAGTCTCCGTGCACGACACCAGCCTTGTGCAGAACACCGATCGCAGCGCCCATTTTCCTCAACAAGTCGCGCACACGTGCCTCTTCTTTTTCAATCTGTGACGAATCCAGCGATCCCGCGTTCTGCTTCAGCCATGCTTCCCACTGCTCAAGAACTACCCGCACTACCGGTCCCTCAATCCACTCCATCATTAACCAGGCTCCACCCCACCCACCTTCTTCGCCGCCGTGTCCCTCCCAATCCAGGGCTAGAAGGGCTGGAACGCTCACGCCTTCCCGTACAAGTTTCGCAATGCATCGGGCTTCTGAGATTATCCGTTGACGGGTAAGTCGGCGGTCGAGGATTGGGTGGCGGTAGGGTTTTGATGGGCGGATCTTGAGCGCGGCGGGGATGGAGGGGTTGAGGGAGGTTGTTTTGTAGAGGTGGGCCTCGGCGCCTTGTGTGAGGAGGATCGGTGGTGGAGTAGTACTGTTGAAGGGAGAAGGGAGAGTTGGAGGTTTATATTCTTCCATTGTGAGAGAGTTGTAGAGGAGAGATGTTGAAAGGTGGAAAGGGATGAAGTTGGAGTGTTGGAGGAAAAAGTCATTGTGGGGCGGATCTCGGTATTTGGATGTTTATACTCCGTAGTAGTTGGATTGATGTTAATATATTAGATATTGATACTTGATAGATATTTAATTCAAGTCAATAGGCATGAATTTTAATATTCAAAAGCATTCAAGCATGTATCTCATAATTATGTGGACGTATCAGTTCCCTATATATATCTTTTCTCAATGTCTCTCCCAAGTATCATTTAGCACTCCATCCATAGATATTCAGAAATCAAATCAAATCAGATGAATATCAGGGCGCACATTAGCCAATCGACATGTACCCTGATACATCCTCTCAAGAATTGACCCCATCAGCTCTAGATCAGTAGACTCCGCCGCCCAATGCCTCAGCGTACGAATCGACAACCTCACCAAAGCAGTCCAATTCGACGGTAAACGCACCTGCCAGGTATTAGAATCCCGAGACGCATCGAGTTGATATAACACAGCCCCGAGGAGGTACACAGAACAGGCGAAGCTGGCGCGGATCACGTTCCAGATCCACTCGTGTCGAAATTGATACCAGAAGCTTGGGATCAGTAAGGCGCAGTTGTCAATGGCCTTTTGGGTCAGGTTGAATACTTCTACCCATATTTGGTGGTTGTTTTTGATGAAAGTTGGCATCCCCTGGTAGTGCATCGCGAGGTAGAATGCTGGTCGGTAGATCCTCTCCAGTGCCATGTGGTATCGGCCGCGGAAGAAGAACCTCAGGTCTGGATTGTCTTTTGCGGAGTGGATCCCAGCTAGAGAGATCTGATACCTTTGAAAGAGTTAGGGAATCTTCAACAGTCACCGGGGACTTCGGGGCTTGTACCATGATGTTATAACCTTCTCCGCCGACATGATTTTCCTTAGGAGATGGGGTATATCTTTGGTCCAGCCCTTTTCCCCTTGACTCCACATGTCACACACTATATCATTAATGGTTCGGCGGTTACATATAGATCCGATGTAGAATTTCCAGCCTCTCTCTTCTTCGGTGCCATCCAGTTCAAAGCCTGGCTTGACTGCGAAATCTTGTTCTTCATCCATACGGTCATACGAGGAAGAAGATCTCTGAGGAAATTTGGGGAATGGATCTGAATAGCCCAGGCTTTCAAGACCACTGCCCCAGAGAGGGAGCTCGCTCTGCATCTCACTGTCAAAAATACTTAGTTGACGATAATAGAAAAGCCTAGTAAAAAGAAAAAGAAAACCCACTGTTCTGCCTGGATACAGGACCAGTATAGTCTTGACTCGAGGTTATGATAGTCGTCATCAGCGGTCCACCGTTCTCTACACAGCGACCGCAAACGAACTTCTAATCTGCAAGATGCTTGCTGGTAACAGAACCAAGCCTGTAGAGGTCGTATGGCATGTCTGTGGTAGCTGCCAGCAAGAAGAAAGCACTGAATGTCTGTTGCAGACGTGTGCAAGAAGCCGAATCTCTGTTTTGCAGCGTGGAAATATGTCTCAGCCAAATCGAGATTGGCGTCTGACAAGGGTGGCGCTTGAAGACCATCCAGATTCGCTGGCATGTCCTCCGCCATAGGAACAAACTTAGATGATGTGCACGAAGCTAAGGCGCACGCTAGAAGCTATGCGATATATGATTTAGTTCAAGTGGGAGTCCCAAAAAGGAGCTGACATACCACTTGACATGAGGGACCATCCCATCCAAGACCCTGGACGGTGACCTCCTTGGCATAGCGGTCTAAATTCTCTAGGTCGACTATCGGATTCCTTCGGTGACATAGCAGGAAGTACTTCCTGCAAAGCCTAGGGATCTCATCGACAAAGCTTCCAATCCCCACCTGCCGAAGTGCCTGCATATTACGGGGTAGATTATCCAGCGAGTCAAGTAGGAAGGATCGGATATGCTTTTCGGCTTCCGTGATAACCTTGTTGAAAATAGGCCAGCGGAGCATGTTTTCCCCGGAACTAGCCAGGTAAAGGATCCGGGGATCGTGTTCGGTTCCCCGGTCATCGACACTAGCAGTGCTGCTGCTAGTCGGATTAGTCCCCGGTAATGAATCAGCCACAGGGCTAGTGTTCTGCACGGCTAACTCAAAAAATCCTTCTTTGAGTGAACGAGTCGACGAGGTAGAGCCTTCGGATGACTTGATATCCTCTAGCAAACCAGCGATATGATTCAGCCGTTGAAGAACCTCGTTGTTCGACGGGTTCACAGAATCAAACCCAAGTCTAAGAATTAAAGGTCAACACTTAGTGCTTCCTTCCTTCAATGTTGTTATCTTACTGGTTCTGCTGTGGCGACGTTTCGGGATAGTTGCACTCTACCCCCTGCACGGCGCAGTAGCTACAGGTCGGCCTGGTATTGTCACATCGAGTCTTGCGTAGCCGACAGGTCTGACAGGCCGTCGGAGCTCGGGTTCGGATCTCGCGCTTCCTAGCGATTCTTGGGTTGAACTCCATGTTTATTCCAAGTGCAAGAAACCGGGGTGTTTCTTTTTCGGGGAGGCCGGGGAGATAGTTGAGGGGGAGATGTAAAAGATCAAGTGCGACCCACGGATAATTGAGTAGCTAGAAATCAATACCTCGAGGATCGTCCACTGCCCACTGGAAACAAAGAAACATTCAATCCACCAAAGTGCTTACGGATGTGGCGTGGCCGTAAAAGGCAACGGGGAACAAAGAACTGTCGAGGCGATGTGATGGCCAAAGGCTAACACCCATGGCTGCCTCAGGGGTTTCACGATGCTGATTGGAGGACGACCTCACTCCCTGGTCACTCCGGACATGGGGTGTTCTCTTGGATGATTCGATGCCTTTGTTTTTTTTCGATAAAGAGCTCCCCGGCGCTTTCTTTGACCCTAAAGAGCCCTTGGGTCCCGTATTTCGGGGTTTCTCTTTTCAGCTTTCTGCAGCTGTTTGAAAAAAAAAAGAATCTTTGAGATGCCCCGGGAAATATTGTGATATCTCGGTACCTATATGTAGGCCCTTGGAATTCAAGACATTCCCGCCGTTGGAAGGGGATGTTGTGGAGTTTTTGTAATTTGTGTACTTTGTGTAAAAAGGCCGAATATTTGAATATAACCTGAACAGAAGCTTGTCCCTAGATTTTTCTACAGTTGTGTTGGAAATTAGCTTCATGTCTGTACACACCCCGAGTTTTGTTTTTAATGAAATTGTGATGGGTCTAACCTTGGAGTTGTATATACGCAGGGACCTCCAGAGTCAGCTATGGTATATAGCCCTGATAAGATCCATATAATATAAAAGGTCGGAAGAGGAGATAAAAAGGAACTATTGATCATATCGTCAATGAAATTCACTCGCTCATAGAAGAATTACTAGTCTCCCTAAGTACATGTACAAGGCCTTGTCCAGGCCAAATTCTTAACGCCGAAATTAATGCACAGTGTCACAGAGTCACAGAATCACTTCATCGGACCTTCCTCTTAGGTCTCCTTGTCAAAGGTGCCTCACAATGTTCGGTCCAAGCATCCTCAAAGACCGTCTTTCGTGGGCCAATCTGGCCTTGGTAGAAGTTTAGCTTACGCACAACTTCCATAGCACCTGTACCCAGTGACACCGTCTTGCCCATGATAATACATTCCGACACACCCTCAATGAGGTCGGTGCGACCGAGACCACCGGCGTCGAAAAGGTGATCCGCGGTCTTCTCGAACGAAGCAAGCTGAAGCACGGAGTCACGCATCTTAGCCAAACCGAAACGTGTAATGCCGAGCACTTCACCCTTGTAGGTCATCACGTCGGCTAGAAGCTGCATGTGACGAGGATCGATGTCCATGTCCTTCATGACTTCGCTAATTTCGACGACGATCGTGCTTCGAGCAGCTTCAATACCCAAAACTTCTCGTGCCTCCATGATGTTGTTAGTCCTAGTGCGGAGACCGTCCACACCCATCGTAGTCATACACTCCCTCAATCCGTAGCCTTCCACGAGCAATGTGTTCGTGGTCGAGGTCTCGTCCGTGCGAATGATGGCTCGGGTGGCACGTGGGTGACCCAGAATTTGGATGTTAGGAAGGATACGCTTCAAATGTTTCAAACGGAGGAAGGGATCAACGCTCGTGGCGGCAATCTCCGTCTTAGAAAGAGATGCCTTGCTGGCCGGATCAAGATCCATGTGGACCTTGATTGAGGCTTGCTTGCACGAGAATTTGAGATCGCTTCCCTTGAAGCGCTTGTTGATCTTGATTGCTTCAACGATCTGTGGTGTCGTGATCTCCAGCGCCAGATCCTCAATCGTTTTCCAGTTCAGAACAACCTTCAAGTAGGCATCATCGGGGGACCAAACCTCTGTGATGGAGTGGATAACATCACTGAGGAAAGTCTTTTCAATACGTCCTTTCACAATGCGAGCAGCGATAGTGCTTTCTTTGTTGACCAATTCACAAGCCACGACTGGGGTACTGATCTCCCTTGAGGCGTTGATGATTTCCTTAATACGAGGTACACCCTGCGTGATACTCATTCCGGCGACACCAGCGAAATGGAAAGTTTTCAAGGTCATTTGCGTTCCTGGCTCACCAATGGACTGGGCACCAACAGCACCCACAGCGTGACCAGGCTCGACCTGGGCTCTCTTGTATTTTAACAAACAAGCAGTGATGAAAGCCCTCAGTGTGGTCTCTGTCAGCTTGCCTGTATGATCCAAGCCTTTACGGCTCCGCGGGTCGGACGGGTCGATATCGCCACCTCGAGAGATCAATTTGTCGGCTCTGTTTTGCACATATTCTTGAATTGAGTCGAGGAAGTCACGGGCACTCTCGAACTGATCGATACCATGATCACTGCGGTCCATGTATGCCAGGTCATTGCCAAGCAAATCTTTGCGGTTTAGCTTCGCACGTTCCTTAGAAAGCATCTGTTCGCAAACTTCCATCATTTCCATCGGCAACAAGCTTCGCTCATCGTTGTTGTACGTAGTAGATTCCGAGTGAATAAATGTGCGGTCGAAGTGGACGGGTTTGGCTTTACCCTCCATATCCACGGGATCCAACTTGTCATCACCATACTGGAACTGAACGATGGCAGCAGACGAGTTACGGACTGTGTCATCATACATCGATGACAAATCTTCAAGGGATTTCATCAAACGACGGGACATGTAACCTGTCTCAGCAGTCTTGACAGCTGTATCGACCAGACCTTCACGACCAGACATAGCGTGGAAAATGAACTCGGGGGGCTCCAACCCGGAGAAGAAACTGTTGCGAACAAAGCCCTTCGATGGAGGCTGTCGTGCATTCTTCGGGAAATGCGGTAGGGTACGATCTTGGAAACCATCCTGTACACGCTGACCACCGATAATCTGTTGACCGACAAGGGCAACCATCTGGGACACGTTGATACTAGAACCCTTGGATCCAGACGTAGCCATGATCAGGGGCGAGTTGTACTTGCTCAGCTGGTTAATACACTCGTCACCAGCTTGTTGACGGACTTTACTGAGAATACCAGAGATCTGGTTCTCCATGGTCTGCAATTCGTCACATCCAGGATACTTCTCCAGAGTTCCCGCTTTGTACTTAGCAATGACTGCGTCACACTGCGAGTACGCTGCCTCGACAAGATCGTTTTTCGACTGAACGAGCCCTGCACTAGGGTAGACATCTCCGATACCAATTGAAAAGCCGATGTTGGTGAACCATCGGGCAGACAGTTTTGACAGACGGTTCATGCCTTCAGCTGCTGCCGGTGGACCAAAATCTCTAAGCATAATGTAGAAAACATTGTCTTTCTTTCCAGAACCAATCGTAGACTTGTCCATAACACCACACATGACCTCCGAGTTGCGGATGACTAACCAGCCATCATTGGGGTCCAAGTCCTTGGGACGACCATCCTTAGGCATCTTGAACTCACGGCATGCGGCGTCCAGGTTAACCAAAACGGGGTCAGATGAGTTGGGGTGCATAAGAATGTTGAAGACTTGTTTGCCAGTCCACATCATTTGGGGCTTCAAGACTGATGGTGGTGGCAGATCGAATCTCGTTTCAGGACCAAGCATATAGAGACATATTTGTGTGAAGGAGGCACGATCATAGAAGTTGTCTTTGCTACTCAACACGTAGGCGGCACTGATGAAATCCTGGATGGCAGAAATGATGGGCTCTCCGTTTTTGGGTGTGGCCAAGTTGTTCTTTACGCCCATCAGCTCCATCGCTTCTGCTCGGGCTTCTTCGGTCTGCGGCACGTGAAGGTTCATCTCATCTCCATCGAAATCGGCGTTGTAAGGGTTGCAGACACACTCGTTCAATCGGAAAGTCCTATGGGGTCGGATTTTGGCAAAATGAGATAGAATACTGAGCTTGTGGAGGGAAGGCTGTCGATTAAACAGCACAATGTCACCGTCTTCGAGATGGCGCTCGACAAGATCTCCTTCTTGCAGCTGATCAGCCATCCGCTGGGTGTTGCTGTACTTCAACATCTGTCGGAACCCAGTTCCTTTCTTGACGATCAAGTTCGCTCCGGGCCATTTGTTGCTTCCGTTGCAAATCCGTTGCTGCAGTTTCTCCTTGTTGTATCTGGTCACTAGTTCGGGATAAGTCATGTTCTTTGCCACTAGCTCCGGAACAGCGACCTCATCAACTCGTAAATTTGGGTCGGGCGAAATGACAGTTCGCCCAGAGAAATCAACACGTTTTCCTGAGAGATTTCCACGGAAACGGCCTTGTTTTCCCTTCAAGCGTTGGACGAAGCCTCGAATTGGTTTTCCGAGATCGGCTTTGTTAAGCCCAGGAACATCGCTGTTGATGTAGACAGCAATTTGAAGCTGCATGTAGTCCCAGCACTCCATGATTGTCTGAACTGGAGCGCCCTTGAGCAAAGCGTTCTTCAGATTGATATTGCTCTGCACAATATCACCTAGCTTGGCGGTCAAGTCATCTTCTGTAGATGCACCATCTTGTCCCACTGAAGGTCGAATGCAAACCGGTGGAGCTGGAATAAATTGCCACAGGAACATCTCTGGACGAGCCTCCTTTGGATTCATACCAATCAATTCACAGTCTGAGTCGGACATTTTCTTGAATAGCTTAAGAACCCGAAGAGGATTCATATCATCTTGCGCCTTTTTGAAGTGTTTTTCGACCTCTTGGTTTGCGCCTCTTGCCTCGAGGAAAGAGTTATCAAAGACATCCTTGCTGATCGGTGTTTGCTTTTTGACGGAAACCGAAACATTGAAAGCACGGAATTTATCGTGAGTAATCTTCAGAGCACTTGTTCCGGTCTTCTTCACGACACCATTGATCGCTCCACAGTATGTACATTCACGGGTTTTCCGACACCTTTCGTTGATGCGCTTTGCGATCTGTGTCCGACGTAGGTTATCAAGGCCCGGTCGGCGCATTTCGCGAAGAAACGTACGGCGCTCCGCCTCGGGGAGCAGAATGTTCGAACATTCCTTGCAGATTTCCTGAAGGATCGAAATGACGCGCTTGAAATAGCCCACGTGGAAAGAGGGCAAGACCAGTCTCACATGGCCAAAATGCCCATTGCAGTCTTTGAGATTATTTCCGCATGTTGCGCAAGAGTCGGTTTTGTTCGAGATACCCATGCGCTGGTCCAGAGGTCCATTCGCAACGACTGTTCGGGTCTGATCCAAGTCGAAAAATTTTCGATCAGAAACTTCCACAACTGCTTGGCCGACGATGTCATCGTTGGTCCTGGAAACATAAGTCTTCATTAGCGACCAAGTCTGCGACAAACGCTTGTGACAAGCACATATGAGTGAACTGCATACATAACACCAAACTTCAATTCTTTAATAACCTTAGGAACGCTATCAATAACCTGGGCCTTGCCCAGGTCTACCTGCGCACCCTCTGGAGGCTGCATGGCCGTGATCAAATGCGGAGCATGGCAGGGTGACTCAAGGCGATACGATCGGCATAGGCGGACTTCAGCCGCCAGTAACGAGATTTCAGGCTCAAGGAAGAATTAACTCTGGTATTGGGTTGGCAGATCCCCAATCAGAAGTCACAGATGTTGAGCGAGGCTGTTTAGACACAATGAAGTGAATTGGGAATGAGTAGAGGGAGAAGTTGTATGGCGGGGTTTGACATGAACTTTTTTTCTGCCGGTAAAGCTCTCACCGCTAGGATGGCTTGCAGTATAAATGCTCTATATGAAGAAAAAAAACCTCGGGATATCCAGAAATAATGTTATACAGTGTATTTGGTTGCTAATTTACACGCTTATTTCGCCAAGAAAGCTTGGAAAGCTTTGTGTTCAATCACCACATTTCCAACTGCTCGCAACCTCTTGCGGCCTTCTTTCTGCTTCTCGAGTAGCTTGCGTCGTCGACTTACATCACTAGCATGCAATTTTGCCAGAACGTCTTTTCGATAAGGCTTGATAGTCTCACGAGCGATGATTTTCTTACCGACAGCAGCCTGGATAATGATCTCGAAAAGCTGTCGATCAACATGCTCCTTGAATTTGGTTACCCAGATTCTGCCTTGTCGGCTCACCTGGCTTGAGTGCATAATCCGCGTTACAGCATCTACTGGCTCCTTGTTGACCAAGAGTTGTAGCCTGACAATGTTGCCAGCTCGCCATGCAGATTCTTCATAGTCCAGGCTAGCATAGCCTTTGGTACCTCCTTTCAATTTTCCAAAGAAGTCATCGACTAAATGGGCCAGAGGCAGGTCGTACTTCATAATGACCTGAGTCGATGTGAAGTATTCAATGCTTATTTGCTCACCGCGGTTTGCCTCGCAGAGCTCAATCACCTTTCCCAAATACTCTTCTGGGAATGTCAAAGTGACTAAAACATACGGCTCTTGAACCTCAGCAACTTTGAGTCGTACGCTATCATCGTCAGGAAATTTGGCGGGATTTGTGATGATTTCTTCGGCGCCACTTTTCCACACGACCTTGACTGGGACGGAGGGTGGTGTAATGATGATACTGGCGCCATGCTCCTGTCGTAGACGGTCCTCAAACACAGAGCAGTGAAGGGTTCCCAAGAAGCCCATACGGAAACCGGCGCCTAAGGCCTCGGAAGACTCTTTCTGTACTGTGATGCTTCGATCGTTCAAAACTAGCTGGTTGATGCTGTCCTCCAGGTGCTCGAAGAGATCCGCGTTCACTGGGTATACAGCGACAAAGACCATCGATTTGGGCTCTTCGAATCCAGGCAAAGGCTCGACGATCTTTTCAAACCCAACTCTTGTGAAGGTATCGCCAATCTTGGCCTCCTTACTCCGCTTCATGCCTGGGTTGAAGTATATGTACCCAACCTGACCTGCACGGAGAGCGGATTGCGCGGTCTCGGTTGGATACATGATGCCGACTTCACCGACAAAATATTTCAGACCGGTAGCGAAGGATATGAGCTGCTGACCTGCACGCACCTCACCGTCGAAAACACGGACCAACAGGATCACGCCTTTGTAGGCATCGTACCAGGAATCCACGAGGAGCATACGAAGTGGTTTTTTGGAATCGCCGATAGGTCTAGTATTCAGTCAGCGAAAACGAGCACCTTAGGGGGTCACCAGTTAAACCTACGCAGGGATCTTCTCCACCACTGTCGGGAGCACAGCCGGAACATTCAATCCAGTCTTTGCCGAGACCATCACCGCGTTTTCTGTATCAATCTCGAATGTGTTTCTTATCTGCTCCAGAGCCCGCTCTGGGTCCGATGAGGGGAGATCAACCTTATTGAGAATAGGAATCAACTCGAGGCCTTGCGCAAACGCCAAGTAGAAATTGGCGACTGTCTGCGCCTGAACACCCTGACTGGCGTCAACCAAGAGGATTGCTCCGCCGCAACTAGCATAACTTCGCGATACCTCAGCACGGAAGTCCACATGGCCAGGTGTATCGACCAAATGTAACAAATAATCCTCGCCTTTGTGATTGTAGATCATAGTACATGTCTGTGCTTTGACCGTAATTCCTCGCTCTCGCTCGACATCAAGTTTGTCTAGAACTTGCTTGTTCATGCCCGGTTGAATTGTGCCCGTCAATTCGAGTAATCGGTCGGAAAGCGTGCTCTTGCCGTGGTCAACGTGTGCAACGATGCAGAAATTGCGAAAACGTTCGATTGGGATCGCGGCAATCCTCTTCTCAAGGTTAACATCTAGTTTTAGGTGCGTATTTTTCGGGCGTGCATAGTAAATCGCAGTAGTAGAGAACCCCCTTTGGTAACTATACAAAGAAAAGACATTTGGTGGTCGGAGGCTCGCGGCCTGGCATCTCGGCGCTGCGCTCAGCCATCGGCCTAACTGCAGACATCCTCGCATTGGGAATTCTGCGGTGGCATAGGAGGGACTGATGGTATGCAAGCTTCAAATTGAAGTGTATCCGTGGGGCAATCAGTCAGCACTTCAGTGCTAGTTTGTCTCACGATTTGCGGAGAAAAAAACGGGCGCGCGGGCGGTGACTTTTTATTGCTGCGGTGACCACTCGACATAAACAAAGCTCTACCTTTCCAAGGCTCTTTCACCCTAGAAGTTCTCTGCTATCTACAAGCTCATCATGCCAGAAGTCAAAGAAAAATCAAAGGTGCACAAGCTGTCAATCAAAGGTCCGTACCCATCGTACTTAAGTACATAGTTATCGAGGAACAAAGCTTACAAGATAACAGGATCGGCCAAGCTTGTCTCCGAATTCGTGAGTCGCCCTTTGGGTTGTGCCAATGATGTTGGAGTACTAATGGCCCTAGTTTGAATACTCGATTAACTCAATCCTGTAAGTTGCTAGTCGTACCCAGTCCAAGGCACTGGCTGATCGCATTGGGTCTTCAGCTTCCAACGAGGAGTCTACCCTCCCGAGGATTTTACAACGTCAGTATGCCCTCCTCACTTTGCACACTACAGTGCAGCATGCTAATTGGAAGTAGGATTAAAAAATATGGCCTCAATATGCTGGGTTCGTTAACCTTGTTCTTCTTAATCGACTCCGACAACCCTAACCTCATAGCAGTTTCGGCCGACGACCAGGTCAAAGCCTACATCAAGAAGATCATGTCCCAGTTGAAGGAATGGATGCAGGGAGGGAAGATCTCAAAGCTTGTGGTAGTCATCACGAGCAAGGAGACCGGTGAGCATGTGGAAAGATGGCAATTCGACGTATGCATTCGATACTCTTCTTATCTGAGTCTGTGGCTAACTATAACGTGATGGAATAGATCGAAATCTTCAGCAAGCAATCCAAAAGCAAGAGCTCACAGAAAGCCGGCGACAAAGAGAACAGTACATCTGGGTAAGTCTATTCACTGTGGGCCTATCCTGAGCTGATCATCCCACTAATATAAAATCTTCGCATCTTGAAGAGATGCAAAACCCGCCGAACCTATCGAGAAGACAGAAAAGCAAATCCAGGAGGAGATCCAAGCTATCTTCCGCCAAATTACCGCCTCTGTCACCTTCCTCCCGGTCCTTGATGGCGACTGCACCTTCAATGTACTTGTCTATGCCGACGCCGATTCAGACGTGCCCGTGGAATGGGGTGACAGTGATGCCAAGGAAATTAAGAACGCAGAAAAGGTCCAACTAAGGAGCTTCAGCACAAACAATCACCGAGTTGGAACTCTGGTCAGCTACAGGCTGGCGGACTAAGCACTTGGGCGGCACATTATGATTAGAAACGAGGGATATTATGGGTTGGCGTTTCAGGAAAGGATCAAGAACTTCTTTCATTTATCGTACCGGAAGTATTGACATTTTTTCTCGATCAAAATCAAGGCCTCTTGGTTGTATCATGTCTTTTATAAGACCAAGGCAAGCTCTCTCGCTTTGGAAACCACTTATTGCAATGATCACCCCCATCATATTGGATTAAATCCAACACCACATCTTCCATTTCCAGATCGGAGAGCATGTCATTTTCGATCCCAGGGGACCATCCACGTCTCACCCTTTTACCTACCAGCTCCGGGTTCACTCCGTAAAGATCTTCTCTCCAAAGCCCAATCCCATTCATATTCTCACCTCGAGTCAAGGTCTCTGGTGGAGTGACCTCTACTGGTGGATTGATGCCTATCACAGCAACTTTGTGCGTATAGTCTTTCTGTTTCAGGCCAACAGGAATGAGGCCCACGGCTGGAAAGTGGCACTGCATGAATCGAGCACGTTTAAACTCGTGCGTCACGACTGTGACTTTATGTGGATAAATGCCTGTGTATATCCGGAACTGTATTAGAGAGAACAATAGATTTTGGTACGAGTCTGTGGCGTTGGTTTCTGCAATGATTCTCGATGTATCAATTTCAGAGATGGTGGAGATGTCTTGGAAGTAGTCGTTATCTTCGGCCAGATTCTGGATGTTACTATACATGAGCTTTCTGGGTGATCAGTTGTAGGGAATTCAGGTGCCTTACAAGGTAGGATTGGCCTTCACTGAGCTCAGTTCTAGGCTTCTTGGTAGGTCCTCTGTGTAATGGGTCAACGAAAGAGATTGAAGGGCGTGATGGAAAACTCTTACCCAGAAAACACAAGCAAACTATGAGAATCTTCTGTAAGAGCTTTCAATCCGGCTTTGACATGATCGATGAATGTGGGTGTCTCTCCCTTTTGGAAGGGCTCAATCAGCCTACTCGGTGCATCAGGTGCTGTCTTCCATATACAGAGATTATCCTGGTCCCACTAACCACTCATTCTCTGAGGCTCCAAGGTGTGAGCCTCCGGTGTAAATGGCATGGCAGCAGACAACAATAAGATGGTTGCATATAGCAAAATTGACATCTTTGTTGTAGACCATATTGGTGGATATTGCTAGATCAAGCGTATAGTTTTGGATTTATCACCAAGCAAGACATAAATGATGCCAGTAAATTACAGACGATTATGGAGAATAACATTGGTGAACAACTTCAGCTTGTTGTGCCTTCGACCAGACGGAAGAGAAGGGCGGTAAAGGACGTTTGCTTTCCCCCAATTTTTAGACACCAAAAGGTTGTAATTCTATCAATCGGCGGATTCGAATTCTATCATCCCAACTCTCCTGCGTTGTATATCCTTTTTCTCCAAATATATTTCTTGCTATTCCCGGCTATGTGGTATGAGCCCCCAAGCGATCAGTACGTTGTCTTCCTCCGTCGTTAAATCTAGCCAAGCAAGTAAGTCCTGCCGAGTTTCGGGCTTCTTCTTTTTTGAAATCGGAGTAGATTCCACGTCGGATGAGTTTATCGGTCTGGTCTATTGTTGGCCAGTCTCCTTTTCATTGCGTACATGCACGGTATCGGGTCTCGGTTCCTCCCACTCAGGCCAATCTATATAATCCTCGGGGATGATGCTGGCTCAACTAAGCGTTACAAAACGTATCAAAATGTTTACTGGCACTGGCCCAAACACGCGGTCAATGTATTGGACTAGTCCCCCAACAACGATAAGAAGCAATCAGATATCGGCAGTCTTACGATCCCTCGCCGCTTGGTGGTGAAAGACCAAACTACCAATCAGTGGGCTCCCGAGGAGACTAAGCACCTTCGTGATAAAACGACGAACATGCTGCAACCCTATATTTTCCTGAGTTTTTCGCGGGCCAATTATTTTGGCAAAACAAATGAGGAATTACGAAAGATGCTCTATAAAGTGGCGGAACGCATGCTTCAGTACGAGAACCTTCATAGAGACCCGCAGGACCCTCCGCTAGAAGCATTTTGGGTAGATTTCCATTGCGTCTCGGGCGATAAGAGTATACCAGCTGGTTTGGTCCAATCAGAATGTACTCGAGATGTCAACACGATTTGCGATGCAGTCCGTTGTGCGAAGCGAGTATATATAATTCTCCCCAGCGAAAGTGGAAATGACAAAGAGATATGGGGCAAACGGATATGGACATTTCCGGAAGTCCTCCTCGCTGCGAACAAAATCCGATACTGCTTCACCCATTCTTCTTCTATGGCTTCGTTCACGCCGCATGAAGTCACGTTGAATGACATGTTTGAATGACATGTACGCTAGCTTCTAGCGTAAGCAAGATGATCAGGAATTGAAACACGAAGACGCCATAAGCTACCTCGTCAAGCATTATACCAACAGCCTTCAGCTGAGCGAGTTGCAATTGATCACTTTCGCTGTCCAAGCCATGGCGACACAGACAACTAGCATTGACATCAAGGGGTACACGACCAAGGATATGGCCTACGCTGCGATGGGGCTTTTGTCATATCGGCTTATCCCCAATGATTCCGATAACGTCTTCCAGGCCATTGCGCGACTATTCATTATTAACGATAGCAATCAACTGCTTGAGCGTCTCCTTTGTCTGTCGCTGTTCCCGGAGAAGCCCCCAGTGGAGACACCGTCTGGATCGGGCTCAACTGGAAATGAGACGATTCTTTGCAACATCGCAGATGAAGATCAATACTGTACTCATCTTTGGGACATCAAACCGCTCTGTGATGTGGTTGGTATTGGCGACGATCTATACGAGCCCACCGTCATCGTAGATCGCTGCCGAGGCATACCCATCCGATGGAAGAAATTCCCGAGATTGAAGTATACCAGCGGCCTCGAGGGGATGAGTACTACCATCTCACGGGCAATTATGTATCGTAGTAAAGGATTTTTGGGGGCTGGTTTTGCACTCTTCTCATCCGTTATTGCACTTGCACTTTCAAACACTAATATCTCCTAGGAGAAACCCAACACTGTGGATGCGACCATTACAGTGGATATTACCACTCAACTGAATGTGATATCCATCGCGAACACGCTTCTGGAATATTATCTACTTGCTATTGCTCTGTACTTTGGGGTCGCCTGGATCATATCCTTGTTCAGTCCTTGGGCAGTACGAAAGCTCTGCAGCAATAGAGATATGGAATCCCCCAATCATCTTGTCGGATTCGAAGGCACGATGCGATTGCGTGAACTCGAGAAAATTATTTACGGTAATTTCAATAATCGCCTATCGCATGCGGCCTCATCGACTGTCTTCTCTCGGACACTCCGAGACACTGAGCTTCGAATGAGCAGAGAACCCAATGAACCGGAACGCGGTGAACCCAGCTATTGGGAGACTGAGGTCAAAAAACTTGGTCTCCCTAACACGCACCGTATCTTCACTCTTGTGAACACAGGCAATATGACTGTGTCAGTGATTTCCGCCGAGCGACCACCTGTCGTGGCCTTGTTGTGCGGGCGGGAGGGCGGCATGCTCCGGGTATTGCTGTGCAGCTGGCGCTTTGAAAATAACTGCTTGTGTCGTCAGGGTGTTATTCGCATGCGCAGCTCTCTTGAAGAGCAGGCTACACGTAATGACTGGTTGAAGATCAGCTTGGCAAGCCAAGGCGATGTCAACCATACCCGAGTAAGCGAAAAAGCCAAAGAGAGGCAGGCCCCTACCTCCTACCCTTCTCCTCCTCGGCTTTAGACGGATTGAGGTCATCATATTTTTTTTCTCTTCGCTTTTGGCTAAGAACGCTCGAGGCATGTTAACACGACTACCTTTTCCCGGCACTAATTTAGTATGTTCCAAGATTGATACATTGATCTACTTCTTCTACTTGAAAATCTAATGGAGAGACATTAGACAGACATTGTGCTAATATATTGTACATAACATTTCATCACCTCAAGGCTACTAGATATTCAAATTATCCACCCCTTACATCGTCAAGCTTAGGATTACAGAGGCCGTATAGGCGACCGACTATTCTTGTACAGTAGAATTCGAAATCAGTTTTAACTCCACACTCTTGCGACTTGATTCGCGAACCCTAATCTAACACACCTAGTTCACATTTGGAATAGTGGTAGATCCGTGATTTCCAAGAATAGATATTGTATTTAATATAACGAAGGTAGGACCCTGTCTTGTGTATTTTACTCGCAAATACCATACAATGGTCATTCTCTGCCAAACCACCCACCTCAAGCAGGAGGTATCTTCACCCGACTATCTGTCTAGAACGTTATAATCAACCTCACAAAATAGCTCCCAGACTTCCACTATCCAAGCTGTATCTCATCCGCGATATAATAGAGAGCCAGTCACTTGGTATATCTAAAATAGCTGAAGAAGCAGAATGCAGCCAGGCTACGATTATAATTATTCGCGTAAACTTGCGGCAATTTGGAAGTGTATATACCCCCCCAACTCGAATAGGACAGAAACGGACTGTAACGCCACTGATGATTAAAGCCCTCTGCGAACACCTATCTAAAAAGCCCGGTTTATACCTCGATAAGATAGCTGTTTTCCGCTGGGACGAATTCCGCACCCTAGTTATAACCTCTAGTATCAGACGAGCCCTTATTACTAACAATTAGTCTAAAAAGAGCACTCGGCAGTAAGCGAGGGAGAGGAATACCGATTTGCGAGAATAGTATCTGTATAATTTGTCGGATTTTCAGTCGTATCAGCTGGTTTATATAGATAAATCCGGATATAATAAAAGGGTTGGGTTTAGGTGTATAGGCTAGTCACCACTTAGTGTGTCCCCTATATAAGTATCACAATTTCACCGCGACCAGCGATATCAGATACTGCCTGCATATTCCTAGGATAGAATCGTTTTATCGCGTATCTTCCGCGGGTCCACAGATAGACCTGGCAGTGACCCTCCGGGTGGTCCATGACCTTGGACCCTCCGAGGGTCCAGCGACCCGCCAAGACCTGGAGTTCTATATAAATATACATAAAACATGGTTTATAAGCATAATATTTCCTATTTAGGATAGTTTATGTATACATAATTTTCTTGGCGGGTCTAGGATCCTGACTTTAGACCCTCCTTAGCGCCTTGGCGGGTCCAAATGGAGGGTCACTGCCAGGTCTATCCACAGATACCACCGTGTTCGAGGACTTTATAGCGCAGCTTCTTCAGCACTGCGGAAGATAGCCCGAACCTAAATCCGTTCTGGTTATATACAACGCCTCGTTTTATTATTCAGAGCGGATAACGCAGATATATATAGATATAGGGGTAAAATTGGTCTATCTGCCACCCTACTCGCCGGACTTAAATCCGATTGAAGAGTTTTTTTCGCTGAGCTCAAAGCCTTTATTAAACGCAACTAGGGCTATTACGAAGTAGACCCCGATTAAGGCTTTAATACCTTTCTTAAATAGTGTATTGATATAGTCGGTGCAAAAGAAGAGAGTGCTAGAGGTCATTTTCGGTACGTAGGCTTGAAAATCGAAGAAGTCTCAGAAATTTACCAGGCACAGTACAGTTCAATTGAATGTAGACAAAATTCACACGCGCCTTTATATTATAATGACTATTCGTCATGGGGTCACTTATTAAACCAAGGGTTATCAAGAACTTGTTTCGCTGACGCTCTTGCAGACGGCTCAAAATACGATAATCTTCCAGCGATTCGTCCCAGCCTCACTATATCCTCTCGTGTGAAATCGGGACTCAGCGGGCTATCAAAGTATACTTCTTCCAGCCATTCCTACAAGTTAGGCCCGGTGCTTTCTGTGGCTATAACGTCCCCTGTGTTCATCGTATTCTATTTATATTACTATCTTTCAGGTAGTTTATCAGTTGCTATCTCTCGCATTTAGCCAACAAGGATTGCGGGCGTTATTAAGAATATATCGAAAGGTGGCTGGCCCACGAACAGTTCAAAGAGCTGCCAACCTATTAGCTTAGGTTTTTGTATATTACCCGAGTATAATTTCACCCACTATACAGCCTATACTCCACAAATCAACACGATAATCAATGTTATCTTGAAATATAACTTCCGGTGCCCGAAGAGATAGAGGTATATACAGTGTTTCAGGGGGGCAGTGTATAAGAATGACTCTCCGAAGTCGATTATTTTAATATCCTGAGCTAGATACCAAGAGTGATTCCCGTATAAGGCAGGTTTCACAATATATTCGGGCACGCCGGCTTCAAGGTATTTCCTATCGCGTTTTTGGATATAGCCAAATTCTGGTTTTCCTAGTATCTCAATAAACCTTTCTTCAGTCAAATTGTCTATATATAGTATAGCGAAGGCCAAATTGCGGGTATACAGATCTATAATAAGTGAGCACTGTCCAAAGTATTTCAAAGAAAGTGTTTACCTCCATAGCCAATCTTTCGTTGGCGCAAACTATCGAGTCCGATCAAACATTGCTTTGCAATAGTTTTAGCGAGCTTACCAGGAAGTCTCCTATCTGGAAAGTTTGCATCAATTATATCTAGAACGTTGGGGCCTAGAAGCTTATGAACTAGGTATTTATAAGATCCGTTTGGGCCCTTTAGATCGAAGTTATCGAGTATATACACCGTATATTTCGGACGAGGATGATAAGATACAAGCACTTTCAAGGTTTAGAGCTCTCGCGTATCCCTATTATATTCAGTTGCTGCAGTAGAAATTTTGACAGCAATATACGTCTGTTCCCTGTAAACAAGCAGCTTTTAAGTTAGCTAGAACTACCGCGAGTCACACCAGCTTGTATAACCTTTGATCTCTTACCGCCTAAACTGTCGAGTAGCCTCCCCACCCTAGTTTATATAACACCTTATACCTTCCAGCCTTCAAGTATTCCCCCAAAGTGACTGGATGGTAACCGCCTTGTCGATAGCGATAAAGTGGCTCGGCGTCAATAGTAGAAATATAGAGGTGTTGGTCTATCTAGACCCTATTTGGATAGGTAGACATTGTCCTGGAGGTAATGCGAAGCGGTGAGATACTCCTCAAGGGGATAGTACGGGTCAATATTATATACAGGATAGCCATTAGATAAAATCGCAGTTTTCCGTGCGCATTGTGTTGGGCATTGTAGTTAATCAGTCTAGATGATGTGATCGGATGTCCTACATGGACTAACAGGGGAAGAGCTAAAATTAGATTAGCGTGTCTCCACTTAGGGTCCGGGACGTAAAAAGTAAGAGTTTAGAGTTAAAACTGATTTCGAATTCTACTGTACCGTAGAATTTAAAATGGAAAATGCAACATAGTAAAATTCGGCCAAATTTTTTAATTGTTGACATTCAGCTACGACACACATCAAAGCAAGACTGTGGTCAAAGCAACCACGCCCTCAGGCACTTCAACCCTCTCCAAGATAGTCGGATCTTGTTTGAACTCATCACTCTCAACAAACTGCTTTAAAACAGAATACACACTCCGCTCGATAACAACCGCCGAAGGGTCTTCTATGTCCGTTGTGCTCATAACCTGGGCAAGGTAATGCAGGGTACACACCAAAGCATTCACATCCCGTATCCGACAAAGTAGAGCAGGCATATATGTCGGCTGGACCGCAGGCTCGCTCCTTCGGCCGTCTAGATTGAGGGCATTTGCTAGTGTCTCCCTGACCGGGTCCTCCAATGCACGCCATGCATCCTCATACAAGAGCGCCTTTTCCTGGGTAGTCATATTACCCATACAGAACAACCGCATCAACGCCTGATCTTCTGGATTCTGTTCCATTTGGAATTGCCGCACACCCTTGTCGCAGAGAAACTTTGCACGTCGAATCAATATCAGGTCATACCCACTGCGCACAGTCAGAGTGCCCGCAATGACACCATCGCATACATCATAGACATTGCGATAAGACTCAAAGATAGGCTGGACAAGTTTCTTCGCACCTGTCCAGTCCATGTGGCCTGCGGCACCGGCGATGTCAAGCAGTTGCTCCATGAAGCGGAGTCGGAAGCTACGGTCGTGGCCCTTCATGCGGGGTAGGCTAGACAGACAGGCCGGTGCGTTCTCTGCCTGTGCCAGTTGACCAAAGTTGAAGGTCGCATCAAGCTCAATCGCCCGGAGCACATCGTCCCTATCTTGGTCTGGAAGCTGATCCAGCGATGGAACTATGCCGGCCTTACAGGCCGCGAGGAGAATGGCGTCGTGGTTGAGAGTGGATATGTCCACACCAGTCTTTGCGCAGCAGTCGGACGCCAACTGCGGGTCTTTACCTAGATCATTGATGATTATTGAGGTGATTTATGTAAACAGTGCGTTCGCGTCTGTGATGAGCTGTGTGTAGAGTCCGTGGATCCAATCAAACGAGTTTCTCGTTAGGTGAGATGCGGATGCCCTGTGAACCGATGAAGGTCTCATATTGACCCGTATGAATCCAGCGGAGTGCTAGAAGCCCCACAAGGGTGCGGTTTGCTTCATCGGAGTTTTCGTTGTATAAAATGTAGGATGGAGATGGAGTACTAGGAGGGGTCCAGGGACTATCTCGGATAGAGTATGCCCGCCGCAGACGGTCAATCTCCCCCGGGAACTGCTTATACACAAGTTGAATCAGCTCCTCGTCCGAACGAGCGAAGAGAGAATCTGGAACAGCACAGACTTCTCGTATGGACTGAGATGAATCCATGCTTGTAGATGTTTCCTGGTAGTTCCGCTTTAAGCCGATGTCCCATTTATGAGAATAAGTCCCAGGGGACCTCTATCATTGGTCCAAAGTTTCCGTTACGATTACGATATGAAAGAGATGAAAGAGATCTTGGGCTGAAGATAATTCTTGGCTCTGAAAAAAAAATAAAGATATCCTTATTGTACATTTTTGTCGTCGCCCTCAATCCATGCGCCTTAATACCAGCTCCCAGATATGGGGACCCTTCGCTAAATGCATCCGCGAAGCGAGAAACAAGGTGAGACAAGTGGAAAGAAAAAGAAAACGCCTGAACCCGGGGGGCATGCAAAGGATTTTGAAAAATCAGAGGACAAATCAATATGTGCTGACCTCCCAGACCATGAAACGCAACCGTGCGATGAACGCCAACCAGAGAATTCTGGTTGTAAAATGCATATCCATGACCTAGTACAAGATAAAGAAGAAACCACGGCGGTAGTAATGCATAGATAGGAGAAATGAAGGTTGCACCAACGTAGTGAACAGTAGTACAAGGGTATCAGTCGAAAAGGAATCATGTGGCGATACATGTGGCGTATTATTTAGAGAGGATCGTGACGGAAAGTGCAGTTGTCGCCTTTGCGACACTTGCCCTCGGCCCAGAATCTGCAAGCGACTAGCCCCACCTTGTACTGTTTCAAAAGAGTGAGCCAATTGTTTATCAAAAAATGCCAAGTCTGAAGTGTACTTACGGGCTTGGCCTCGTTGGCGCCAACTCTAGTCCGTTTCGAGCGGCTCCACGATTCGGAGCTAGGGTGGTCGTCATAATAGCTGCCCTCGCGGCTTCGTTTGCGCTCTGGGTCTTCATAGTCATGGCCTTGCTGTTGGAATGGAAGAGCACCAGCTTGCTGATTTTGCCCGCCGAATTGTGCAAACATGGCGCCGAGGTTGGGTGCCATTGCTGATTGCGATTGCTGAGGCTGAGAGTATACAGGCGGTGCCTGCATTTGTTTCATAACATTCAAAATCGTGTTGAAGTCAAGGCCCTGAGGCTGGGAAGTAGGTACTGGTGGAGGTAGAGGAACCTGCGATTGAGGCTGTTGCTGACGGAACATGTTGATGGTTCTCTCGAGATCCGGCATGCCTCCAGGTTGAGTTGCCTGTGGCGGTAGGATTGGCTGTGCCTGTCCAGGCACACCCTGGATGATCTTGAGCAAATTGGAGATGTCAAATCCACTGTCCCCGGGAATAGACTGTTGCGGTTGTTGGGTTTGTTGGGGGGCTGCAGGCTTGGGATTCATATAGGAGTAGTAACGTTCCTGGCGAACCTGGCAGTGTTCTTTGTTAGTATCGAGTTCTATTGTGATCAGAAGTATAGCTAACATACCTTGACCATGTCGGGCAACTCTCCGAAAGGTAATACATCAGTAACAATCTCGTCGGGGTCAGGAGTCGGTGGCTCCTTGGGTGTATCAGGCATGTCAGTAGGAGAAGTATAGAAGACCATGAGCGTAGTAGATTCCCGGTGCTCCTGGGCCTCCCTCTCGGGACTTGTTGGCAGCTGGGGGCCACCACGTTTGATGAAACTGTCGTCTTTCGATTCCTTGAAATCGAAATCGATCACTGCCATGGTAAGTAAGAATTTGAGGTATGTTTGGAGGAATAACGTACTCGAAAGAGTGTAACCATCTTGAAATACGGTCTCACGAATACCACCAAGGTCCTCTTCTTCTAGTTCGTCCATATCTTTGTGAAGCTTAAGAACACTACCTTCGCCTTTAACGTCTCCCCGTGAACGCAGTGACCCATCTCCGGGGCCTAATTCTTCATCGGGATCGTGGGTGAATAGTCGAACTTCGGTAAGATCATCATCCGGCTTCCAGGTCACTCGAAGTTTACGGCGCTCTTCTTTACGCAGCCTCTTTGTGCGCTCAGCTTCAGTCTCTGGGGGCTGATCTTCAGCAGGTTTGGGGGTTGGTGCCTGCTTTGGTTTGTTTAAATCGGCCATAATGTCACCAAAGGAGAAAGCTGGTTTCGGGGCTGGTGTCTTTTCCTTCTCAGCAGCACTATTTGAAGGGTTAATACAGACAAATCTTGGAAACAATGTCTTTGTGGGTACATACGTTGGTTTTGCTGCTGCAGCGGCAGCAGCCCTATCCGCATTTGTAGTCCCGGGTCTCTTTGACGCCGAGCTTAAAGTGCCAAAGAGACTTGTTGGCTTGGGGGCCACAACATTGGCTTTAGGGCGCAGCACTGTGGCGGTTGGCTTGCTACTTTGTGCTCCCTTGGCTTGTCCGTTGCCTGTGGATGCAAGTTTATTCACATCCTTCAGGGTGTTGGCAACCGCCATTCGTTTTGCGCCAGGTTGCAGATTGCTATCCGCCTCGCGGGGTCGCTTGATTCCAGCGTCTCCCTTAGACTGGTCTGCTGAAAGGTTCCTTGGGTGTGACTCTTCTTTGGCAGGCTTTTCACTCTCCTTCTTACGCTTCGTAGAGGCCGCAGCATTATCCAGGATCTTCTGTGTGAGATCCTTAACCTGCTGGCCACCTTTTTTGAGGAACTTAGGTAGCAATTTGGAAAGATTGGTCTTCTGCATCATGTCTTCTGTCAAAGTTGAGAAACGCGAGAAGAGCTAATTCCATGTAAGTCAATTTATTTGACACAAAAAAGGAAAAAAGTCAAACTTACCGAAAGCAAATTAATAGTCAGAGTCCCAGCAAAGTCTGCTGCCTGGAAACGGTCGACCAAGAATGAATATAGAGCTGCCACGACCATAGGATGCTCTCCCAGCCTACATGAAATTAACAATCAGTCATTTGAGCTCTTATATGCCAATGTTTCAAGGTTGTTTTTTTTTTTGCCACACAAAACTGCAAGTTTGAGCCAATTTCTAGATAGGAGTGTTTCCCCTCAATGAAGTTCACAGATAGCTTCCTAATGGCATATCTGAGGCTCAACATGATTGGGATCCTTTTGCTCCATCTGGTATTCTTATATACGTCCACGTAGAGTGCAGGACACGCATATATAATCAAGCCGTGCCACCGGTGAATAAAGCGATGGCCCTTTATTCTAGCCCGTGACAGTGCTGTCATATCTAATGCTTCCAGGAAATATTTATGGGTTTTCTCAAATAACTTCAGGATTTGTATGACCATCACAGCCAGATGGAAGGGAGGGGAGGTATAGGGGTTGGGAGGGGAGATGGATACATACTTCTCAACAATATTAGGATGACCCATTTCCAGTGTTGTCGTCGCAATTTTATCCATAGTGCGACGTTGCGAAATGACCTTTTCCTTGAACTTTGTTGCTTTCTTGTTGTCGTCTTGGTTTTCAGCTAGTTTCATCGCCTGGACTTGTTCCTTCCACGCATCTCTCAATGATTTGACGACATCTTTGTAGGCTACCAATGCATTCTTGACTTTCTCAGGGCCAGGCCATTTGTTCCTTGGTGACCACACGGCTTGGAGGGTGTCATATTCTGCTGCAGCCTCGGGGTCAGTCGGACGGATCGGAGGGATGGGAGATGGTTCGTCGGGTGCTTCAATCTCAAGATCGGATTCATCCGAACTTTCACTTTCCGAGTTAGATACATTTATCATTTGACCATGCGTAGAAGTCTTTTTTGTTTGCTGATTGTTATGAGCTGCTTTCTTAGCAGTGATTACAACTTGCGGTGCTGGTAATGCTAGGAAAGTCAGTATTAATCGCAATACAATGGATTTCAATTTGTCTGTGCATACCTCCAGGCGGAAGCACCGGGGTGCCAGTTGGTGTCATTTGCGACTGGACTGAAAGATCATGCTGGTAGTAATTGAATAGCCTGGCCCTTCAGAAAATCAGTCATTACATTTTGAACAAACACAAGCCAAAGTCATAACTTACTGTTCACCTCCTTGTCGTTGGAAGTCCGCAGGGATTCCTTGAAGAAAGTTGCTTGCCAACGAAGATTGCTGTTGATTGAATGCCTGCGGAGTGGAATTTAAAAATTGAGGATTAATGGTGACATTTGGGTCTGAATCAGAGTAGTCGTTGGTCAAATCAATTGTGTTTTGCTGTCTAGAGTTAGAGCCATGTTCACCATGAGGGAGTTTACGGTTGCCTTACCAGCATTTCTGAGGAATAGCCTTGAGGTAATGGGTATGGAGAAATTGACGACTGGGGTTGTTGTTGTGGTCGGTGCTGTATTCTATGTTGCGTAGGTGCTTCAGGGAAAGTGTCTGGCACTGAGATGTGCGGGTGTTGTGGGTGGAAATAATTTTGCTGGTAAGCAAATGACGGAAATGTCGAGGATTCAGAGGCACTCAGGGGACGAGAGTCAAAAGACAACTGTCCTTGCGGGAAATGGGGAGTTTGTGGGTGTATTTGATACTGGGGCGAAGCTCCATATCCTCGTTGTGGTGGCTGCTGCAGAGGATTTGTTTGCTGCCAAGGCTGGTGTACTGACGAGTAGATGCCATGGTTTGGCTCCGGTCGTGGGGCTAGCTCTCTCTGTTGCTGTTGAAATACAGGATGATCCCATCCGATGCCAAGAGGTGTTGGTTGCGGTGCAGAATCATGCTGCTGTTGAGGTTGGTGTTGGGGTTGAGATGATTGATGAAGCTGCTGCTCGGGATCGGGGTAGGCAGGATCTAGCGTGTTCCAGTAATCAGAAGGTAGCGAGGAATTCCCATGGGATAGCCCCTGCATAGGGCTTTGAGTTGATTGCTCCATGGTGAGCCTCAGTCGAAGCTTCTCTAAACAGTACTATGAAGCCTCACGTAATCACGTGCACGCACCTGCCTGAACAAGCGCGGAGTTTATTTTGGTTCTCACCGCCTTCTGTTTTGAGAGAAGGAAGTGGGTCAGAGCTTCGGCGGGATAAATATTTTTTCCGATGAGGACGTGAGATGATTGGTTGGTTGTCTCACGACACGGCAGAACAGGGGCCTGTAGAGCTGCTGGTCTGAAGGACTGATAAGGATTAGACAATTCACGTGTTTGATACGCCTAGAATGGACTGCAAAGAGCTGCAGTATGAGTACTGTCGTACCTTAGGAGAAAGAAAACAAGAGACTGCTTTTGGCTTTGACTCAGGATTAAAGTGGTGTGTGCCTCAGGCATCAACTCTGTTCCCCAGTACTGCGAGTGACGGCGTCTGCCTTTGGCCTTGCAGCTTAATGACGAAGGCTCCGCAGTTGCGAATACAACGTAGAAGTATTAAGATGGCCCAGATTTTCAACTCCAGTGCCTCTCTCCTTGTGTCCTTGACTTTGTATATCCTTCACTCTCTCTCTCTTCTTGGGCTGTTCCTGTTGTCCTTGTAGGGCTCTTCTCCTTTCTCGTTCTTAAGTTTTGTCCCAAAAGAAAGTCTTTGCGGAATCAAAGTAAGGAAAAAGCTCTCATACGAAGGGCCACTCTAGCGTCACAGCCATTCGCTTTACGAAAAAAAAAAGGGGAATTGGGGGAAGGTGTTGAGGGATGGTTAGAGTAGATGTGACTTGGGTTGAAGAAGAGAGTAAAAGGGACAGAAGCTGCTGGCAAGGCGGTTAACCGATGATACGATGGCATACCATAATTGACTGTACTTGTTGTATTGAAGGTCTTCCATTGGCCTACTGCCATGTAAATTACAGCCCCTGTGTTACATGGCAGAATTTAACCCATGTGATCCTCAGTGTTTACAGTGTTTGCATATTTATGTCAGCGCGCAGCTCAGCGGGATCCATGCCAGGTGGAGCGATAGCAAGATCCCCGGTGTCAACAGTGCAAGGTACATCTCATCACCATTCTAAGTGTTGCGCGCAAATTTCGACTATCTTCCTACGCAGCTCCATATGTTGCCAAGCTTCGGTTGAAACCGAGCATCTATTCAATCTCACACAGCGCTGCCAGCTATTGCCATGGCGCAACCCATGTCCCTCCGGGACCGACAGGTCGGTAAGTGACGCAAACTGGATTCTTGTAATGAATTGAGCTTTACTGATTCCTAGCCTCTAGCATCAATTCAAAAGCTATTGAACTTGAATCATGATCACCAACCTGTGGAAGACAACACTATCGATCAGTCCGGGTCCGGTGGTCTTATCTCGCACTCCACTCCGATCTTGAATGAAGATGGTGACCCAATTTGGAAAGTCTTGGTGTTCGATAAAATGGGCCGGGATGTCATCAGCAGTGTTCTGAGAGTAAATGACCTCCGGGCATGGGGCATAACTATTCATCTGTACGGTCGCCGCCTTCTCTCCTTGAATTAACCCCCATCGCTAACGAAGAGTCTCTCCTAGAAACCTCCATTCGCAAAGATACCCTATCCCAGACGTCCCGGTTGTATATCTCGTGGAACCAACCCCCGATAATATCCAAGCGATCACTCACGACCTTTCCCATGGGCTCTACTCCCCAGCCTACGTGAATTTCCTATCCTCCGTCCCGCGGCCACTTCTCGAGGATTTCGCTTCTCAAATAGCTACTTCTGGCGCGTCTGAGCATATTGCGCAGGTCTTCGATCAATATCTCAACTTTGTTGTGGCAGAGCCGGACCTCTTCAGTCTAGCGCTTGGAAATGATGCATACTACAAAATCAACAGCCCAAAGACAACTGATGAAGAGCTAGATGGGATTGTTGACAAAGTGGTTAGCGGCTTGTTCAGTGTGAGCGTGACAATGGGTAAGCATTATATCCTATCTCGGATCATCGAACGAAGATTTGACTGGCTGGACAGGTACTATTCCTATCATACGGTGCCCCAAGGGTGGTGCGGCGGAATTGATCGCGACAAAACTGGATCGGAAACTGCGAGACCACATCCTCAATTCCAAAGACAACCTCTTCTCAGGCAACCCGAATGCTTTGCCGGGAGTACCATCGGCACGACCGGTACTGATCATCATGGACCGAAACGTTGACCTGGTCCCAATGCTCTCCCACTCGTGGACATATCAATCCCTGGTCCAGGATGTCCTTGAAATGCGTTTGAATCGAATCACTTTGGATGCAGGTGCAGGCAATGCGGACTCAGCTAAGGGATCTAAAAAATCGTATGATTTAAATAGTACCGACTTCTTCTGGCAGCGCAACGCCGGAGCTCCATTCCCTCAAGTGGCTGAGGATATCGATGCTGAGCTTACCCGATACAAGGATGATGCGAATGAGATTACGAAGAAAACGGGGGCCTCTTCAATTGAAGATCTCCAGAATGATACTAGTGCCTCCGCGCAACATCTCAAAGCCGCTATTACACTTCTCCCTGAGTTACGGGAACGCAAGGCAGTTCTTGATATGCATATGAACATTGCCACCGCATTGCTCAAGGGTATCAAGGATCGGCAGCTGGATAACTTCTTCGAGTTAGAAGAAACCATCACCAAACAATCAAAGTCACAGATCCTAGAACTAATCAAGGATCCTACTAAAGGAAATGAACCATTGGACAAGCTGCGCTTGTTCGTGATCTGGTTCCTCAGCACCGAAACTGAACTCAGCCGCTCGGAAATGACTCAATTCGAAGAGGCCCTGACTCAAGCCGGCGTGCCCGATATTTCCTCTCTTGCCTATGTCCGGCAAGTACGCGAGATCACCCGTATGACCATGATGACAACGGCCGCTCCAGAACAGCAATCCTCCGATCTATTCCGGGGGTTCTCCTCACTTTCCAATCGTCTAACGGATCGCATTACCTCGGGCGCTTTAGGTGCCAACTTCGACTCGCTCATTTCAGGAGTAAAGAATTTCCTACCAGCGAACAAGGATCTTACTGTGACCAAGATCACCGAGTCGATCATGGACCCAGCTGCGGCTTCGAGCTCTGCTATTGCAAAGACCGAAAACTACCTCTACTTTGACCCGAGGAGCGCAAACGCACGTGGCGCTATGCCTCCGGCATCTGCATCACGGAACCCGCAGATGCCTGGTGGAATTGGTAGTGCAGGCCCTGGCACTGGTGCCAGTTTCGGACAGCGTCGTCAAGCTTTCAGCGAGGCTATTGTCTTCACGGTTGGTGGCGGAAGCATGGATGAGTACGGCAACTTGCAGGAATGGGTTCGCCGAACAAATGGCCAAGCAGGCGCCGAGGGCGCATCCGCTCAGCGTGCGGCACCTGGACCCCGCCGAAGAGTTGTCTATGGAAGCACAGACCTAATGAACGCCACTGAATTCCTGTCGGATTCATTGGTGCCTCTCGGTCGGGATAGCTAAATGTAATTGTGGCTACGTGGTTGACATCAACATAGAGCCAACCTGAGGGTTGTAAAACATAGTATAATTGAAGCGCTCTGATGTGTTTATGGTGTCCTAATGGCTGTTCTTTCTGAGATTAATCAAGCATATTGACTACATATGTACCTAGGTAGTGTCTCTGCTCTTTGTTCTGGCATTAAACATCAATCTCACCAATAATTATGCCTATTTGAGGCACAATCTCGGGGATTTATTGAACTATGCCTAATTAAGGTCTCACGGTCTCGATCAACTCCACAACTATTCTAGTACGAACCAAACCGAACTCCCTCGAGTTGAGTTGCTTTCATGGCATTGTTCTGGAAATCTACAGAAACCTCAGGTATTTGGCACTTGTGGAGGTTCAATGTGATCATCGAATTCTATGGTCAATATCTATACTTCTATACCCCCATAGAAGTATAACCAACATCATTGCGCCTTCAGGGGCAACAGTCTGGAACCGAAGCCCCAACAAATGCAATCAATCAGAACTATTTCCAAAGATGTGTGATCCCATTCACCCGCATTGCCTCACTTGGCGAATTCTCCATGGTGGCCCAAGTGATGTCAGGGCAGTATCATCGTCCTGAGATCCAACGCCACGACAACAATATAAGAATAAACTAACCTGCTGCATTTTACTGACCAAAAAAAAACAAACAAACAAAGAATACATAAAGAACAATAACCTTCTCTTGAACACATCGTCAAGATGACCAACTACGGAGACGCCTGGTCCACGACCTACGACACCTACGACACCACAGGATCAGCCTACAACCCTGCGGGCTCAACCTATGATACCTTAGGTTCAACTTATAGCCCCTCGGGCTACAGCACCTACGGTGCAACGGACTATGGTGCAGTGGGCTACGGTTCAAACGCAGCTGCTACAACTTACGATACCGATACCGGCCGCGGTACCACAACATACGACCCCCAGACCGGTGCTTATGACCAACATCTTGATTACAGCACCCCCACCGGTCGACGACACCACCGCGAGCGAGTCAACTCGAGTGGCACCTATCGGCACCGTGACGTTGATAGGTTTGATGACGGATCCACCCGTGTTCACAAAGAATACGACAATCCAAACACTGGTACCAGCTACCACCGTGACTATGAGCGATAAAGGCGCTCAGAATTTGGAGAAGTCGCGTTGGGTTTGAACCCAGGCTTCAATGTTGTATATAAACTGGGATGAGACCACGAATATTTATGAATCACTGAAACGCAAAATCAGTTGAAAAAGTTGAAAAAAAAAGTTGAAAAATCGTTGGGAAAAAGAAAAAAAAATGTCTAATTTGTTGTCTGTTTTAGCGACTAGTATATAGGCTGTGCTTTTGTTTTAGCTCGGCGAATCTGGTTTCATTGTTGGCGAAGGTATGGCTTCGATTCAAACCAGACAGAATGCAAATGAAACAAATTGGGCAAATCTCTCGACTTTTCTTGTATGTTGTATGATGTGCTATCGAGGTATATACTACGGAGTAGCAGATGAGCGGCAACACTAGATAAGCTTATGTACTCTGTTGCTTTGGCCATGAGTGTTGAAAAGGGAGATATATATTGATAGGTCGATTTCACATAAGGATTACATAATACCTATTTAACTATCTGATTCCTATTCAGTTAACTAGTTACGTAGTTAGTTATAATGTAAATAACTAGATGAAATCAATAAAAATAGAAATATTTCCAAATATCAAATCATTGAAAGAACTCTTGGCAAAGATGCCTCAGGCGCCTGGAGCCACATGCAAGGCTGACTCCACCGCATCATTACTGGCACTTCCCTCCGATCAAATCCAAGGACACTTTATTCTGTACAGCCAACAAATGTTGTGCTGAAACAGCTTCTATTTCAGCTTCTCATGCCCCCGTGATCATGTCGCGGAGGACGCTGGGTGGAGGTCGTGTTCTGGGCAACCCGAGCGCTCTCACATCAGCTCCGTCCCCGCAGCCGAAGCCACGGGTGCTCTCGCCGACCGCTAGCAGCGTTTCACTTAATTCACAGACCGCATCACAGGTCTCGACTGAAACTCAGGATCTCACTTCACGCATCTCAATAGAGAATGGTGATACTTCGATATCTGCGGCTCCGGCTGCTCCGGGGGCAAAGCTCTCCTGTCCGATCTGCAGTGAGGAGATGGTATGCTTGTTCCCATTCCCTGTTTGTTTCTTGAAGGTCAAGACGATACTGACAGTTTCTAGATGACTTTGCTACAGCTGAATAGGTATCCATTGTTCCCCCTTGCAACCGCCTTAACGTATGATTAACGATTAGTCGCAGGCATCTCGACGACATCCATCAGAACCTGGAAGATATCCGGCAAGATGAAGTCAAAGACTGGTTCAAAATCCAAATGGAAAAGGCGAGAAAGTTTCAGCCTCTGGCAGTCCTAAACCAGAAGTTGAAAGGCCTAGATGTGTTCGAATCAAACGAGAACCAGGGCGCGCCTCCCCCCAGCCGCCCACTAGCACCCCATGCAGGCATCCCTGAACCTCCGAGACTACTAAACCCCGAAGATCTCATCACAAAAGACCACTGGCAACCAAGTTGTATATATGACGAGTGCCTAGAACCGTCATGTGGGAAACGATTGAATGCCACCAACGGCTGCGTGAACTGTCGGAGTTGCGGAAAACTGTTTTGCGAAGAACACACGATGTACCAAATGAAGCTCTCGCGGGCGGCGCATCATGAACCGGTGCGAGGAATATGGGCTCGAGTATGCGAAACCTGCTACAAGTCAAGAGAGGGGTACAATGACCATAATGGTGAGAACATCGACTTTCCAGCAGTGAACCAAACTAAACAAGTAATAGGAACCGTGAGAGACCGAATGGATGCATTCAAGTCAATAAGAAAACAGACTGTCGATAAGGAATTTTTGGAGATCTCCCGACTCGAGAAACGACTGACCCGCCTCACTCAGTTGTTGGCTAGTTTGCCACCAGATCAAATACACCCCAGTGCAACCAAAATTTGGTCTCTTGCATGGCAGAATGATCAACGTAAAGAAATAGAGCAAACGATTGTCAGCTGGCAGGATGATGCCAGTGTTTCGCGATGTCCGTTTTGTCAACAGGACTTTTCGGGATATACATTTCGCAGGCACCACTGCAGAACTTGCGGACGAGTTGTATGCGGAGATCCTAGTACCGAGTGCTCTAATGAGGTTGGCCTAAGCATTGCTCCTGGTGAGTTCCGAAATGACCTTCCCTCGTGACTTGAATCTAATCTCTAACAGTCTCGGCAACCACCTCTGAGAAAACCAATGGCGATAACCTTGTCAACATTGATGTGAGGCTGTGCAAGGAATGCAAAGCGACGCTGTTTGATCGACGTGACTTTAAAGCAGACATGACGCGAAAGCCACCGGAGATCAGGGCCTATGAAAACTTGACTCAGTTTGAGAGGGGCATCCGCCTTCATCTACCTAGATTCCAAAAACTGTTGACAGCTTTACAGTATGTTTCTTGTTTCCGGTGTTCTACTTCGTCACTAACAGCCTTGTACCAGGGATCCGAGGCGACCTCCATCATCGGCCCAGATCGCAGATGCATCTAAAGTGCGCAAGCGACTGATTGATTCTTTTGCACAGTATGATGTTGCAGCTCGACGTATCCGTGACATGCCGACCAAGTCCCCCACACAACAAAAGCTGCAGAAGGCTATATATCAGCAAGCCAGCAACTTCCTTCACCTCCATATGCTACCTTTGAAATCCCTCCCCAAAATTCTCAAGCATGCAACCCCCGCGTCAGAGAGAATACCCAACCGAATTCCTAGCCGGACAAACTCCCCGAGTAATACGGTCAATGGCTCCACGGCAGGTCTCCAGCCACCGGAGTCTGCTCTTGCATCCATCAAGTACAACAGCGTTGCCGCTAGCGGTAGCAACACGAGTCTAGACAGTGACACCAGCAGTGCCGTCTCAGCTCTGGAAGCAGAAGAGAAGTCTCTTCGAGACCGGTTGATTGTGCTAGAAGAACAGAAGTTCTTTGTGTCCGAGATGATCGCCGATGCCAACCGGCGGCGCAAATTCGATGAAGTAAGTAGCCTAGCGATGAACGTTGAGGACCTGAGCCATGAGATCGATCGAGTCAGTGGCTTGCTCGCGGGTCTCGATTTTGAGGGTGTTTACACGGGAAATTCGCAGCCAAGTTCTTGACTTGAACTTTAATTGTTGGGATTGGAATATTTGTTTTCGTTTACACGCGCTACCTGCACATATTCTTGCACCTTTTGGCTGCCCACCCGTCTACTCTCGCCTCCACCTTTTTGAATCTTGATGTTACGGCTGGCGTTCAAGCACTTTTGCTTTACGATGATATGTGCATAGCACCGGGCGTTGGTTCTTTCTAGGATATATACAATCGATGGCTTTGCTATATATATACATATATTGCCTATTCTTTCGTATTTTAGATGGCTTTGAACTTGCTTATGTATTTCCACTATAGAGATCGTATATATGTGTCAGAGAATGCCACTTAACTCAGAGGCTTACATATAGGAGTCCTGGATAACTATTCCTCCCACTTCTGGTAAGCACAAATACACAAAACGATAATGCAGCAAACAGTTCCCACAAAGTATAACCCATGCACAAACACCCACAGACACCTACACACAAAACCAAATCTTTTGTGTTGAACAGTTTTCGCGAAGTGTCGAAGACCCATAGTGAAGACCAAAGAAGAGGAATCAATATAAATGGTGCCGAACTAGGACACGAACTAAGATGATGGAGAGGGGAAGATGGAAGAGGTAAGCAAAGGAATTATGCACGTATAAGCGAGGAGGGATCAATTTTGACAGAGATGACTACCTATTTAGTATGACTACCATGAAGCCATCTATATAGTAGCTCTAGCTATAGGGACAAAGAAACAAAGAACATAAAGGGGGAAAGTGAATCAGGGGTCTGACAAATTGAGATGAATCTGTCAATGTGTTTTCAGGAGTGTTTCCAATGAAACAGAGAGTATTGTTCTTTTCAAACTTGGTGGAAGGTGAGGTTATTCCTAACTATACTTACCCTCTTATTATATAACGTACTTCACCACCGAGTGGTCCACACCCCCGAGTGGTCCATCGCAGAACACATAGTAAATACAACATATTCAACATTTATATCTCAAGAACCATGTTTGTATTTTGGCTCTTTGTTTGTCGATGGTCATTGATAAGACTTATTAGTATTCTATATCAATTTTAAAGAAAGTGGAAAGTTATGTACCTATCATTTCAAAATTTACCGATAATTACGTTGCAAAAAGCTCAAAATATATACCTCAATCAACAAGTTATATAGATTCCTAAAACTCCGTAAAGAGACAATATATTACTTCAAAAGCGTAAAGCTATAAGTAAATTGCTATATAGACTACTGTTGTTGAGATATGATGTTGTAATTTATCGCATTTACTATGTGTTTTGTGGTGGACCACTCGGTGGTGAAATACGTTATATCTACGAAATGGTAGCTCAAGCTATTGTTCAAACTGATATTATTTCCATTCCTGCATACATACAATACAGCCTTGGTCAAGGACCAAGGCTATTAGGACCTCTGAGATTATTGATGTCATAAAGTAACTATCCAAGTCAATTCATTCAATGCGCTAATTTCGTAAATATATAGCAAAACGAAAACAAAAAAAGCAAAAAAAGAAATCTCAGGTTTGGTTTTTAGGAATAGCCGAACGCGGGGGTCGAACCCGCAGCCTTAAGATTAAGAGTCTTACGCTCTACCGATTGAGCTAGCCCGGCCGGGCTGTTGTAAGGAGCAGCCATATAATGCTTCATGAAGGAAAGCTGGAAATTTCAGTGATTTTGTCAGAGATAGACTTGCATGGTGGCGCTTCTTGGCGCATCCTGCAGCCCCGTTGAAAAGAATACATATCTGGGGTTCTACCACGGAGTATATTACTACTTCATATATAAATATTTTATGTACTTATGTACGATATTTCAGGCCATCATGATTTGTAAACATAGTATTACTTACACTGATAGGTCCACTGGTAGCCACTGGTGATGACAAAAGATCTATGAAGATTGGAAATCGTTGTCCACTTCTAGGGCTGGGTGCGCATTCGCCTTGGAATTCATCATCACTCTAGGAATTCCGGAAGGTTGGAGATACATAAATTCAGCGAATTATTATATTCTTACCTACATGCCTCACCTCTACCTTCATCTTTAAGTCGAACTCTGCGACTTTGTGGCCTTAAATCACTTTATTTCTCATACTGTAGCCCTTTTATCATGGTCCAACTACTAAACATTGCTCTTTGCGGGGTTAGTCCACAGTTTCGCAACCTTGGAAATTACCTGCTATTCTTGACTAAATTTTTTTAAACAGGCCTCCGGAAATCTTGACCAGAAAGTCCTACAGGAACTTATCGAGTCAAACAAATTCAATATCACAGTTCTTGTACGATCGAACAACCACCCCGACATCCCGGCATCGGTTGCCACAGCGCTTGTCAATTACCAGTCAATTGACAGCCTGACATCTGCCTTGAAAGGAAAAAATGCTGTTGTCTCTACCCTGGGGACCTTTGCTATTAGCTCGCAAAAGCTTTTGATAGAGGCAGCTGTAGCTGCTGGTGTCCAGCGGTTCATTCCTTCCGAATTCGGGTCGGATACGCTTAACGAAGAGGTCAGGTCATTGCCAGTCTACAAGGATAAGCTTGATGCCCAGAAAGTTCTGGCTGATAAGGCTGCGGATGGTGCCATTACCTATACCCTTATTTTGAACAACGCATATCTTGACTGGGGCCTTGACGTCGGCTTCCTGCTTGACATCCGCAAACTATCTATCGAGTTGCGAGACGGCGGTGATCAACTGTTCAGCACAACCAAATTGTCAGCCGTGGGAAAGGCGGTTGTCGGAGTGCTAACTCACCCGAATGAAACAGCCAATCGGGCAGTTTACATCCACGACATCGCGATCTCGCAAAAGAAGTTGTTGAAGCTTGCCCAAGCCCAAACCCCAGGTGAAGAGTGGGAAGTGACAGAAGCTGATACAGCCGAGCTAGTCAAGCAGTCAGACGAAACTCTCAGAACAAACCCCTCTGACCCATTCCTCTGGTACGGTTACATTAAACGTGCGATTTGGGGACAGGGGCTGGGTGGGCACTTTCAACAAGTCGACAACTCGCTTTTGGGTATTCCAGAAATCACCGAAGCTGAAGTTTCTGAGCTTCTCCAGAACTTGCTCAAGCCTGGATATAAGATTTGAACCGAGAAGATATTGTTGTGGCATCACATACTTGATGCTTAACTTTTCAGGCTTTGTATAACTATTTAGCTAGCTTTCTGCTTATTTATAGAGAATCAACCCTTCTTCTTTCTTCTCTTATTTCATCAGAGAGAAATATATATATCTATATTGAAACCTCAGTTATTGCTTTCTGCTTGCTATTCCAAGCGCCCGTGAGTAGCTAGACTTGAGAATGGAAGTCTATAGCTAAAAGAGTTGAATAAAGTAGTCTTTTAATTCCCCCGCTTACTCTATCCGTTTATTTATCTGAGCCCTGCCGATGTCCACCAACGCGGTAAACCTGATCAATAATCGCCTTTGAACCCCACAGGTCTATTGGACTTAGTGCTAGATCGGCCCTTGGCTGTTGTTTGGTGGGTTAGCTATCAATGACCCTGATAACCATAAAGGTCCAAGGTTATTCTGGAATTAGAGACTGTGCTGCACCTCGATACATCTAAATGAAGGACAGGACACATACGTATATACCAAGAAGGTTGTGATTACTGCTACCAATGACATCTGTGAGATAAGGGAAATACTGGGCCAAGAGGATAGATACAATAGGCTAAACAAAGTCATTGAGCCTAGCCAGCTGGCAAATTAGAATAGAGCAGTAATACGATAATAAGACAGGGGGTGGGAATTTTACTATAAACAATATAATGTAAGTCGGCCTTTCATCGGCTTTTATACTACTTAATGCATGGCGTAATGACCCCCGATTCCCCTGGGCCGGTGTGCTAATGAGGAGAGAAACCCGGGGGGTCCGGGCGCAATGTAAAAACACCCATTGTGGCATTGTACTTTGTACAAAGGAAACGTGGAGTACGGAGTACTAGACAAAGACCAAAGACAATTAAGGTTTAAATATATTATAGCCCATCTAACACTACGGAATACCCGGCCACTTACGATGCCTGGTCCTCCGAAAGATAAAATGTTTTTTGGACATTCACCCCTTGAAAGAATGTGCCGCCGTTTGTCGGATTCAAATCTTCTTGGCTACTCGTCCGGCTAGTTTCGGAGCCATTTGAGGTGTGAATCGTCGTAATCACCGCGGGTTGGTCTTCTCGGTCTAGGTCTGGGCGCCAATATTGTGGACCCGATGTGCTGGAGTGCACTCCATTCACGCTTGAGAGGGGTATGCTGCCGCCGGTGCGTTTATTTTTGCTCCTGCTGCCGCCCATCGAGCTGGGGTCCCGGAACCAACGGAATAAGGGCCGGAGAGTTACCAGACTGCCTGCGGCAATTCCGAGGCTGGCTTCCACGTTGGACCAGATTGAGATGTTGGCAGTTGCGTCTATTAGGGTTGAATGGTGTTAGTTGTTGCTTTTTTTTAACTATTTTACATTAAGTGCATATCATTAAGAAGGATAGAAACTCACATAGGAAGTCCTCGTCCTTGTAGTCGTGCAAGAAGGGAATGCGAATGATGACTGCTGCGCTTGCACTATATCCGAATAGGTCAGTACTAAGTCCGATTCTAGGGTATCAAAGAGCAGACATACATGCATCCCATTCCCAGAATGCCTGCCAACGCAACCTTGGTCCTCAGGTTCATCTGTAAGTTCCACACTAGGGCAATAGGCAAAAGACCCAAGGTCAGATCACAGAGTGTAGCCGTGATACTGTAGACATAGGCTATAGCAATGATATGATCCAGGTCCATGCAGGTGCCAGAGATATCGGATTTAGGGTCCATTATAACGCGAACTCGTTGCCAGAAGAACTCAACCGGTTGGCATTGCAGTGTCAACATGAACCAGAAGACAAGCCCAATGATACAAGTGACACCAATGACAGTCCATAATATGAGTTTATGGAGCTTGGAAACCGTCAAGCGGAGGAGGGCGAATGCAATGGAGAGCTTGGCCAGCGCGCAAGTCCAGACATAGCTAGTTTGACCAAGCCACCACCACTTTGGACATTTTTTAGCATGTGATTCTCATCTCGTAAGTGGAGATTGAAAGTTGAGGGTCAAACATACAAACATTGCGGTCTCCATCGTACCCCTCTCGATGAGTGTATCAAGTTTTTGTCCGATTCCATACAAAGCGCCAGTGATACCGCATACAGCGAACAAGATGTTCAATAACTGCAAATCGATCAGTCCTAGGTTCATTTGCGCATGAAACTTATACATACCATTGCGCATATCATAAAGGCATCATCCCAGCCAAAGGCCTTGACAAGTCGCAGCCGAACGAAGCATCGTAGACACACGGCAATAAATGAGATTCCAAGAAAGACGGTAGTAACGATGAAGATTGACTGGCTGCGACCTTCGAGGGGCAACATATTGACCCGAAGAATGAATATATGGTTACCAATTCATGACCCATATAGTTTCTTTCCCCCCGCCAAATATACAGGGATGTTCGAAGGAGCAACAAGAATAAAAAAATATATTAGAGAGAGAAAAATGTCAGAGAAAACGGTCTACGGTACATCAAGCATTACAATCACGAGCAGTGGCGAGAACAGGCCAAGAGGGGCCAATGTGTTCTCCGTGTTTTGGCGTTTTGCGTAAAGAATTAAGAAAAAATGCATAGAAAATACTTAACCCAAAAGAGACATCAAAAGCCTCTAATGATCCCGAGGCTGGAACCTTGGAATATGCACGCTTGTTAAAATGAGGTTAGACATCTCCGTTGACATTGGAAGGTTTCACGTGGGGAAAGTCAAAAAGAAAAATTAAAAAAAATTAAACCAAATTCAATTCAAACTTTCTAATGTTCCAAGGTTCGTCCAATGCAGAGACGGAACGAATCTTGGAAGAGAAATCTCCATGTGGAAGCCACAGGCCAGAACACGAAATGAGTTTTGAGTTTCAGATACCGCTCAAGCCTCTTACTAGGATGTACTTTGTAAAACACACGCACAAGCCTCTTTTCTCCAGGTCCAAGACGATCTGATTACACCAATCAAGTCTAATCAGTGGAATCGCTTGGAAAAAAAAGTTCAAGCCCGTGTGGTACTATGATGTTAACACCGGGACTATTCTATAACAGGGAGCAGTTACGGACAATCCGCTTTAAAGTTTCCAACCTTGGAGTATTATTTCCATCATCTTCAGGAGTACTCCCCCTCTATCCCAACCTATTCTAATCCCAGTTCAGCGGATCAATTCTCAGCTATGACTATTACAGGTGATCCCTGTCTAAGGTGGTGTGCATTACCACAGAAAATACTTGCAATACTTGGCGATATGGCACGTGCCTCCTAGATCTCCAGTTTTATTTCGATATCGAGATCTAATTTGATATGCATGTCGTTTCGAGGCTCTTAAGGGGGTTGTTTTATCTATATAACATACAGAGTAGATGGTGTGAGATGAAGCATTCGGTTAGCGGGGACCTCCACGAACGAGATGCGATCTGCATATTGTGGGTTGTCGGAAATTACATACATAAATCCGTGAGACTCCCCACCACAGGTAACCCGGCAATCCTGCCGTCCCTACGCAGTTCCATGGTATTTTCTGACTTATGTGTCAACAAAATAGCCCTAAAAAAATACTATAACCCACAGTATGATCAATGAATATATCAATGAATATATAGCTAACTTATGAAATATGGACGGAGTACATATAGACAACGATTTCACTTATTATGTTAGTCCTACTGTGGTAATATAGGAATCACCCACGAATATATCTAACTTATACTCGCAGAGCCCCCAACGGCTAATCTAATATGGGTCTCTAGTGAAGTCAACTCTCAGTCTGTACCATCGCTACCAGATCGAGTTTAGCAATATAACCTTGAAATAATCTCGGCAATCCCACAAATATTCCTAGCACAGGGTCTTTCTAGATTAGGCCTTCTAAGACTATGTGCCAAGACAAGACTATATACCCTCTGACCATGGATCGCCGTATAAGATGGAGCATCCTCGTATTTTGTTCAAGGGACTAGCACATCGAAGTCAAATTGTTACTCTTTATATGTACATATATTATGTATGTTCGGAGTACTCCGTACGGAGCACCTACCCTGTATGTACCTATGTATCTCCTTGCTGATTTCTGGGAATACCTGGTGGGGATAAGAGCTGATCTCTGCCAATTCTGATCCACGGGTGGTGAGGCTGACCTCGGGTGTACCTGCTTTTCAGACACCTGCGGGCATGGGACGGAAGTGAATAAGCAAAGCGAATACGAGGTATAATTGGTGGCAGGATCTCAAGCTTACTGCGGAATACATTGCAAGCCGTCTTCACGTGTATTCAATTCACTCTTATAGACCGACTGATCTGCTGGTCATTTCTCTACCTTCTTCCATGTGACATCTACCCCCATACCCATAGTCGCGATGCTCACATCTCTACTCCAGATACATCAATGCTCTAGATTCCTTGACGACCAAAACATTTTCGAATTCGCTACATAATACAAACTCGCATGCTTGCATGAAGCCAGATTGAATATATACATATCAAGTTGCACGGTGCACATGTTTAAAAATCAAGTGGTAAGGCCTCCAGGGCAAACTTACTTCCACTGAGCAGGCTTGGTAGCCTGGAAAGTCTTCAGGATGGCAATCACCTTCTCCAAAGCAGCGACCTCCTTGGCCATTGCGTCAGCAACCTTAGCCTGATCCTGACCAAGCTTCGAATAGAAGTCCTTGCGGTATGGGGTGGCGGACATGGCAGCGCTGAAGATAGGCTTGACGAAGAAGGAGTGGTGGGGCTTGAGGGTGTTGCCGTAGGCACCGCGGAAGGAGTCAGAGAGTTCCGAGGAGGAGTTGTCGATGTTGTGACGGAGGGCTTGGACAGTGAAGTCGAGGCCTCTGTTTGAAGAACAATAGTAAGCCAATCGTTCATGCAGATTTGTGGAAATGGAAGAGATGCCATTGCAATTGACATCTTCCGTCACAATTGGGACATGGAAACATACCGGACCAGCCAGACCAGACCTTCAGTAGCAACGTGCTTTCCGGTCTTCAATTCGTTCAGGACAAGGGCCTGCAAGGTCTCAGACTCAGCAGGAGCTGCCTGTTGACGCTCGCGGACTTTCTAGAGGGGGTTTAGAATGCGTTGACACCGGCAATAGAATGTATTGAACGGACCTTGATGTTGCCGAGTAGGTCATTCTTGACCGGGGTGAAAGCAGCAGAGCCGAGGACGTCTGGATGATTGCTGCATTAGTTTGATGCAAGTCTATGCAAGTAGAACAGCACACACCAAAGAGAGTCACCAGGGACTCGGCGGCCTCGAGGAACTCGGTGGTCGAGATGCCCTCATCCGCACCGATAGGGACATCGGCGAAGGACTTGTTCATGGTATCAAACCATGTTCCGTCAGCGGGGATAGCAGCCATTTTGGTAGAAGAATTTTAGTAGGTAATAGACAGTGGGAGAAAAGAGAAAAAGAGCTTAATGAGGGGAGACTTGTTGGATAGTGTCAACTTCACCGCTGTTGCCTCGCAAGCCAATGGTGGGGCACACGGGATATGGAGAAGATGCAAATTACACAAACATTACCAACACGGTGAAGTGTCAATATTTGTTTATAATGTTTGCAGCATTTGCATAGAGCTTGCAGCGACGTCATCGCATCATGTTACATCGAGATTGGCGATTGCCTATGAACTTTATTCGGAGGTTTTGTGTTGTGCCTAAGCCGTCTGTTTGCTCCTGCATATGTCTGGAGCAAGCCAATTTTGGTCCATGAAGGTATTACATAGTATATTGTCATGAGTTCGCCACAGGGTCAGGCGAATGGGTCGCAACCAGAAACTGACCCACGCTCATCGTACCATGAACATTATCATGGCTTGCAGACTGGCTCATACACAGACCAGCAGCTGGTATGTCTCTCTATCTATGTCTCTTAGGAGTTGAGTTACGGGACTGACCTGCTATTTCTTGACAGCGTCATGCTTCTGCCAACCATTTGCATATGACAAATCGCCGATTTTTCGTCGGCCCAATTCCAGAAGGCTGGCTGCAAGGTCATCGGAAGTCCTGGTATAAGTCTCGACTCAGAGTGAGAAACTATACATCACAAAACATCTCGTTCTCTGCGGGCCCTGTTGCAACCCATTACGGCAAACATGGCGATCGGCCCGATTCGTCGTTGCCTGATTTGGATGAGGAGGTCACACAGACACTCACCAACACAAGCACGGAGGCCACCGAGGAGCAAAATTATGAGACTGAAACAGATGCAGAGGAAGGAGCTGCACCAGATCCTGTGGGGGAACTCCAGACCCTAACCCACCCTGAAGCTGAGGCCAGCGGCGACGATCCCTTATCCGAAGAGGACACAGGACCTAGAGAAAATAGAGGGGGAGATAGCGAAGAATACAGCAGAGAGGAAAGTGGACGAGATAGCGGAGGTGACAGCGGAGAGGATACAGATAGCACCCCGAAGGCTAGAACAAGGCGGCAAGAGGACATATACGGCAATGATGTTGCTTCGTCTTCGTTTGTCACCGCCAGAGAAGAGGTCGTCAGCTCTATGGACACGGGAGAATCATTGGCCACCATACGTGCTAGCAGGTTGGAACCACCCGAGTCAAGAGCAAAGACCTTGGGCTCACATAACACAAATTTAACTGGTCATTCTCCTTCTGCCCCTCTGACCTCCAATCTATCCACAGTCCCAAGCGAGGCCGATTCAACGACACAGTTGCTTCAACCCGAGTACAAAGACAAAGGGAAGCAGAAAAGCAAAGCATCTGGCGTGTCTCGAGCAATGCTTCAACACCACGACCCACAAGATGAAGATGATGGTGACGAAGATGCGCAAATCCCACGGAGACTCACTAGGAAGATGGCAAGATTCAACCTTGATGACAATATCAGACACGGGCAGCAAAAGATGCGCTCCAAGATTGCGAAGACCCAAGGTACTATCTCTGCCAATCGACCGCACCGACGAAAAGTGCAAGATGGAGAGATTGTCAAAGCAGAGAAGATGCTAGTCTGCGTGGAGGAAACTGTGCAGAGCACGCTTCCCGCCGATTACACCGAGAATGACAGCCTGCGCATGGAAACACGCACTGTGGACAAGTGGAGGGAGTTCCTCGTCGTATGTCGCAAATGCTCTGTAGAGCATACGCCATTTTCCATTCAGATGTACCGCACTCGTGTAATTCCTGATGTGCAACGTCCGAACTGCAAAACGCCTCCTTATCATGAAGTACGGCTCAGTCACAAAGATACCCATGTTAACCTCTATTCCCCCCTCGACAAGACCATTGTTATTTGGCGTCCCTCCAAGCGAGGAACCAAAATATTTATCCTTCGTCCAAAGTCTGCAGCGCACTCCACCGAATGGTACACTTTTATTCGCCAGGTGCTTGGATGGCGGCGTCCCACCTCACTCCCTATTCACGTCCCTGATCTGGGGGTTTCCCTCATCTTCCAAAATCCTTTCAACCAGCTCGAGGCCGGGCTGAAAGCAGATAATTCTGATAGCGAGCGTGCTGCAGAAATTGCGAATCGGCCAGCAGTTGATAGAAGATTTGCTGCCGCTACCATCATCCAAGGATGCATGGATATGCTCGAAGGCCGTGCCGAGTGGGCCGAGGTCTTGAAAGCTTGGTCCAAGACCGAGAAGATGGGACTTGCTTGGAAGCGGTATGACCGACTTGAATGGGTATTTGGAGTCAACGAGGAAAAGATGTATGGGACTATTGCGATGCAGACATCCCACGAGCTTGAGTTACGACCAAGACATCATTACTCTACTACAATTAGGAATCGAGGCATACAGAAGGAGCCTGCCCCGATCGAAGGATTTCTAGTCCGTCTTACATCTCAGAAGGGTGCACATCAGCGGATGAACAAGATGTTCTTCAAACGGCTGTACTTCTTTACCCAAGATCATTATTTGTTTTTCTGTCGGCCAGCGAAGGCATTGCCCCCCGCGCCGCCGAAATGTACCCCAGAAGACGGAAGCATACCAACTGCCCGTGAGATCTTGGATCGAATGCCGCTCTCCTGGGATATTGATCCTTATCCACTTGAAAATGGCGAGATTAAATGGCTCTCTAGTGGCAATTCGGAATTCGTGAAATGGCACGATGAAGAGGCGTATGCACAAGTGCAAAAGAATGTACACAACATCAGCCAGGCAGATGGGTTTATCGATATGTGCCGGGTGCAAGAAGTCCGCCATGTCTATCGTGGCAGCTGTCCTGCCGACCCTAACATCGGGGAAGGACCTGCTGTGGACTTCCATCCTGTACCTAGAGACTCACGACAGGATGACGGAGCAACGCGAGAGTTCGACGACGGTAAGACATTTGAAATGGTTCTCGATAATGGTCTTGTCATTCGCCTCCAGGCATATGATGATGCCACACGGGATGAATGGATCAAACGACTCGATGCGCTCGTGAAGTATTGGCATATTCGCTGCGCGGAAGACGCCACGGAGCTGCAGGCCGTACGGCAGCGCAATCTTAAGCTGTTGGATATTGACGAGGCTATGGAATCCGTTACCGGACAGTTCGCGAAGAAGTGGGAAGTGAAGAAATCTGAGGCATCTCCACATTTGCACAATATGTGTTCGCTGTCTGGTTGTCGGACTATCAAGGTGAGTTATTGCAGCATAACATCAGACAGATACAAGCGCAACCTGTTAACAACATCAACAGATGTCCGGCCACCTCTTTCGGAAGCCCCGTCGACACACCACTTTCTACCAATGCCATGTCATCCTCACATTAGGCAAGCTGTTGATTTTCCGAAGCACGCTGCGCAGCCGAACCGGCACCGAGATTCCACACATTCATCAAGAACTTGAATCAACCATCGAGCTGGAAGATTGCTATATTTACTCTGGTTTAATTACTGAGAATGACTTGCTGTATGGGAATCAGACATTTGACAGCAATAACCCGGGTCTTCATGCTCTGCCACGGGTGTACCTTGATTCGGGTGCCTTCACAAGTCGCGATGGGGACACCGCCATCACCTTTGTGGTCTGGCAACCCTTGAAAAAGAGCTACTTCCGAGCTGAGGAAATAGGGGAGCAAGGCAAAGCCAAACGATCCTTGCGTCATGTGTCCACGCTGGGCAAGCACGGCCGTACCATCGTGTTTAAAGCACGTAGTCGTGTGGAAAAGGACCGTTGGGTGATGAGTATTTCGTCGGAAATTGACCGTCTCCAGGAAGAGAAACATGAAGACATCCGGTTTGTTTCCGAGAATTAATAATTGCATTGCCTGCGTTGTCTGCATTTCCCAGCCATCCATGATTCCTCTTCTATTGGTATATCTCACTTTGTTCTCTTCCCTTTTTTTGATCTCGGAAATATCATTCTTTCAGATGTGCAGCCGCATACGCATAGCAGAGCAATACTCAAAATAGTAATACAATAATATACAACGCTCCTAATATATATATGTGCAAGTCTCAGTCCACAACATCAAACACAGAAAACCCCAGCTCTATCGAAAAACATAAAAGGCCAAAAATATGCGCCAAACCCCATCTATAACCAGCTAATCAATTCAACATGGGCTGCTCGAGCTTAACAGCATTCTTCAATACACGACCCCGCGTGCTCTGTCCATACGAGTTCACAGCCGCATCATCCGACCCAGACTCCCCCTTGTCAGATTCCCAGTCCGTCCACTTCAGCCATCGCATCCGCGGTCCCAAGACCGCAAACACCCGCCCAGTAATCAAGCTGAGACTGACAGGTCCATAAGTGTTACTATCCAGCGTCTTCCGCGGATCCTCAGCATCACCCTCCAACCAAACATGATTCCAGGGGACGATCTGCGTTTGTCGCAGACATGGTTCCCGAGTCGTGATTCGGTCACCGGGTAGACCGACAACGCGTTTAATAGCGATATGAGATGGGTTTGCAGGGGAGCTGTATGTATCGTTGTTAGTATTGGTTGCTGCACTTGACTCCATAAACAGAACAGGGTTTAAGGAAGAAAATAAAATGCGCATAGGGAAAACCCACCGGAAAGTAACGATCATTCCTCGTTCCAATTTCCGCTCATTTTTGAACGGCGTAAGGGATCCCCATGGCCACATGTTGACCATCACTATGTCGCTCTTCGTTTGCGTTTCCGCATACTCCTCGTTCAAGTATGGTGTCATTGACGGCCCGCGAACCCACATCACTTGCATTACATGTTCTGGGAAGAAGAGCGCAATCGGGAGCATAGGCACTGCCCAGCGAAAGGTGCGACATACTCGTCGGACTGGGTATGGGAGGGCGGAGATGCGTTGGCGGATGTTTGTGAGGAGATGTGAAATGAGGGATGCTCGTGGTTCTTTGGAGAGGGATGGGCCCTCGGAGACTATGGGTTCTGGAATTTGGAGTTTTGGCTCTTGGGCATGGACTCGGAACCGCGAGTTCGGGGTTGGTACTCCTCTTGGCCGTTGTGGTCGCGACATTTTTTTTGGAGTTGAAGATGGAGGTCGAAGGGGTCGGGGGACTTTTGGGAGGAGGCTGATTATGTTGGAGATGGGGTGTTCAGTCCAGGTAGGCGAGTTTCATTATATAGCTTTGATTATCGAGAGCGACTTGCACTTGCAATTGGAGCTGGAGTGGTCTCAAGCTGGAATAACGATCAAATGCGACCTGATAGTGTGTTTGCATTGTTTGCAATTTACTCTACTGGGCGAGTGGGCTGGTGCCAAGATAAGCGTCTTCGTAGAAGATACATAGTACACAGAAGAAAAGACGCAGTACAGACATATCCCAGCGATAAAACTCGCCCTTGTTGATTCCACAGCTCTACTGGCAATTACGGACACCAACTAGTCATGCCTCATATTCGCCTTACCTCCTCCTAGCCTAGCGAAGGAAACATATCAAGAGTCAGGACGGTAGTTTTGATCAAAATTCGCTTCTTAGCTAAATCGTCCATGAGGAAAAATATTATGTTTCATTGAAATCATCTGATGGCGGTCGTGAATCGTGTCGGGGGCATGTACGTGCGTATACCGAATGAGGCGCGCGCAACATTGTGTTGGTACGACGATTCAAGCGTCACTGCTCTCAGCCAAGTCCTCCTGCGTAGGAGGGAAATACTGCCTATAATAACTGTCAGTAACTGATCAAGTAGTGCGATAAATGGGAAAGGATTACGGAATGAATTCTTCATAGGCGATTACATCCTTGCGCTCAAAGTTGCAGAAGATGACACGCTCCAGCTTTCCGATATTGGGCCCGACGAGGAATTCGCGCACTTCTTTGATGGCATCTTCAGCGGCTTGTAGACTAGGATAGCCGTAAACGCCGGTGCTGATAGCGGCAAAGGCAATACTCTTCATGTCGTTTTCGACTGCTAATTCTAGGCTGCGTCGGTAGCAGGATCGAAGAAGCGCGACGGGATCCCTCTCCCGTCTGTAGACTGGGCCAACTGTGTGGATCACACGCTTGCAAGGCAGCTCGTAGGCAGAGGTGATCTTTGCCTCGCCAGTCTCACATCCATCAAGATGGCAGCATTCTTCAACTAGCTTGGGGCCTGCAGCTCGGTGGATTGCACCATCCACACCGCCACCTCCAAGGAGAGACTCATTAGCAGCGTTCACAATGCAGTCTACTTGGAGCTTGGTAATGTCATTGCGGATGATAGAGATGGTGTTGTTGAGAGACTGGGATGGCGCAAATTTTGAGGACGCAGGAAGGAGATGCTTCGCGCGGTACAGAAGGGACACGGTGGGGATATCGACCAGAGTTAGAATGGAAGACATGATGAAGAAAAATCCAGATGAGGCTGGGTCGGAGAGGAAATTGAAGAGGAATGGTATTTACTATGCATTGGGAAGCTCAAGTGGGGCCAAGCTCTGTGCACAGACCACCAAGTAAAATTCAGTCACATGACTGTGGTCTGTACATTGGAGTTCTGAGGGATAAAGACTTCACCTAGAGGGTTGGAGATAAAAGAGAGAGAAATCGATATTTTTGTAGGGGAAAAAGATAAACATTTATATGATCTATTTCAAACTCAACAACTTTCGTGATATGGTGAGATACCAGCAATACATTGAATAATATATATAACCACCCTTCCAAGGTTGGGATAAAAAGATCACAACTCAGGCTCAACACAAGCACAGAAGGGAATAATACCAAGTCCAACATGGATAATGATATCCCCCAAAATTTCCCTGTTGAATGACTCGTAGTTATATGATATCCATCTCACTGTACTCCGCACAAGAGGATTAAGTTTCAACTACGAATCATCCCGCTGCAATGTACTCCATACGGCAAGCTGCATTGCATTGCCGTCTGCACCTAGCCTAAAAAGACGCTTCTGTGCTCAAGGGCCTAATAATGGTTGAGGCTAGGGCTCTTATTATTGGCCGTATAAGACCCGAGAAAAGGTACTGTACGGAGCATGATAAATTAGTACTTTGTAGGTCGGGAGCCAAGCCCGGGATTTGGCATCATGGAGACAACAGCGGGCCATGATAGCAGATGAACTGATTGGTGCAAAACCTCAGCTGCACATGGTTGACATTTTGTGTGGATTAGGTCTATTGCCACTCCATGCATCTCCGAGGGTTCACGAAGTTCAAAATAAGAATGAGAGAGAGAAGTACTCCCTATGGAAAATCATGTTGTATTCTCATATGTAAATCCCGATCCGCACTAAAAACGAAAACGGGGCTAAGCGCGTAAGCATGGACTGCCCAGATAGATCTCTCGGCTTAACTACGTTCGGGACTAGATACAGGGCTTAGGGTTAAGAGACCTCCCCTTTCCAGATATCAACCTTCTCTCCTAGGAAATAATACGGAGAAGTTGAAATTAGAAAATTCTAGGGAGTTATCGGGGATCAAATTACGGTGTTCATAGGGAATTATGGAAGAGTGGATTCAATGGCTTTTTTGGCCCACTCTTCACCGTGTCAGAGTAGACGTGGACCGCCGTTTTCATGTCAGTTCCCCTTTCAACTGCTATGACATGGATCTGCGGGGACCATGTGTTTTGTTCTTTTCTAGTATATTTGACGATTGCCGATCCCTTCGGTTCCAAAGATGGTTGTCGATGACATCTGTTTCACTTGGATTTTTGTTTTCCACTAGTTCATCCACTATTCTCTCGCCTTGGAAGCCACAAAAATATGAGATAATTTATTGGTGGAAGGGGAAATATACATAGAAAAACCAAAAAAAAAGAGGAACCGAAATTTTTTGGCTGGCCCCGCCCCTAGAATTGGCCTTCGTAGGACTACTAGGACTAGGACCAGTCAGAGCAAACCAGTTTCTTCTTCTGGTTTCCACCTTCGAGACCCATAAAGGTACAAGATGCCACAGGGATCGGGTGGATACGATGGCGTAGGAGGTTTTGAGAGATCAAAGCGGGAGGATTTTTGTACTTTTGTCTACCTTTTTTTTAATTTTTTAATTTTTGTTCTGGAAGAACAGTCGGAGAACAGTCGGAGAAAATAATAATCCCATTCTCTGAAATATACAGAGGTAGGGAGTATGAGAATGACAGATTACATTGAAATGAAAGCCACAGCATCCTCTTCAGGCGGAAGCTCGCAGCTGTCAGATTTCAAAGTAATCCAATCATTGCAATAGCTTAGATTCACAAAAGTTTATTCGACGTCACTGGAGGAATGCCATTCGTCCTAATCACAATTTAATATATGTATAAATGGACTAGGCGTGTCGCTAATGCATACGTCAGAAAAGTCTTGCGCATAAATCCACCTGTCAAATAATCACAATAGGTCACCTGCAGCTTATGTCCATAACTAGACCCTTGATATTCGGGTTCTCGGTTATATGTTACTATGGATTTGGAATACTTCCTGATATTACGAGTCAAGATATAAAAAAAAGTACATGTAAACCAAGTTTACTGGTACGCTCTTGAAGTTGAGAGATGGAGTACGGAGTACTCCGTACCGATATATCTCATGTGAGAAATATTTCTAAATCATACCGGATAGTCTATCTGCCGAGCAGTCTTGGTCTTGGTTATTCGAAGCTTTTTCGTCTTTCTAACATCCTTACTAGTAATCTGTGCGACACGCAGCGAAAGTACGGAGTGTCAACCATGATAATCCACTGTATCCAATAGAAAACCGGCTATCCATCCACTGAGATGTGCCTGAAATCGAGATCGGAAGGATTTCTGGTGGATATGATTTATAAACTACTGTATGTATAATGTACCTCCGTACTCCGTACTCTGTACGTTGTTTACCTCTGGTGGTCTCCACTACAGCATACGTCCGATGTAGATCAATCCTTTCGAAGAAGCACTAGACAAGCTATTATTGAAGCCGAGCACCAAATGTGCCGTGTTAGATGTACATGTATATGGAAGATTCAAACAAAGTGCCCCGAGAGATCACCGAGCCGAGAGGTTGAGAATTCTTTCCAGCTATTGAATTGCACCAGTCTCTGTTTGGTATCCCGAGTGGGATATACAAAGTACCCAAAAGGCATAGAGAAATGGCGATCTGCTCAAAATAGATATGTTTTGATACTTCCTAACAGAGGAATCACAGCGCTATCAGGTCCCAGAAATGAGCTACACCCCACATAATAGCAGACGTCCAGACAAATGAGGCATCTCTGTTCCTCAGCCCGTCTTGACCCGCAAAAAAGGACCAACTTTGCACGTGTACTCCGTATGGAGTACGTATATCATGCACAGGCCAAATAGTAGACGTCTAAAATGGAAGTATGATGAGCACAATCTTGCTATAATTAACATATTCCGATACTCTGGAAATGGAGTAAAAAGATGGAGGGATAGGATAATGGTTATATCCACTTAGGTATATCCACCGGCGGATCTTAATTAGTCCCAGCCGTTTTTCTCATTTCCTCGCGTGGCTGGGTATGGAGTAGATGGAGATGCAATCTCCCAAATCTCCCAAATATCTGAACCCAATCTCCGTTGGTTCTCGGCTTCTGTTTGAGTGTGGATTGCGGAATAGAGATTTGATGGTCAAGAGATTTAGCGTATATATCATACATTATTCTACTCCGTACATATAGATCAATAATCCGGGTCTATTTTCCGTATCGTCATAAAAATGTCAACATTCAAATTCTAATCAAATATCACTTTGCACCCCTACACAATATTCGGGGATATCTCTCCGAAGACGATCACATTCGGGATTTGCGCAGATGCCGAACCTGCAATATCAGTGGGGGTCGAAGCCCATTTTGAAGATGGTGTGGAGCAGTTAAAACGGCCAGCCCACTTGTAATCTCGTTAATCTCTCAGGAGAACTTTTGGGCTTGAACTAGCCCCGTATTGGGACCACTGGCTTGCGCTAAGTACTAGTAAAGGGGGAAAATGGGGAAAAAATGAAAAAAATGAACAGAAAAAGGGAACGTCCAAGAGAAATGCGAAATCTCCCCCGCCGATCGAAGCGGTCTATCGTACTAGGTGGAGTCTGGGAACGGTC